GACATGAGTCAGGGGGCACGGCTGCATGCTGCTGTTTTCTGACTAACAAAAGTAAACACGCTGCAGGCTGCAGCAGCTCTGACTGAAACACGTCAGTACATCAGACCACCAACATTGCACTTTAGAAAAATGAAAACATGATGAATTCATCGTCAGTTTCTGACTCAGAGGTGACACCGACAGGAGTCAAACTTAAGCTGGAAAATCAGGCTTCAGACTTTAACTCTTTGAACTAATTAATCTAGAACTTATCCGGTGGGGTCTGACTACAATGTTTTTGTTTTTGCCGTTTTTCGATCTGTTTTTATCAAAATATCTGTATTCAACATTTATATACATATTTACATTTTATACATTACTGTACAGGGAAAAATCATCATTAAAAGAGGGGGTAGTAGGCATTTTTCCAGACTCTAAACTCCCTTTTTCACACCTATTTAAGGTATTTTCAGGTCAAAAAAGCCTTGTATTTCTTACTCTGGTGTACTGAAATATCATTTTTTCAGCCTCTGTCTGCAACACAATCTTAGCTGCTGACTCCTCATGCCCAACATACTGTTTTAAGTAGTTCATATCTATTTTCTATAATTTTTACAACATATGTTTAGCCTGATTTGAAAATTAACATACAGTATGGACACCAAGTTTTGTAACTGCATTTTTTGTTTTAAACGTGGAAAAGCATAATCCCCCTCCCCTTTAAAAAAACTGCGTTTGTCTGATATTGAAATCTGTTTGATGATCTGAAACATATTAGCGTGACAAAATCAGAGGAAATCTGTCTGAGGGCAAATACTTTTCACAGCACTGTATAATGATATTAGAAAGCAGAAAATGTGGATCAGAAATGACTGGAGTTTAACACTTTCCTCTTAGCTGTAAAACTGATGAAAGGGTTTTAGAAATCAGACTCTACATGAGACCTCCATGTGAGTTGATTTACAGGGGGTAAAATACTCTTGGAAAATGTTCACAATGTTTTCTAAAGCCCCAAGCAAGTTTAATGAAAACAGTCTTGTGATTTTTGCAGTTGGTCTTTAAGGGGATTGAAGCACTACAAATCTTCTGACCAGAACTTTTCCAGATATAAAAGATTAGAAAAGCCACTCTATACCAGCGAAAGCTGATTAGTATTTTTAGCTCAAAGTTTAACTGACTTCTTCATTTTTAGTTTTGTGAGTATTGCCTTTGTGAAGCCACAGGCTCATAAAAACAACCAATCAATCAACTCTCACTCAACATGAATCCTACAGCTACAACACCAGTCTTCAAACATTTATGCTGTTTGCATTAAGAATAAGGATGGTAGTTTTAAAGTTGTCCGGGCTGTGGGAAATCATGATCAAAATCTGCTGTGTTTGTGCAGAAGGTCTGGTACTACAGATTAGAATTGTCAAATGGCAGCATAGGCATGGTTATGACGCAGAAGGCATTTAATCTCAGTCATAGGTAGTCCGACAAGAGACGTTCAAACTCCACTCAAAAATCCGGGAATTTCATGCTCCCATAAAATTATAAACACAGGTCTACAGATCAATGGTTTTGACAATTTTAAAACTAATGTGTGAAACATGATATGTTAATCTTGATTTTATTATTTTAACTGGTATCTTACCGCTCGTTAAGGGGAAGTTTTGACCATAACGAAATATGAAATTGCTCATATTCTTTAACTACATTTTTTTTTTTTTTAAGTAAAACCCAGGTTTTCCATATAAGCCGAATTAATGACTATTTACCAAATATTTATGAAAGACCTTCAGTCAAACTTTATTAAAAAGTCTGCTCAAGAACAGATTAAAATTAGGATTTGTGAATGGGGTTTCGCTGTGGTTCAGCTCATCTCGAGGGCATCGCTAGGCAGAGGTAAGGTGTCGGCTGCAGCTGCATCAAACCTTGATCTGATGGAGGAATGTTTTCTCACGGGACAGCCAGCGAGCAAACTACACCTTTACTGTTATGCTGTCTTCCACGGGACACACACATTTTCCACTCATTAATAAAATAGTCAAGGACATGACATCGATACTGTCGGGCAAAGCTTCATCAAGACAGCACTGGCCGAAACACACAACACCGGAACGACTCGACTTTGCATTTCAAAATAAAAGCACGCAATTAGCACTACTCAAAACTTCTAAACGCATTGACACCCATACAAAATAACAAAAACAGATTTCTGCTGTCAGCAAAAGAAGTTCAAAGAATGCTTGTAGAATTTCCTTAGTCTTGGTGAACATATGAGGTCCAATGTTTTTGTTTAACTGTACTGTTTAACTTACATTTAACAGACTTTTTCAGACAATAAAATGTTTTCTTCCAGGAATAAAAGCTTTGCAACTGTCTCTAGCTTGCTGTATTTATGCCAATCCCATCTTTTTATAGCAATAATTTTTTTTATGTGTACTACTTTTAGATGCTTTCGTCATGACATTGTTGAATGTTGTTCATGCTAAGGATTTCTGCTCATTGCATTCATTACATGTTGTCTAGCATAGCCTTCATGAAAGCCTTGATTTCAAGTGAAGTATACCATTTTTATTGTTATAACATCAATCACCAATAGCATTCGAAAATAAATCAGGCGAAATATCCCACGGTATTTTTTGGGAGCGAGCAAGAATTAAATCTGGGAACTTTATTTTGAAAGCACCGAGCGGAAGTTTTAAATTAACTGTATCTACCTTGACAAATGTCGCTCAATATTATTTATTTAAGAATAAAATACACACCAAGAGGGCGCGTATCCATTCAGACTTACAGTTACAAATTAACAGAAATTATCAAATAAATATTTTCATGTGGATGACACATTATGGTTGCCAGGCAACGAGGAATGTAAGAATAGTAACACCTAAGTGAATTCCAGAATAACGTGAAATAATGTTGCTAGCTGTAGCAAAACGTTAGCTTAGTCCCTTTATCATTTACCCTGGCCTACACACACTTGTCTTCTGTCCTGAAAATGTAAAGTTAAAGAGTGACAGGCTCACCTTTTGCCTCACAGTCAGCACAGTACTTGTTCTCGTCCTCTCTCAGCAGTTTCGACAGAATGGCCTGATGCTGCTCATTCAGTTTCTGAGCTTTTTCTCTCTCTGACCGCGTCGTCATCTCGGCACAGAGTTAAAGTTTAAGTCGTGTTAGTGTGGAGATAATAAAAAAAAACACGAAGAGCTCAGCGTGTATTAAAAAGGGTGGGACATCCCTGTAAAGCTGCACTGTGCCTCCTGCCGCCGCCTGTACTCCGTTAGCCTGCAACCTGCTAACAAGGTAATACGGATCCAAGCAGCATCACCGCTGCTGCTTTCAGGAACGACGGAATTTCGCAACACATACATGAATATTAGGAATCAGCTTTAATTCCCTAGAGAATGACTTCAAATCTAGAGATACATATTTAGTGGACAAGAAGAATCGCTAGAGAGCAAACATTTATTTTGTAGAAGTATGAAGTAAAGCCGACACAGAATATTTTGACATTTGGTCTAGAAACACTACAATATTAATCCCATCCCTCCCCAAATAAAGCTCTTCTTTTTATAAAAAGGAGAAACTGTCATTTTCCATTTGGTCTAGAAACAGCACAATATAATCATTTTCCCCCAAATGAAGCACTTCTTTTTATAAATATGACAATGTCCTGGCAAATCCCATTATCTCTCATTCATTGGTTGAAAGGAAGCAGGAAGAAGATAAATCTTATATTGCCTGCCCCTGACTCAATGTCTAATTCCTCTAATAATCTGTCACTGAGCAACATTCTTACCACATAAAAAAAATTAAATTAAATTTAAAAAAAAACAGAGTTTCAAGTTGACTTACCAGTAGCTGAGCAATACTGTAGTCACACCATGAAGTCAAAACAAGCATAATGATAAATATAAATAAAAGACAGCAAGCTGACTTTTCTGCTAGAATCATTGGTTACTTTTGTCATAATCTCTGATGGCATTTTCCTTTAACATTTTCTTGGCTTGGAAAAGATTTGTCTTCAATACATCACTTTGACAGTTTGAGTTTGACTCCCACAACAGAGATACACATCTGCTTCAGAGTTGTCCGTGCAAATGGGTGTTAAAAAAGGAAACCTCCCCCTTTGTTCTTCGCTGTCTGATCTGATAACAAACAATTGAAGTATGCTTTCTAGTAAATATTCTATTTTTTGCTTTTGCTCCATAGTGCTTCTTTCAGAGCATGTCACTCCCTTTGTTTGCTCTCAGCATTGAACTGTTAGCTGAACTGATATGGTCTGATCCCCTTATACAGGGAATACTTGTTGAAATAAATACTCAACTCAAATTGGTACTTTTTGCAGATCATATATTAATGTTTTGGGGAAAATCCTATTACATTGTCCCCACTCTCCAATGTGATCTTCATGAATACAGTAAAATAATATGAAAAACTCTGAAACCTTGATGATTGTTTGCGACTGGCCCTCCCAGTTAGATGACCTGGTCTCTTTCAGAAGATCCACTCAGGGATTCAGCTATCTTGGTGTTTTTCTTACACCTTAAGCCACACAATTATTCTTCTCTAATGATGATAAACCGATCAAAGAAGTTGAAAAGGATAGATGGGATGTGCTCACCTTGTCACTTTTTGCAGAACAGAATCCATGAAAATGAATATTTTACCATAACTACTATTTGTACTTCAGTCCCTCATTATCTTAGAACCACAATCCATATTTATTAGAAAAATCTGATCACAATTCATTAATCCGAAGTATTGCAAGTACTGATGTCAGCATTAATCCATCAGTTTCTTTGCTTCAGCACATTCAGGGCTTATAAAGAGAAAACACATTATGATCCCACTGAGTGACGAGGGAAACCTGGTGAACAGAGGCACTTTCTTACCTCTGCTGTGACTCCTGTTGTCTCTGGATGATTCAGCTTTACTCTCACTAACTGATTAGAGAAGGTCTAAGTACAAACAGGTCCCATTTCGCCCTTCAAAATAAAAGCCTTCAAAATAATCTCCAACACAAAGAGGCCCGCAGTTTCATAAAAGAGGAAAACTTTAATTCATAATTCAAGTCATAACAGGCCCTTCAAAGCCAACAGACGTGTTTCAGATCCAGCCAGTGTTGGTGTAGAGGAATGAGACACACGGAGGATAGGGAATGATCTGCTCTGGTCCACTCATGCCACAATCTTCGGTCCGATCACAAACAAACTGGAAGGAGTGTGTGTCTGTGTGTGTGTGAGAGAGATAGGTTTGTAACAGAGTGTGTGTTCATGCTGAGTCGTCGCTCTGTGGCTGAGTCGTGCTGAGGAAATCACTGCAACAGAAAATGAAGACGCAGAAATAAGAGTCTTATATTGTGTTATACTGCATCATTTCACATTGTGTTATATCATCCTTCACTGAATCATTTATTAAAGTCACATTTCATGTTTTATTATATCCAATCATAATGCCCTGCTCTGTGTCATTTATGCAGTAGGTGAAAAGTTAAGTTTAAATTGCCTTTTAAAACTGGATTATTTCAGCATAATTTCACCATAAAACAATCCACAGAATCTAAGGTAGTTACATCCCGTTATGGGGCTCCCCCTAGTGGATTATCTGTGCACTATATGTTTCTGGTTTTATTCATTGGGTTTTCAGGTCAGAAATGATCTCAGTCATGATGTAGAGGTTTGTAAAGTTATGTGTCTATTATGATGATACAATGATATGCTAATGAGATAATGTTAAAAACATTATCAAACTACAAAGTATTTTTTTCTAACGTGGTACTAGTGTTAGAAAGTGAACTGTTAACCTGCTCTTGTTGCAGTGTTTGAGTGTACCTGAGGATGTTTGGCAGCTCCGGGCTCCTGTAGATGAACTTGTGTTTGTAACCCAGAGACGATGGGAAAGGAACAAACTGAACTTTGTGACCGCTGAGGCTCTTTGACTGAGAGGCCATGTTGTAGAGCTGTAGGAAGAGGAGTGATAAGTTCAAAGAGATTCAACTCCTACAGCTGAATTCATGTACATGTGACAGTTTCTATTCAGCTTTGTAAACATCCAACTACTGACATATACTTGTGTTGTGTATAACTTTAGATGTTCTGTCTTAATGGTCCCGAAAAACTCTGAAATATGAGCGGCGTCACTCTTACCTTTTTACCCAGTTGAAAAGGAACCACGCTGTCGTCCTCAGCATGAAGAATCAACACAGGACAGGAGATATGATTCACACTGAGGAGGAGAGGACATAAATACTCAATTGAGCTTACACTCAGAGATGGCACACCTTTCTGCTGTGTTGTGTTTAAACAAAAATCAACTACAGGAACATAAAGAGAGGAAACTCAGGCTGCAGTTCAAACCCTTAGCCTCCAGGGTGTGCTGTACAGCGATAACAGCTGTCAGGATATATAGGCTATAAAGGTGCATGTGGATGCAGATTAAATCTAAGGCTTGTCTGTTTTTAATGGAGTCATTTTTTTGTCTGAATAAGACCTTAAACTTCTTAGTTGGAATTCAAAACAAAGAGGTCAAGGGTCATTGGGGCTCTAAACAGGAAGGAAGCTGGAGATGTCGTACTTTTCATCGCTGGCAAAGCGAATGTTGTTCGCTGTGATGGCATCCAGAAAGAACCAATCAAAGCCCGGGAGGTATCTGTACACCTGAAACAGAGACACGCACACTGAATACAAACTTAACACACGCAAATACTCCCTGTGTGTTAATGTTGGTTAGTGTGTGTATTTGTGTGTGTTACCATGGAGAAGGGGTGGCTCTTGGCCTCCTCTCTGATGTTGGTGAATGGGGACTCTAAGATCAGAGCATCAGGAGGAGTCCCTGAAAGTGAAAAGATGACTGTAATGAGTACAGAGACATTATACTGATTTCAGATCAGGCTGATTTTATTTCATAACACTTCAATTAAACTAGAGTCTCTGTGATGGACAGAACCAAAACTCCTCACAGTCCATCAGAGACTGTGACTGTCTTTCTGAAAACATTTGGCCTGTAAAATAAAAAAAAGCTGCTCAGGCTTTCCTCTCATCTTTTATTAAGACAGTTATAAACTGTCACTGTCACTTATACAGTTCTGTGCTGTTTGTTAGGAAAGTTTTGTCTCTTTTACATCTTTTCTTCATCTGTTTGTAACCTGGATTCCTGGCAATGCATCCATGGTGTTCAACCACAGGCTCAGAGCCCCAGCCTGTGAATACTGGAGCATGTGCAGAGTGCTTAGGCAAGTTTTAGCTCAGTTCCTCACTTCCTGCTCAATTGCTGACTTCCTGACTCCCCAACTTCCTGCTCATCATTCTCGGGATTTCAGCAGAGCCAATCTCACTCAGGAGCTACCACAAAATAAACAGCATATAAAGGTTTCCACCACACTAACACTCTGGACCACTGCTACACTGTTTCACAGCAGGACTTGAACCTTGTATGTGTAATATACTTGGCCAATAAAGCTGATCCTGATTTTAATTCTGTAATATCCTGCCTGTTAGAATAATGTTTGAGCACAAAGCTGTTACTGGTACCAATGCAATAAAGCATATATACAGTATATATTTATACTTCTATTATAAATATTAAAACTTTTATATATACATACAGACTTTTACTATATATATATATATATATATATATATATATATATATATACACACATTCTGATTTCACATGTATATTCAGACTTTTATTTTATATATTAAAACTTCCATACATACATACACACTTTTATTATATATATTCCTAGTTTAAATCTATATATTAATTAATTCCTATACGGCAGGCCATATGAAAACATATACTGTACATACATATAACTCTGTGTCTGTATATGTGTGGGTGTGTGTGTGTTTTACCTCTCTCACAGAGTTGTCTGACCAGGTTGGTGGCAACTCTGAAACACAAACAATCACATTCACTATAACTCTCTGCTGCTGGGCTCATTGCAGTGTGTGTGGGTTAACACTGTGTATCAGTGTGTATCTGTGTGCGTGCGCGTTACCCTGTCCCAAGAGAGTGGCCCCAGATGTAAAATGGTTTTTTGCTGTCGAGCCGATTTTTCAGCCAATCGTAGAGGAACAGAGCGTCTGCTGTCATCCCTCCTTCAGATGGAGAGCCGTCTGAATCCCCCCAGCCTGGAAGGACACACATACAAACACACACACACACACACACACACACACACATACACACACACACACACACACACACACACACATACAAACACACACACACACACACACACACACACACATACACACACACAGTCAGCTGATGGTGACAGACTAGAGCTCATGGGTGTAACAAGTGTGTTTTTTTCCTCACCTCTGTAATCAAACGTGACTACATGGTAGCCTAATGAGCTGAGGACCTGAAAGAGGACAGAGAGAGAGCTCAGGTATCTGCATGAACTTCACCAAAACCAAGAGTAGTAGCAGGGATGAGTGGTGAAATACATTCATCCTGAACTGCAGTATATTTTTATTATGTAAATTGCTGTTATGCACCTTCCACGATATAAACTCAGAGTGTATCTGAAACATCCAAGTGTGTGTGTGTGTGGATACCTTGTATAACTGGACTCTGTGGTCTCCTCCCCTGCGGAGAAACAGAGAAACACCACATTTACTGAACTGATCAAAACACAGCCAGTACGTTAACTGGCTTAGTAATTGTGTGTGAAAGAGAAGTCACCTGGTCCCTGCGTTTCCATGGAGATAGAGGATGACTGAATAGGAAGAGCTAAACATGGAGTTGTACCAGTCTCCATGTTTCCCCTGAGCTTCTTTCCACATGTGAGCCGGAACTGTGTGCCTAAAACATGCAAAACAACCAACTTTTAATTAATCAATCCAGCAACTTAACACCAGCCACCTTTAAATCAACCAACCAACCAATTTGCTTATCAGTTAACTGACTATTCTTTCAGCCAATCAACCAACCAGCAAACTAATTAAACCAACAAATCAACCGATTAATCAATTAATCTTGTTCAATCAAACACAGACACATTTAAGCATCAGAAGATTTCAGCAGCTATGTGGCAGAGTCAACTGGAAAATCGGACGGTCTGTCAAAATTGGGAGTTGCCTCAGTCAGGCCCAATGTAAGTCTTTTTATTCTTAACAGAAGTCACATCATTCATGCTAACTGTATGCATCTTTTTTTTGACTAGATTAGATACAAGTACAACTTTATTTTGGGATGGTTCCCTCAAAGAAATTAAGATTTATTTGTGAACATGTGTGTGAGCTTGTGTTTACCAGACTCCTATCTTGAGTCCAGGTTCAGGCTCTAGGTAGAAGTTGTGTGTGTGGTTTAGTCCCTGCTCCAGGGGTCTCTTCAGGTCAATGAAGTAGGGCATCCTCACTGTGGGGAAGGAGAAGAGAAGGTCAGAATGTTCAAACAAAACTTTTTCACGGACCAAATGTTCCTCCAGGTACACAAGTCGCAGTCCATCCAACAGTTCACATTTCTCTCTCCTTGCTCAAACACTCACCAAAGTTAAGGAAGACGAGTTTAGCCTGGATGGATGGACAGAGTTTGATGATAAAGGGGATGGAGATGTAGACAACCAACAGCCAGAGTAAAACCCTCTTCAGCTTCCCCACCAGACCCAGCCTGCAGAGAGAGAGAGAGAGAGAGAGAGAGAGAGAGAGAGAGAGAGAGAATCCACATCAGGACAGACCACAGACCGTCTGGTACACCTTCTATTCCACCAAAGTACCAAAGAATCATTTATCTGTCAAAGGGCAGCAATTTTTACCATCAGCACAGAGTGCTCGGCAAAGTAAACCATCAACCTCCACCGTTTATCACTGCAGGGTTGAGTCTCCCTGATAAGCTTCCCCTTGTTCACTCAGATTCCTAGTTTCCCTGTCTTCCTGCTTTTAAGCTAAGCCCCATGCTGCCTTAGTGTTGGTGTCTTTGAGTGTGGTTTTACACAGCTTTCCTGTGGAAAAAGAGGCCTGTGAATATATGATTAAATACAATATAACACCATCTGTGATATGAAATAAAGGTGAATTAGCATCCACTGACAATTTATAGATAGATAGATAGATAAAGACAGAGACAGGCAGACAGATAGACAGACAGACAGACACCATAAACTAAATCAACTGAGAAGGAGGACTTAAGAGACTGCTAGACAACCAGACTGATTTTTTCAACCTCTTGAGCCCCACCTGCTGGATGTTACAGAGAATGCAGGTTTGCAACATTAATGGATTGGCTTAACATGTTAAACATTAAGGGTTCATCTATTTCTGCAGTAAAACAGAAGTTTATCGGAGCCACACAGCAGCCTCTCATGCATCTTTAAATACCCACTCAGGTTTTATTCACCCTCTCCTGTAAGAGCAACACCGATCTATTTTAATCCAAACAGGTTAGACAATCCAGGTGATATTTGAGCCCACTCAAGAGAGTGTGGGGGAGTGTGAGTGTAAGCTGATATCTCTGCTGCCACAGGATCCAGCAGCTCAGTCAACTTCAATTATTCATCTGATGTGAGACCGGCTCTTCATGCAGGACCTCCATCAGTAGCACACTCTACTCCTCCTCGACATCCTACAGCCCCTACTTAATTTACATTATAACTGTACTGACATGATTATAAAACCCCCTCAGCCCCCAGACTCATTTTGAGTAAAAGTGCAGGTGAAATAATAAAATACATTAAATAAAGTGAGGTCAGTTTTCAACATCTACTGAATTAAATCATGTCTCCAGTATCTTTGCAAAGCAAGCTCACTTCTCTATAATGAATATGAATTAAATATGGTCACATGTCTCTGAAGCAGTTACCTTATTCATATTTTTATGCCATAATAATTAAGATAACCTGTACTCTATGAGATGATAAAAGCTCATACTTTTATTCCATTCTTCAGTGATATATTACTCACACACTGATTTAAGAGGATCTCTATGTGCTGGCTACCCTCACCTGTCCCTATCCCTACCCTCTGTCTCTGGCTGTTTGATAGTTGTTCAGTGTCTCTGTTGAATGTGGAACCATTCTCTAAAAAAGCTCCCCTAACTCAGCCTTTGTTGTTTGGTACTTTGTCCTGCTGTTGTGCTATTCAACCCTGGTCCCCATGTCTTTTAGTTTTTCACCTTCTTGGCACTGAAGCTGTGAGAACCTTGGCCAGCTTGCTGTTCAGATGAGTGAAGCTGTCCTCAGTTGGAAACAAAATGGGCATTTTAACTTCTAGACCTTGAATTCAAGACAATCACACTTTTTTAGATGTATCTTACATTAAAAAAAAAAAAATCCTCAATTATCCTCGATCCTGCAAAATGTGTTACAAAGTTGACCAAATTATTAAAGATGGAGCTACAATTAAGCTCCATAATGAAACGTTTCAGAAAATGGTTGAATATAATGACCGGAGTTTCTTACAGCTCAATGTTTTTGTTTTGTCCTTGGAATATTAATATTAATAAAGAAAACTCAGACGGTTCATATAACATCCTCTGTCATACCAAGTAGAGCACACACTCATAATCAAACACATTTTAAAATCTTTTGCTGTGTGCCAGGCTTAAGTTTAAGGCCTCATCTAAAGGAGGGGAGTGGTAAATCATTTTAAATTTGTCTGAAACAGAGACAAGAAAGAGAACATTACAGCTGGTTTTGAGCGTTGTACTATCTGAAGCAAACCATGAAGCACATCTAAGTGTCACTGCATGTGAAAGATGGATGATGGTAGCTTTGACTGGGTGCATTTGAAAGACGATGGAAATTTCTCAGGAACAATCCTAGTTTGTCTATGCAGATTGTCCAGACTGTTCACTTCATTGAGGATGATAAAATGTTGTTGTTCACAGAGCAGCTGTGTCAAAGTCTCTGTGCTGTAAACCTCAGACCTGTCACAGACTGAGGTTTTTATCTGAGCTCAGCAGCAGATTTCTCTTACACTGTGTGTATATATACAAAAGCCCCAGCAGGAACTCTCTGATATAAAACTCACAGACTGTCCTGACTGTAGCACTCACAGAAAGATCAGATAATATCAGCTGTTTCTTTTCAAAGCTAGAGTATGTGAATGTACACTCTCTTTATTTCTGATGTACTCCTATTAAGAAATGAACTCATCATTTTCCTGTACTTCTCCAGAGAGGGTTTTCACAGCAGGTAAAGGCAGCGAAACCAGAGCATGGGGTCAAAATTCAGAGACAGTAAAGTGGGCCACAGAAAAGACTTAAGACTGCAGAGAGACAGAGAGATAAGACGTGATAAAAGAGACGCACACAGACACATCAGCTGACACTAAACAGCAAAAAAAGAAAAAAAACTTGTGTTGATAAACCAGCTATTATTGTGCCTTTAGTCATGGTGCTAATGAGGACTGACAGGACAGGTACAAAGACACTAAACATAGAACAGAACAAATACAGGTTGGATACAGCACAGTTAAGAAAAAGTGTGGGTAGAGGACAGAAAGGACGCATACAAGAAAACACAGAAACAATAAGATATCAGTGTGCAGGACACGCACAGGACAAAAACTGGTCAGAAATAGGACAAGTCCAAAACAAAATCAGGCCAGGATCACGAACAGGAGCTAATCAAACAGCTCGGGTACAGGAAAAAGGTTTTGTTTATTTGGCCCAGGTCAGGTACAAAACGAAGAACAAGTGCGAAACAAAAACAGGATAACTGTTTACTTTAAGTGGTTAGCTCGGGGTTGAAGCATCAGTGTTGTGCTTTTATTTGTCCTTGCAGTTCTTTTGCAGAACTGGCTGGTAAAAAAAACAACACCTGAGTCTCTCCAAGCTGTTCAACTTATCTAGCTTGATTTTCACCTGCCTTGCCGGGTAACACCACAATATTAGATACAGTCCTTGAAAATTTGAACCAACATGTACAAAGACATAGTATTCATATACACATATATACAGTAAGACTGAATGATATGGATAACATTTAATATCTTGATATTCATGCCAGATATCTGCATATTGATACAATATAACTATGGGTTCAGTGTTAATCATTTTTCAGGGAAGTACAATCATGATAATACAAAAGGATGTGGAAAGTGCAGTTTTATTGATTCAGACTCAGGGAAGGTCTATATTACTGAAATCGTTGATTTTGTGATATCAATATCTTAAATATTTATATCTCAGATCTCGATACAGATACGATTTATCTTTCCGTCCTAATATACAAACACAATGAGTGTACGCTGTATGTTTGTGATATCAGAGCTTGCTTGGTGGGTCATTTAGTAGCTGACGGTGAGCTGCAGGATTATAAACTGATCTTACTCTGCATGCTGCAACCTCAAGGTGACACAGAGGTGAGACTACTGCAGGGAGGTAGACGGGCTGCTTTGTGTGTGTGCGTTGGGATGGGGGGATGAGAGGACTGCAGGAATCAATGGCCCACCCCCCATCACAACATCACATGAAAAGTGGAGGTGGAAACCAGAGAAGTGTGTGTGTGTGTGTGTGTGTGTGTGTGTGTGTGTGTGTGTGTGTGTGTGTGTGTGTGTGTGTGTGTGTGTGTGTGTGTGTAGTGCATGTGAGATGAGCAGCACTCCAGGCATTGATGTGTGTATTGTTTGAGTGTGCACTTCTGTTCTAATAAAAGGCTGATGAAGAAAGTGTGCTCCGTGTGTTGGAGGACATTTACACCTGCAGCAACCCGAGCTGCTGCTGCTGACTCAGCCAAATCTGCAAAAGTGAAACACACACTGAGCATGTGCAAAGTGATGGAGGATCAGATCCTTTAACAGGGGTTTCCAATCCTGATAGAAACCTGTGAACCGCTAACGTTTGCATGCATATTTGTCCGTTTGAAATCGTGCCTTTTAAATAAAGTTGGGTTTCTGTTTTTTTAAACACACAAACAGGAAGACACTGCATTTGTTGCAGATTTGTCTACGTAAGACATTTCTATGAAAGACTGTGTATTTGTGTGTGAGGGAGTGTCTGTATGTGTGTGTTGTAATAAGGTGAAGTGTCAGTGTGAGCAGCAGTGTTGTCATATCATTGGCGTGTTTTCAACAGATTCAGGCAGACGCTGACTCAGACGGGTAGTGAGCATGCTTCTTCTTTCGCTCCTCAGTCTGATGGATGTGACAGTGCTCAATGACGCTGGAATCAAACCCGTGACACCAGTACTGGGTTCACCAGCTGTGAGGTCACTTCCTGTCTGATTTTAACAAATAAAACTGAATATAGGACAAAAACACAGAGCAGCGGCAGTCTGTGAAGTTATTCTTAATTTCTCTCTGATTCTCTCTGATCTCAGATGAGCTGAGTCTTTTCAAAACACGCCACTTCCTGACAGTTAGATCTTCACACAGACACACACACACACACACTCTAATTTTAGAGTTCAGCTCAGTTTGAAGGAGGTCTTTAAGTCCACACAGACTGCAGCAGTGAACAGCACGGAGGTTACAGAGGTTCAGAGTTAAAGCTCCGCTCTAATATACTTCCTAATGTTTCATCTACAAACATCAACCTTTAACCTTCATTCAGTGAGACTTCATTAAGGGCCTCTGTTTTAAACCGGAGGCCTCTATACAACCTCCAAACAATCCCCTCTTTGACAGGTTTTATACAGACTGCTCTTTCTCCATAACAGACCGTTTTAATGAACAGACTGTTGCCATGGATACGGCTCTGATCACAGACTTTGGAGACTTTTGTTCAAGGTTTCTGCCTGTCAAAGGGAAGTTTTGTCTTCCTACAATAATTTGATAAATACTGCAAAGTGCTTCAATCATGTTGGTTTAAGATGGATTAAGAGTGGGTCTTATTTTCTAGATGGATCTAGATGGCTGTAGTGATTTGCTGCGAAATAAATAAAAATTGATTGATTGATTGACTAAAGCTGATTTAATCTTCTGCCACAGACCTATGCCATACAAGAGTTGGTTTCGATGTAATCAAGTCCGGCTCCTGCCGATTCTTCAGGTTCTTGCAGGGTTTTGAAGTATCTCATTGAGTTGTCGTTAATAATGGAAGTAATTTTGATTGATCTGGGATGACCACTGTCTGGATTCCATCAGAGGTTTCTACATGAATATTTACTGATTTATGGAGGTTTATAGCACATTTACTCTGTTATTATTTTGTGTTCTCAGCATCTATTGCAGCTTCCTCTGTCTGCAGGTGGATGTGTTGTTGAGGCTGACCTTGTGCTGGTGTTTAAGCTGCAGAGTTAATGAGGATTACACAGACGAAGAGAGCTTACAGGACACACACACACACACTTACACACACACAGCCGTGCTCTGACAGTCTCAACCATCTCAGACATAGTGTTAGTCAGTCTTAAAGGGAATTCTTTAGAGCTTCAGCGTGACTACAGAGAGTGACTGGGGTCAAAGAGAAAACCAGGAAGTGACTCTGATGACTGGATGAGTTCAGTGAAGTGGGGTAAAGTGCGAGTGATCTTCCTGTCTGAAGGTCTGACCTCTCCACAGTCACCTGACTGTTGAACTGTTATATACGTCTGCTATTATTAGACCATTATCACACAGGCTTTAACCTCACTGCAGGACGTTTCTATCGAGGGGAGCCCGTTATCGAGGATTTGGTACCAGACTACTAGATTAATCCCCCTGTTAATAGAGGAAAAGTTCTGTTTATAAACACAGTAAAAAAGAGACATAAATTCAGTCAGAAGAACCACAGCTACACACTCTGCACTGACTTTTACAACATCTGAACTGTCACAAAATCAAACTATCCTGATCTTCAGAGCTCAAAGAACCTCTTTAAGTCAGCTCAAAGAATAAGATGTTCCGATAATAAATGATAAAATTACAGTTTATGAGTAACTAATAAATTGATTTATCAGAGGCAGCTCATTGAGAGACATCCTGATTGAACTTTTCTCTGATTAAGACAAACATCAATCTCAAGTCTGTGCGGCTAACTTAACCAGGGATGTTCAGATCAGCTTTTTGGCCTCGGATCCTGACCCTTTATATATACCTTTGATTTTACTTTTATTTTGATAGGACATTGTGAGAGAGACGGGAAATGTGGAGAGAGACAGGAAATGTGGTGAGAGGCAGCAAAGACTGTAGCCTCTGAACACGTGGTTGAACTGCCAGGCCAACAGCGCCCCACCATCAAACTATCACAAACTCTCTTCGTTTGACTCTGCCGACTGACAACTGTGCCTGTTTACATCCAGGTACTACAGCAAGGTGGCATCATGACCTGCAATACAGCTGTGAGGAACCAGTGATTCATGGTGACAACATTTTACTGTTAATCCAACCAAACATGCAGAGCACAAACTTCAGGGAGGACATGGCGCAACAACAACGCTGTACCTTTATCCAGGACACTTTTGAAAAAGCTGACGGTCTCTGTCCTTCCATCAGAGCTGAGTAGGATCGGTCGCATTCACAGTTTGAATGAATGATTGGAAAAGAGGATGAATTAGTGTCATCACAAGCACAGATAACACTTCATTTACAGTGGATCTACACAATTTTACCTGCTGAGTTTACACAGTAAAAAAAACCTCCTCCTTTGGGTTACCTCAAATCAAGACAGTTTAATTCAGAGGATTAACCAGCTCCGTTGTGTCGATAAATCTGTTGATAGAGATTACATAACACCTGCTTTAACTCTTCTGTGAAGCAGTTAATTGACATCAACACTGACACCAACCCACTGATGAAATAATGCATGAGAATAATAACACAGTCTGATGTTACTGATTCTCCGGCACCTTATTCCTGATGTTTGATGGTCTCAGAATGATGTCTGCTTTCTAAACATTTAGTAACATCCACGGCTGAAAGAAGTCCTCAAATAAATCAAGTAACTCCATTACTGAGGATTTGTTTTAAATCCAGACTAGACAGTACACTGCGGACAGAGTTCAGGACTAAAACAACAGTTGAACAAAAGTTCCTGATGCCTTAAATGTCTGATAATCTTCATTAGCTAATAGTAAAATGACACAGAAACCCAACAAACGAAATCTAAATTTATCAAGTTCTTATTTTAACTAGTTTTACGATCCTGCACAGAAACACCTGTTAATGTGATTGTTCACCAGTGTTCGTAGGCATGTAGGGCTGTGGAGATGTCTGTTTTATATTTTGTAAATGCTCATGTCTTATCATGAACATCCTGTAACTCATAGAATAAATACTTAGTTTTCATAGCTATTTTCGTGCTTATTTCCATTTATAAAGCCAGCAACAGCAGCAGAGTCCTCCCTGTATCTTAGTGTGAAGAAATTTCCTTTAAACTTTATCCTGATCAATTTTTGCGAGACTAATGCTGAATGAGTGTTTTTCTTTCAGCTGATCCTCCTCCTGCCAGTACCAGAGTCAGCGGTTTACCGTCTTTCTGGGACAGAAGATGAAGTTCAGTGAAGTTTCTTCTCTTTCTTTCAGGCCAGCAGAGTTTGTCTGCAGCATTTGTTACGCAAACTTGACAACCTGTCAGCACTCAGATCCTTCTGTTTCCTCTGAGAAGGTCCAGACTTTGGTTGGGGGGTGCTGACATAGATAGGGGTGGCCAGGCTATCAGTGCACACACAGATTATCAGTGTTTACTCTCTCTGTTTTTGCTGTCTATTTTAAAATCCATCAGTTATGTGTCAAACAGGTATGATTTTAGCATGTATTTTAAGTAAATGTGGCAGCCAATCCAATGAACTAAAAGCATATTTCAAGATCTGTTAATAAAACAAGATAATCTTTTATTTTAATCACAGTTGGGAGACTCGCATTAGATCATTTCATTGATTGGCATTACAACAGAATAACTGATCATAGAAACCAGGGTTTCCACCACATGTAAATGATCGTGGTACACCACACCCATGCCAAAATAAAAGCTGCCACACCTTCAGAATTACGATCTTCTTCTTTCAGATGTTTCAAATGTAAATTATATTATATGGATTTTCATGGAAATGAAATCTTTATTTGCGTACATTTACAGACCATAATAAGAGTGTTGAGTTGAACTCATGAAATGTGACACTGCTATGCAAAAAACCAACACTGGAGTCTCGACTTCCTGTCAGGCTTGCTCAAGAGTGGCGGTGAAGAGGCGGCAACAGAAATGTTTCACGTTAATAATTCAAAGTTTCGCCTCCATCTGTTTTTTTAGATTATGTTACAGTTAGGTTTGGAAAAACAGAACGCCGTCAGGTTTTCTGTTTTGACTCTTTCTTGGTTGCATTTTCAGATGAGTGGGCCAATATTAAAATATTTAAAAACCTTGGCTGTGTCCGAAATAGATCCCTAACCCCTATATAGGCGACTACATGGGAGTTAGCACCATTATGAGGGGTGAAACCTGAGTGATCAATTCCAATGCCCTATACAGGCGACTCAAAATTTCCAACAGAGCATTGCAAAATGTAGTGACCATCCGATGGTCACTCACCGGTGGTGGGCATCCCGTCATGCATTGTGTCTTGCCATGTAGTGTCCAAAACATCTGGTGATTGAGTTCACGACATAGTCAGCTATATAGTGAAACCCCATATGGGAGTTAGGGATTGAGTGATTCATTTCTGACACAGCCATAGTTTCAGATCTAGATGGTGTTCAAACATGTTTAGTCATCTCTAACTTCCTCTGTGGTCCACCAGTCACATACACACACACTAAAAACACCATCTACAGCACAAACACCTGCACAGGTAACCTGCTGATGTCACAGGGCTGGAATAGGAGGGTCGCACTGAATCAGCAGCTTCCAGTCCGACCAGCTCATCAGTCTCACTGAAACCAGAAGAACCAGTCAGCTCGACCTCTGACAGACCAGTCAGTCAGATTTACTTTAAAATCACAGTCAGATAGTCCTCATAGAACCATGTGCACCTAATCACTGAGGTGAACACCTCTGAACAACACAAGGTAGAGGTTATCCAGGGTTTCCGCTTTGACAAGATTTATGACTAACACTGTAGGCTACATAAACACACACACTGTGACACTGTGTTATATTTCTAACGTTCTGATTTAACCTCACTGAATCACTCTTTTTTATCTATTTACTGGGATTGTTGAGTATTTTAGTGGATGAAGTCAGAGGGACAGTAAACACATCTTTAAAGTGAGCAGAGATATTTATGTAAACGAGCTCAACATCCTTCACAGTCAGGTCTGTGACAGAAGCTCATCCTTTCAATTCTTCCTTAATTTTTTTTTTGCTATGTTTAACAAAAGAAGCAGAAATGACCTCCTCACTCACTCGCTCACGCACGCGCACGCACGCGCACACAAACTCCTGCCCCGGTCCCCGTCTTACCTCCTGAACGGTTTCCCCATGTTCTCCTCCTCTCCCCGGCCCTGTTCGCCGCCCGCTGCGGGCCCCCCTGCTCCCCTGCTGGGACACTGCTTCAGGTCCGGGTCGCTGTCCAGCAAAGTGCCGGTGGTGCCGCTGTCATGCTCGGTGGTCGGTGAGTTATTCCTCTTTCGCATCACTGGAAAGGTTGAAACACAAATATTAACCGGATGAAGCCCACAGGATGACGGGCCGTTACAGTGGGCCTGTCAGCGGGGAGGAGGCCGTTAGCTGGCCGGGTGGTGGAAGAGTGACAGCCGGTGAGGACGGAGCTGAGCCCCCGTTGCGTCTCCAGCTCTGAGCCTTCACTGAGATCCGCAGAGAGCCGCTGAGCAGCACCAAGCTGCCGCAGCCAATCACAACACAGAAACACAGCCACGTGGTCTCACTCTGCTGCGTCCACGGGCCCTCGGGAGCGTCGGAGCAACGACTACCAAAACAAAATTCAGTTTACGGAAAAGGGAAATACTAAACTGGTGCACGGTGCCTTCAAGTGCACTTTGGAAAAAGAAAAATCCTCACAGGGAAATTGAATTTACTTGATCAGATGATCTTTCATAGAAGATACACTATTGTTACAGAAAAATCATTTTAACTTATAACAATATAACTTAATTTTATTCATATTACTAACATTTATTTTAATGAAGCTTATTTTTCTGACCCTTTTTTTTAATCCAACAGCACCTTCAGAGTTGTGTTTATAATCAACTCAGTCCAATAAAAAAAATCCTTGATAAAAAGCTGATCTAAAATGCTAAACCAGAGGAACAGACAGTGAATGCAAGTTAGTTTCTTTGCATCCATGTAAATATATATAGACTGGTATTACTGCTGAATTCTTGTGTATCTATAACAGTTTATTTTAACTGCATGGTTATCACCGCTGCAGTTCAAGCATCAAATCCTGATCTATGAGGTTACTATTGTCTCATGACAAACAGGACATTTTGTTTTAAAATTTTAGGCACAATGTATGGGTATATTTAATTACAATCCATGCAACGGAAACCTATCAAATCCTGGGGCTAAAATGTGATTGTTTCAGTAAAAATATCTGCTCGTTTTAAATTAATGCCGGCAACTTGTTTGTAAAAAGTTATTAGAGTAAGAACCAAACAGGGGGGAAAAAAAAATGTTAGAGAAACAACCAAACAGGTACAAGGTTGAAAGAACCAAACAGGTAAAAAGCATTGTACTACTTTAAAAAAATGCTGAAGGAACATCTCCAGCTAATGAGGGTTAATTTCCAACACATTAGTCACAGGACTGGGTATAAAAAGGTCATTCAGAAAGGCTGAGTCTCTCAGGAGGAAAGATGAGAAGAGGTTCGCCACTCTATGAGAGCCAATAGTTCAACAATTTCAGAAGAATGTTCCTGGGTGTAAAACGTGAAATAATGAGTGGATTTCATTTTCTACTGTATATTATACCATTTAAAGATTCAGAGAATCTGGAGACATCGTTGTACTAAAGGGAAAGGGACAAGGACCAAAACAACACCTGACATGTGACCAACCTCCACAGTTTCAAAAAATCCTGGAGGAAAGTCAACACATCATTCGTGTCCAATTGAACAGAAGTGACTGACAGAAAGGGACACCTGTTTATATCCACTGAGCTCTGGACCTCAGTGAGTTTCTAACACATAGTAGTTGTTCTGAAGACACGTGAAAACTGAGCCCATTCAGTCACCAGATCATACACTGTTGACACAACAGACTGGATATACTACATCTATCTATATACAATCTATGGTTGACACTGTGATTGTTAGCTACTGGTTTACTGTGAGCTATGGACAACTGAACTTTCAAGTTTTCACAGTCAGCTGTCATGGCTGCTCCCTGCCAATCTGAAACAATCCAAAATGTCTTCATTTCATTCAGCAGTTTTACCCTCTTCATTAATACACACGAGTCACCTCTTGAGGTATAAAATACAACAATCTCGATAAATTCAGAAGAATCATGCCCCTGCTAAAAAATAAATAAAAGGGACCCACCCCTGTACTATATTTACACGTCTTTCTGTTCTTTCTAGCAACCCTTTTAACATGTATTTGTGCTTTTTTCACTGTGGCTGAAATTTAAAAGGTTTTTTGTGTTATTCTGTCTCGCAGATACTCACAATTTTACAGCTCCATTTCTTTCCCGGGTCACTTGAATGCAGCATGAAGCACACCTACGAAGTTTACAGCAATACTTAAAAAACAAATCAAAGTTTGCGTAACCAGAATGTTTAAGGAGGGCCTTATCTTTAAAAAAAAGATGCTAAAAAGTACACTGTCTAAAACAATAACGCAGAGTCTGTAAACTTGGATCGTTTCCGTAGATTCAACTCTTACTAGCGCTGCGTTTCTTCTTATGATTCATATCGTGGCAACCAGCACGAAGGTGCATTACCGCCTCCTATCGGACTGGATGTGGAACATCAGCTGGCCCCCTAGCCTTCTCTATACAGAACTGTTCATTTATTTGTATCTGGTTGCAGCAGAACATGCGCACTTGAACAAAGGGAGCCAATCAAAAGACCGTGAAAAACTTCACGGGATAACTTCGCTGAAAAGCATCTAAAGAATTCGACTGCGGCATTTCTTGTTGCTGATGTGAGGTTTGTCCCAGCTGGGCTGCCGTAGCTCTCAGATATCAAGTCACGTGATAACAACACTGCTGCAGTTTTGCCGCGAAACTAAACTGGGTCTGCAGAGTGAGACGGATGTTTCTCTCTGTTCACTAAAGGTTATTTCTGGAATTAAAAGTGACTTTCTCTGAAGGTTTGTACGCAGAGTGTTGGTGAGTGTTGTCAGGATGTTCTGTGAGAAATCTATCGAGTTAATCAGAGAGCTTCACCGGATGAGTGACGGTCAGCTGCCCGCTTTTAACGTGAGTATACCTCGCTGTTATCTGGAGACTTTACCTGTAATTTCAGCAAACACCCTCACCTTTTTATTTTTCATTATTTCATGAGCATAACTTGCCAAAACCGTGACTGGATAGTCTTGATCTTCAGGCTCTCAGGCAGCACTGAGGATTTTGAGAATCATTGATACAGTGTCCTCCACAGTACAATAACGTCATTTAGTTTCAACATCTGTTAAGTTGTCTTTGCACTATTTAAATTAAGTCCAGGGTTTAAATAAATTCCAAATCATCAGATTCTGTGAAATCGTAATTTTCTGTCAGTGTCCCACCTCTTTTTGGAGTATTTGAGAATATAGTAAGGTTGATGTGTCTGTGTGTGTGTGTGTTTTGTTTTAGGAGGATGGACTCAGGCAGGTTTTGCAGGAGATGGAGGCTCTTTATGAACAGAACCAGACTGATGTGTGAGTCCTGACACAGATTATTAGAATTTAAATAAGGATGTAAACTCTGCCTCACACAGCTAAGTTTTGAAGAATGATTGCAAATTTCTGTATTTTTTTCTCAGTATCTTTGTGTGGTGATTTATTTTATTCTATTCTAGTAAATATCTTTGCTTTAAATTCCTGGATAGGAAAAAAGTTTTCCTGTTGGTGCTAAAAGAGGAAAAAAAACAGACTTAAGTTGACACTGAGAGCAGATTTTAAACATTTGAATAAATCTGTTTCACCTGGGTTTGAGTGGAGATGCTTGTAGAGTTCCCTTACATTTGATTTCTGTGGCAGAAACATGAAAAAACAGGCAGATGATCAGTTGATGTGTTTGTCTGTATATCACAGTAACGCGGCAAAAGCTGAGGGTCGGGCTGATTTGATCCCCTCCATCAAACTGCGTCACTGCTGCCTGCTGAGGAACCAGCGCTGCATCACCGCCTACCTGTACCTACCTGACACACACACACACACACACACACACACACACACACACACACACACACACACACACACACACACACACACACACACAGGCACACTCACACCTGTAGATCATGTGACCTCTCAGTCAGTGGTGTACTGAAGCTGATACCTGTCCATTCTCTGTCAGGTACGACCGCCTGCTGAGAATCCGAGCTCTGCGGTGGGAGTATGGCAGCGTTCTGCCACCGAATGTTCGATTTCACATGTGTGCAGAGGAGGTGAGTGTGACGCCACTTTCAATGTGTGACCATGTCATAGCAGAGCTGTTTACCTGTGGATGTGTGTGTGGTGTGTCAGGTGCAGTGGTTTGGTAATTATAAGAAGTCTCTGGCCTCCTTCATGCGCTCTCTTGGAGGAGGGGAGGGTCTGGACATAACTCAGGATATGAAGCCTCCAAAGAGCCTTTACATCGAGGTTAGTCTGCTTATTTTAAAGCTTTACTGTTTTAATTTTTCTTTTGAATTATTCCAGCGCAGTGATCTCTCAGGGTTCAGGATGTGAACTCAAGGCAAAGGTGTAAAAACAGACTCAACTGTGAGGTGCTCTGAGTCTGCCTTCAGTTTCTGGGATCGTCGTTTCATGAGTTCTGTTGTTGAGCAGTTTTTAAAGTTGACTGTTTGTGCACAGAGTCAGTGATTTCAGCTGTAAATCTGAACCTCCAGTTTTTTAAATCTGCCGGAGCTTAAAGCTGATCAAAGTGTCCAAACTGTTAGAAAAAGTGACACTAAATGAGTAACAGTTGGTGTGAAATATTACAGTGAAATGTTAAGTTTAGCTTAATCTTACTTATATTTACTGAGCTGTTTTCAAGGTTTTTTTTTGACAGAAATTACATTCTCTTGGTAATATGGATTTTTTTTGGCAATTAATGAAATGCTTTTGAGTTCAAGGTTCTTTTTTGTGTGTTTTGAGATATTTATTGATTTTCATACTATCGTGCCATTATGCTGTGTGTGTTTTCCAGGTGAGGTGTTTGAAGGACCACGGAGAGTTTGAGATTGATGATGGGACGGTGATCCTGCTTAAGAAGAACAGTCAGGTCAGATTAGAAAGATGCTTTTATTTTGAAATCTTCACACATCTATTAAATCTTACTGAATTTGTGTGATTTTCAGTCTTTAGACTCTGGCGCTGCACTTTAAAAATCCTCTGCCTGTTTATTTAATGAAAACTGAAGTTATTCTGATAACTGCTTTTTATCTTTTTGAAGAATATAAATCCCGTTGATAATAAAATGAAGCAAAGACTAGACTGACCAGCCGTCTGGAAAAAAAATCACCATTTCATTGATGAACAGGTGCTCTGGAACTAAATTGTATCTCTTTGGTTGTGTGTCTGTTCACAGCACTTCCTGCCGCGTTGGAAATGTGAGCAGCTGATTCGTCAGGGTGTCCTGGAGCACGTCATGTCCTGAAGTCACAGCATCTGAAATAATCTGATTTAAAGTGCATACTGTGAGGTGGCCTGATTCCCACTATCCCTGAACATTAACATGTATAAAATTAAAGATGTCTTTTTCTAAATATGCTGGCTCCTCTCACTAGCCCTTCATCTGTTAAAGGGACAGTTTCTGTTTTTGCAGTGTGGTTGTATGAGGCTCTTGTTATTAGTGTGTAATACAGACAAAGGATCTCAATCAGCTCGACTCAGAACAGATGCTGAACCATCCGCCTCTGCAGTCAGGGTCGGTTTTTACAGTAAAACTTAGACATTGAATGAGCTCCAACCAAAGCACTGACTTCAGTTAGAGTGTACACTCTAGCTGGAAGATTTTGGTGCTTTGCAAAGTTTAAAAAGCCATTTAGTTTTTTAGTGACTCAGGGATGTAGTGCTCTGATCAGCTGAGGTCAATGATGTTCCAGTTGCTGAGAAACTGTGAATCTTGATTTTTTTGAAGCAGCAGAGTCCAAATCCAGGCATTATTATAGTAACAGTAATTATAAAAAATGAATATAATTCTGTTTGTTTCTAAACTTTATGAAGCTCTCTATCAAAGAGGCCCCTCCAAGGACTGACTTAAACATTATTACATCAAACAGATTAAAGCTTCTGTTACCTTACAGTCAGATTTCTTCCCATTTCCCCTGAATGCATCCCCTACCCAGGTGAGTCTGAAGCCAGGTGTGCTTTTAGTCAGACTTAATTCAGAGGATAAGCAACAAGGAGACAGGACTGTGAGATAAAAACATAATTTAATGTGCTCTTCATCATACAGTATCTCACGGCCAGCTCAGTCTGTGACCCCCCCACAGCCATCTGAGTCATTTGGTTTGATTGACCTGGACAGGTAAGGAGGATCAGAGCAGGTCTCAATCTACAGACTGGAACAGGACACAGGAATCTGAAGTTGTGATTGGACAGCAGTCACAAAAATAAAAGTCTCACTTTGACATAAAGACATCAATAAACAAGGAAAAGAAACATCAATAATAACAATAATAATGATAATACCCTCATGGTGAAATACTCAGAGCAGTGCTGTCCCACAGGACTCCGTTTGTGTGTGTGTGTGTGTGTGTGCGCGTGCATGGGTGTGTGTGGTTAGACTGGTTCTCTCAGTTGATGTGAAGCAGCTTCAGGGAAGAGCACAGACACAAACCCTCACCTCGATACAGTGTCATTACAGGTAAGGCTGCTGTTGACTCAGGTAAGAGGCCACGCCCACACCTTGACACACCTGAGATTACAGCTGCACACCTTTATCTCACCTGGTCTCTGTTTTATCACAAGTTTCACTGTGATGGTTTTACTTTAAAACGCTGAAATCAGGTTCATAATGGTTGAACTTTGGCATCATTGAAACCTTTAACACTTAGCAGAGGAAACTAGAGAGTCCCCAGAGGCTAAAACATACTGAAAACAAGACACTATAAAATCCATTTTGATTTAGAGACTCAATAATTTACAACATGACATCTGTATAATCTTAAACTGCTACATGATCCCACCCCTTCTGCTGAATTCCAGGTGTAAAATAAATTATCCTTCATAATCAGTGCTCATGCTGACTTGCTGTTCATCTGTTTGTGGTGAGTCTTAGCATCACTGCGAGTAGTTAAACACACAGGAAATCTTAACCCTGATTGTCTTTAGTGACTCAGCGTCAGTCAGATTAGTGTCTCAGTGTAAATGTTTGATCTAGATCTGATTGTTAGCTGATGTTTAAACAGAGAAGGAAATCCTCCTCAGATTACCAACGATAGGAGATGGATTTCATTATTGTGGACTGTGACTCTCCTGCTTTTGCTCTCCATACAGACTGTTTTCCCTGCTGATACCTGATTGGTTGAACAAACAAAGGGATGTTGTGATAGGTCAATATGATCAATACTCCATGGATATCTCTATCAATTATTCACACCTGAACAGAATCTACAAATACAACTCTGAAACTCTTCCCTCTTCTTCAAAAGAGTCACCTAAAGTTAAACTGAAGTCTCTTTTTTCCGTCTTTTGACGTATAGAGTATCAGTATAGGGTATAAATATAGAGTATAAATATCTTATTCATCTTTAGATCATTAGTTTGTGTTTCCTTCAGACTTAATTTGGTCTCACTTTGTTGACTGAGGTCTAAAAAAACCTGTCACACCTCTAACTTCACAGAGTGTCTGACATGTCTGAGAGCAGCCTCCTCCTGTAGCCAGTCTTTGTGCTAAGCTAGGCTCATCTGCACTGTGTCTGTCTCCCTGCTGAAGCTGCTTCAGTGAAACTGATCTCGGAGCAGCTGTGGCTGAGGTTTTTGATGCGTGGTTGTGCAGCTACGTGGCGAGCGAGGCGGGGACGATTTCTCTCAGCAGTTTGTTCAGAGCGCGGACTTTCTCCTCCAACAGGGAGTTCCTCTTCTCGGCACTCTTCTGCCGCTTCTCTGTGACCTGCAGAGCCTTCATCAGCTCGGAGTTCTCCATGTACAGATTCTTCAGCAGCATGCTCGACTTTGTGTTCTTTGCCATCTGCAGGAGGAATTAAACGAGTCACATCAGGATCAGAGGATGGCTGACAAGAGTGAGGACCTGTTTGAGGACTCACCTGGTCTTTGAGCTGCTGGACCTTCTCCTGCAGGACCAGCCGGACTCCCTTCAGTTTGGTCTCCAGCTCCTCCATCCTCTGCTGCAGGGTTGACACCGTCTTCTCGTATTGATCCTGAACATAACACAGATGCAGAAACACTTGATGAGATAAAGTTTCATTCAAGAGCAGGACAGACTACAGAACTCCGCGGAAGAGTGAAACCCTTCCTCCCCATCCTACCTGCTTCATGATGATCTGCGAGCTGCTCTGTTGGCTCTGCAGCCTCAGTGTCTCCTCCAGCTGCTGATTCCTCCTCTGCTCCTCCTGCAGCCGAGCCTGCAGCAGCTCCGCCTGCTCTCTGCAGCCGGCCCCCACCTGCTCCTGCAGCTCCTGTATCTGCCTCAGGTGCTGCGCCTGGGCCAGACTGAGTGCCGTGTCGGCCCGCAAAACCTGAACACAGCATTAGACATTTTTTTAACTCTGATGCCATGTTTGGTGTCAGATCATTGTGTGGGCTGAAGTCTTGGTTGATCTCCTGACCTGGTCCTCAGCCTGTGTTCGGGCCGTCTCAAGCTGGTTCAGCTTAGTCTTCAAGTTCTGTTGTTCCTGGGTCAGTTTGTGGACGTCCAGACCCTGAACCTGCAGCTCAGACAGCTGACAAACAGCAACAAGTCAGTCTCCATGAACTCTGTCAGTTAAGACCTGTGTCTGCTAACTGTGGTTTCGTGCAGGACTACCTCCTATCTGTCAGAGCACTTCTCACCAGCTGATCAAACATTAAGCAAGACCAGGTGAGAGAGCAGACCCAAAACCATCCCCCTGTGTCAGTGGACACGGGCCCTGATCTTGATCATATTTACAGTCATACTGGCTGGAAGTACCTTTTGTTGGAGCTCCTGGTTCTGGACTCTAAGTTTGTGGGTCTCCTCACGCAGACTGATGGAGGTCTGCTCCTTCTGCTCCTCCAAATCCTGACTCAGCTCCTCCTTCTCCTTCATCAGCCTCCTGACGCTGCTCTCCAGCTCCTCCATCTGAAAGACCACAAAACACCAGCTGTATGGTCAGGGATCAAAGCAGGAGGTTTGACCGAGTCTGACTGAGCAACAGAGAGGTCAGAGGTCAGAGGTCAGGGGTACAGACTTTGACTGTGTGACCATTCAAATCACAATTAAAGAAAACTCATCCTCTGCTCTCTGCAGCATTTGGATATCTGATGTTTCGTTCACACAGGATGCAAATAAGATTAAGTCAAAGTTAAGGCCAGAGAAGATGCAAGTTCCTGTTGGTAACATAAATGGTGCAAATGTTCATCACAAACAGCCAAAATTAAGTGTATTGTAGGAGTTTCACAACTACTTATTCTAACTTGTTGACCATTTTTCTAAATTTTAGTTGTTGCTCTGTAAGACAGATGCAGAAACAATGGTGTTGGTGCACAATAAAACTGTGTTCTGTTACACAAGCAGCTCAATTGTCCCACAGTGAGACGTCAGAATATTCAAACTAATATTTGATCTACAGGAACAGAAAAACTGCAGCAAGGCTCTTGAAAGAAAAACAACTCTAGCTGCAGGTAAGAGCCAAGATTCACTGTGGGATTGAATTTCCAATTACTTGGTAGCACTTAAGTAGCCGACTAGTCATTGATTTATTGAGTTGGTGAAAGCCCCAGTGTGATGCAATACTTTGTTCATTTGCTTATTTGTGGAGTTGAAAATCTGACTTCCGGCCACAAAGCGGTGGAGATTTATTAACTTGTATATGGAGGACAAACTGCAGCTTCCCTGAGCTATACGACTTGTTTTCAATATTGAGAAAGGTATAAACAAAAGGCTCACCTGGAGAGGGGAGAGTGAGGGGGTCAGATTATCAGACAATAAATCCTTATAATGTATTCAAAGTCAACTGTGACTGATATAAACATACTGACATGACGTGAAGGAAACCTTGCCTGTCTTGTATAAGTCTGAGTCTCTGAGCACTCGTGCAGACACAGTATGGAGTTCCGGTGTTCAGACACTCGCTGTTTTAACCAGCAAATACTTTTACTAATGTTCAGTGTGAACACAGATTTAGAAACTGACCTTTCTCTGTGCATCCTGCAGCTTCTTCTGAAGGTCACTCACTCCCTGGGCGTGGCCAAGTTTCTCTTGACTGACAGCATGGAGCTGAGAGCGCAGACGTTCCGCCTCCGACTCCACAGAGAGCAGTGATTGCTGCAGCTTCTCCACCTGATAACACAGACTGAGTTAGTTCTGACCCTCTGTTTGGTTGTTACTCTGTTTGGGTTTTAACTTCTCTGCAGTCTGAGTCTGCACCTTGTTGTTTCGCTCATCTGCTTCTCTCTGCAGTCTGTTTTTGTCGTCCTCCAACCACTGGCGCTTCAGAGTCATGTTGCTGAGCTCCGCCTCCACCTCAGACAGACGCCCCAACTGAATAAAAGGAGAAAAAAAACCATCATTAAACCTGGTGCAGGTCAGATAGACAGTTTAACATCAAGTTCTATGGGGACTGACTTACTGCCAAACATGACCTCTAGTGGACAAAAGAAGAACTGCACCTTTACATGTCTGCATTGGATTGATTCTTTGATTCTGGAGGTCTCTATTTTACTTCAATCACTTAGTTACTGCTATTGTGACGTTGCTTAAATGTACGTTTGTAGTGCCTTGAGTGGACACTAGAGGAAATGCAGTTTCTCTTCCCCTCACAGTAATTCATTTTTTAGCTCACCGGTTGCTCAAACTGTCCAAAAGCTAGTAAACTGACTTTAAAAGTGTTTGGACACGTTTTCAAGCTGCTCAGAGGTGACAGGGGTTAAACAGGAGTTTGTAATGAGTTAGATTTCCTCAGTTCTGTTGAGAGAAATTGTCCCAAAGTTTCCGTTAACATGCCTAGCGTGTTTGTGTCAGGTCAGATGATTGAATCACAGCACCTTCTCTCTATAGGACTGAAGGTCTCTCTCCATTTGCTGTCTCTCCTGGGTCCACACCACCTGCTCCTGCATCCTCTCCCTCTCCTGCTGCCCCGCCGCATCCTGTAACCTCCGCACCTGAAACCACAACCAAAGGTCTGTCAGTCCACAGGAACTCTCTCAGAGCTCCACGAACTATGGGGAACCACAGGAACCATGGACTATCTTGAAGGTGAGTCTGAAGATTAGCAGAAACACTGAAACATTTAACTCTAAAAGAGTCCCCCTTCTCTCTGTGTGCTCACCGTGGCTGCCTTCTCCTCCTCCTCCTTGGAGACAGTCACTAGGCGCTCCTGAAGCATCTGAACAGACTTCTGGTCTCCACAGAGACGGGCACTTAGCTCAGCGTTGTCGTTGCTGAGCTGCAGGTTTCTGCTGCTCAGATCCAGAACCTCCTCACGGTACCGGGAGTTCTGCAGGGGGCAGGAAAAGGAGTGGGAGAAGATGTGTAGTCATCCTCACAGGGGTCAAAGGTCAGAGTTTATATAATTTAGCTGCACAGCTGAGAGTCTCACCTCTTTGTGCAGCCTCTCCTGCTCCTCTCTGCTTCTCTCGTGCTCTTTCTCCATCTCCTCCAGCCTTCTCCTGAAAGAGGACAAACCTTTAGTAGACATACACACACCTGCTCCTCCTGTGTGTCTGACAGCACACCAACATTTCACATCACTGACACAAACAGTGGTGGCTAGAGAGACAGGCAGCTCAGGTGAACAGCTCTGTTCTCACCTCTTTTTGGAGACGTCATCCTCCAGGCTCTGAACTTCTTGCTGCAGGACACTCAGTCTCTCCTGCAGAACTCCATTCTCTAAGCGGACCTCCTCCAACTGACCCCTGAAACCCACACAAACCCAAACATATACACACTAAGAATGGATACTTTACTGAATCACACAACTGCAATCAGCTGACTGATAATCAGGAGTCAATAAATGTTTGACAAACAAGCAAAGTTCACAGAGATTTATGTGGTTAAATCACGGTGTGTGGGCCTAAAAACCTGATTGGTGTTTTTATGTATTAGACGACTCAGCTGAGATCATTTAAATCTGTGTCTGCTTCATTCAGAGACTTTATCAAGTTTGGAAACATCAGGACTAAGTTAACCAGCCAGGTCTCTGTCCTATGTCCATAAGTCTGGATAGACCTGAAGTTCAGCAGTCTCAGGGGAGAGAGTGACAGACTTTAGACTGCCGGTTTGGGAGCTGGTCTGTGGTTTTGTCCTTGATCGTTTGTTAATTGGATGGTAACCATGTATGGATCATTACTTTCATCTTGACATGCTAAGAGGTCCTCAGAAATCATTTTAAGGGTTTCATTATAGACACATACCACAATTGAAGGGGTTGAAATTTTGGTCAACAGAGAGAAAGCAAAAAGCAAACCGGGATATCTGAAGTATACATAAAAGGTATAATGTAATGAATCTTACAACAGCAATTTCAATATTGGTGACAGTACAGTCAGTGATATTATCTTTACCATCTACTGGCTAATGAAATGGGGGTCTGTCCACATTTAGCCGGTTCATATCTGCTCACACACTGCAGGCAAATGTTCCTATAAGGAGGCGAGGCCTAGCTAGGTCACTCAGCATCAGGAAGCTACAGCCTGCTTCAAACAGTCTGAGACTGAATTTTGTTCATCTGTTCAGATCAGATTCAGATTCATGTTTCCATCCTGACAGCAGATCGCTGTCTGCTCATACCCCTTGTTTATTTTTTCTATATCACTGATCAAACCGTCTCTATCTGCACAAATATTAGCTAAAACCACAAACATTTTGATTTTTAAAAGCTGCTCCTCTTCCTTTTACCTGGACTCTCCCTCTACCTTCAGTCTGCTGGTTTGAGTCTTATTCTTCTTATTAGTTGATTTTATTGTTAGCTGTATCACCACTCCTCAGCCAAAGCCTTAAGGTCCTCTGGGCAGTTGCTTTTGAGCGTCCCCAAAACCAGACTCAAGTCTAGAGGTGACAGGGCTTTCTCAGCAGTCGCCCCTCGACTCCAGAACAGTTTACCTGGCCATATTAGAGCCTCACAGACCCTCGAGACTTTTAAATCATCCTTAAAGACCCACCTTTTCTCCCTTGTGTTTGATAGATGAGCACACATGAATCATAGGTACTGTAGCTTTTATTCTTTTAATGTCTGTATTTTATTCCACTGTTTTTAATAAAGATTGTTGTATTGTTATCTATTTATTTACCTACTTCTTTTATTTATCCTCTGTACAGCACTTTGTTTAACTGCTGTCTTCTTAATTGTGCTTTATAAATAAACTTGACTTGACTTGACTTGAGGCAGACTGAGTCCTAGTGTTTGGATCCTGACGTCAGAAATAACCTTCGCCTGATCTGTTTGGAGCTTTAAAGGAAACATATCAGAGTCAGAGAGGACAGAGAGAGGCTTACAGGTGTGGAGGACAGACAGGACCACACAGACAGAGTTATGGATGAAGAGTTCTTCATGCATGTGTCATTCGGTTAGCGATGAGCTGAAGAGTTAAAGCCGGGCACACAGAGTGGGCTGGCTGCAGTGCATTGTGGGGACTGACTGAACATCGTCACAGTGTCTACCTGTGGAAAATGATGATTAGTCATTCAGAGACGAAGTTTAAAGCTCGGCGGCAGATGGAGGTTAGTCATCATTTGATCAGATCAGGGTCTGGATCTTTGAGCTCGGTCTCATGCTCCACAAACCTGCGTGGATTGGCCTGGTCCATCACCTCTTCCAAGGCCAGGACCAGCGTCTCCAGCTCCAGCAGCTGCTGTTTGATCCTCCTCTTTTCCTGCTCATAGTCCTGCTCCGCTTCCCTCAGCTGCTCTTGCTGCTCTTGCAGGGCCTGCTGTAGTCCGAGGGCCTGCTGTCCCACCAGGTCCAGCTCTCCTTTCTTCTCCTTCAGTTGGTTGGTCAGCTGCTGGATTTCACGGTGGTCCTTCTCTGAGGATGCCTTAGCGAGCTGTAAGAGGCCAGCACGTTCCGCCACCTCGATCCCAAGCCGGTCCACCTCGCTGCTTTTAGAGTTCAGCTGTCTCCTGAGGTCCAGGACCAGGTCTGCTGTCTCGTTGAGTTGGGCGCTGAGGTCCCTGAGGTGGTCTCTGAGTGTGGAGATTTCCTCCTCCATCTCGACGATCTGTGTGGACAGCTGGTCAGCCAGTCGGGTGTAGCCCTCTTTCTCCTGAGTCAGACAGCAGACCTCCTCCCTCTCCTCGTCCAGACTTGACTGGATCTGCAGGGTGTGGGTCTGCTTCAGCTTCAGGGCCTCCTGCAGAGCCTCCTCACTGCTCCTCTTCCTATCCAACTCCACCGAGACGCCGTCCAGCTCCAGCTGCAGGTTGTCCACAGCCATGGCCTGGTCCTTCAGGTCTTGGATTAGCTTGTCCCTGTCAGTCCTCAGCGAGTCCAGCTCGTTTGACAGTCTGGACAGAGACTCTGTTTTGTTCCTCATGGCGTCCTGCAGGTTCTCTAGCTCCGCCCTCAGAGCGTTGACGGTCTGTTCTCTGGCTTGAAGCTGGGCCTGCTGCTGGGCGATGGTGCTGGATAGATGACTGCAGTTATCGACCACCAGCTGCCGGTCCTGCTGGATCCTGTGAGCTGCAACCTGCAGGTGTCCCAGCTCCTCTCTCTGCTCACTCACCTGGAGCAGGAGCTGCTCCTTGCTGCTCCTCACACGCTGCAGCTCCTCCTCCACGCAGCTCTTCTCCTCAGCCAGTCGTCTGTTCAGATCCTCCTGAGACTCCAGGAAGCTGATGCTCTCCTCCAGCTGAGAGCAGGCCTCCTCTAGTCTGGCCTCCAGCTCAGAACAGCGCCCACTAGAGGCGGCAAGATTTGCTTCCAGCTGCCCACAGCGGTCCTTGAACTCCTTTAAGCTGGCTTCTGATCGGCTGAGCTGCAGCCGAGCGTCCTGAAGGACAGCCTCTAAAGTGTCAAGCTGCTTTTGGAGGTGACGGATCTCCTCTTCATGCATCTTCTCCGAGGAAAGCTCAAGTGTAGAAGCATGAATCCTGATCTGCTCCTTTTCATGTCGTTGCTTCTCCTCCTCTGATTGTGCAAGCTGTTTTTCCCTCTGCAGCTCCTGGCGCTCCTGGTGGAGCTGGTGACGGAGGCACTGCTGCATGTCTGCATGCTGAAGCTTCATGTCAGAGAGCTGCTGCTCTGCGTCCTCCCTGCTCACAGTGTTCATGATGTATGAATGATGATGTGTTACAGTGAGGACATGAGGACAGCTTCAGAATCATCCACCTGTGTTACTCGTACAGTCATCACACCTGCTACATAAACTCATCTTAAAGCTTTATTACAGCGAGGGACTGTTACAGTCTGAATGCTCTGCTGACATGGTCATGATCATTCGTATTTATATCCTTTGCTTGCCTTTCTGAAGACCTAAACTTGCTCTGAAATTTATCAATCGTAGCAAATGCATCAGGCCTGATTAAAGTTTGAAAGATTTTGTGGTTTTTGGCATGGAGGTGGCAAACTGGCTTTACAGCATCCCCAAGCAATTTCCAACACAACAGCCCCCAAAGGTGATTTTACCAAGAACCTAGTGGAGAAGTAAGAGGTTTAATATGGGTTTGGTGGGTGACTGTGGCTAAACATTTAGTTTGATGTAGAATAATGTGCTCTAGTGGGCTCCTGTTTTATACCTAGACTATACAAAGATGTCTCTTGAACCCCGATCTTAAAACCAATAAGAAGTCCCCAATTTAAAGATTGGTTGGAAACATAATCGTAAACACTTCCTTCTAAGAATAACTCTTCCTCTGGGAACAACCTGAGCCACCTCAACTTTGGTATAAAGGCAGAAAGCAGTGGAATAATGAAACATGTTTTGCCCTCTGGACAAAATTGACTGCTTTAAAATTTAATCTTGCCATACAACAGAAATGGAACTGTAACCTAGGAATGTACGGTCCAAACTAACTTATTGTTGTATCTTGTTTAAAGTACCACCATCCTACAAGAGACAAGAAGTCCATACCAAAATCTGCCACACCCCAACATCCACCAAACCCTGACATGCACAAAGGTAGGATGGCTTACGTTTTTTTATTCTCTACTTTTATACTTCAGTCCTGACTTGGATCTCTCACAGGTATCATTTTGGAGATTTCAGATTTCAAAAATAACACTTTAAACACACTGCAACATATCTAATTTGACAAGACATTTTTAATCCCATCATCAGAGACACACACAAACAAACCTGACATCCTCATAAAAGCCTCTAATATACACTGAAGAGTACAGGAACCCTGGTGCAGGTGATATGTGCATGTACACTCTCGCTACCGTAAATATAAAACAGACAAGCATAGCAGGGGAGGCTGTGAGATCACCACCCACCTGACCCGCATCACTTCCTGGTCCATCTTCAGTTTCAGCTCAGCTTCCAGCTGGTCCTTCTCTGAACTCAGTCTCTGGACCAGGTTACCAATCTCTCTCGCATAATTCTGCTCCAGCTCGGCTCGCTCCCGCTGCATTCTGGGAAAATGCAGACAACCAAACATGGTCAACAGTGCTGGCTCAGATGCAAACTTATTAAGCTGTTTGATTTAACTATTTGAAGGTGAGTGCTGATCAAAAACTTAACCCTTTAGCTGTAATTTTGGCAACAGGTTGACTGATGCCATAAGTCTTTGTTAGCACCTGCATACACTGTGAGTCTGCAGCACTAAAACAAGCCCAGCCTTTCAGGTAACCTCTCTTTATGGCCTGTTAGGAAGAGTTACCTGAAAAACCAAACAGGAAACTGCTAGGAATACACACTGACTGTCTTCTCACTCACCTGCGGTCCTGTTCGCTGCTCCACCCTCCTCCCCCTCCATGTTGGATCTGAGTCTGCATTTTGTCCACCGTCTCCTTCAGCTGCTTCACTTGCTGCTCCACCTGAACTTTCTGCTCCTCCAGCTCACTTATCTCCATCTGACACACACAGGATCAATCAGACCTAAAAAAACTCACCTGACTGTACACACCATCACTATGATTCATGCCTACAGCAGACTTAGGCAAAAATACAGCAATGCAGTATCCTGTAACATTTAAACACATTCAGTTTCATAACTGTTAAACAGAAAAACCTGCTGTGCAAAATGTAAATGCATGTCTAAATAAACAATCATCTCAGCTAATCACCTTTAACTCAAGTTCCCTTTGTTGGTGTTTTTACCTTGAAGGCCTGAGAAATGTCTTTACGCTCCACCTCCATGCTCTGTCTCATCATCTCCAGACTGCGCTCGTAGAAGTTCACCTGGAAGGTGGAGTGGTAGGAGAGGGATTAACATTAGTACTGACTAACTAATGGAATATTTCCATCATCTTACTCAAACACTACTCAAGTTAGCTAGCCACATAGGTGCACTGAAACACCTGCAGTATTCTGCTTCTGCTGGCACACAGCTATGGAGGTAGACAGGTGACAAAAATGGCCTATATGCTTTGAGAATTTTCTGTCACTAGGGATGAAAATGTGACTTTTTCTTTAGTAAGACTAAATTTATGAAGATGTAACATTGTAACAGATTAGTTTCATAGCAGCAGTAACATGATGTATATTCTGTATACTCTGACATATTTACTCCCAAAACTGATCATGTGACAACTTTGTGAACTTGGTCAGCGTGTACACAGATCCACAAAAACAATGCCGCAGTATGCATGCTACACCAGTAGATGGCACTGTAACTCTAAATCTCACAGGACACACCATGTGCAAACTAACATGCATATGTGGTTGGGGCAATGACATCAAGCAAGTTGATAGTTTCCATTGCAACAGAAAAGGGGGTGTCATTTGAAGATTTGAAGCTACAGCCCGGTTTCAAAAGTTTGAGTTTTCAGACACTCAAATACTGTCACTGTGTGTGGACTCTGCAGAGAGGATCATGTTTCCTGTTTAAAGGTCTCTGTGTGGACTCGGTTGCTTGGGTCAAAGGTCACACAACAACGAAGACTGCTTCTGTATGATGGATGGATTCATCATTGTCAACTGTGTGCTGACTACATTCAGTGATTAAGATCTGAAGCTCACTTCCTCCACAGCAGCAGGTCAGAACAACTAGACCATCAAATCAGACACTTTGAATAATGTCACCTGAGGACAGTGAATGCACAGGTAGAGAGTCCTGCAGTGGCTCTGAAGGTCAATGGCAACAAATATTTGAGGAAATTAGTTCAATAGAATTATAAAACCCTCCAAAATTTAACTAAATACAAAAGTATTTCACATATACATATTTTAGAAAACACAAATTAATCCTATAAAACTAAAAATATTGATAGTTGGATGTAAATTTGTGTTCAGTTTGGAGTTTTGTAACTTCCTAAAACATGTGTGTGTGTGTGTGTGTGTGTGTGTGTGTGTGTGTGTGTGTGTGTGTGTGTGTGTGTGTGTGTGTGTGTGTGTGTGTGTGTGTGTGTGTGTGTGTGTTACCTGTGTTTCCAGCTGGATGTGCAGCTGCTGCAGCTCCTGGCTGTGTTTCTGCTTCAGCTGCTCCAAAGCTAACTCAGTCTGAATACTGACTGCAGGACCAGAGACCACGTCCAGAGAGCCCAGAGCTGAGACACAGAGGACAGAGAGGCAGGGTGAGAAAGAGACAGAGGGACAGCTGGATGACCAAGGGTGATGTAATGTGACAAAACCATGCTTCGTGCTGCTGTCTATGTTGTATTTTCAGATCAGTCTCTTAGAGGTTGTAAAAGACTGTAGGCAGAAACCCAGAAAAGATTTCTATTAATCAGACAGTCCTTCAGCATCTGGATGACCCTCAGACCTGTCCTCTTTCATGGAGCCTCACAGCGATTATTCAGGTAGGTCTGACTCACTTAAGTTGTGTTTTAAACATTTCACCTGAAAACATAGTAGAACCCCTGCTCTACAGTGCTGACTCTGCTTCAGATGACCTCCTAACTCTCCTTTCTTTCTTCCTCTCCTCCATGTTTACAGTCAGCGGGTTCTGACAGAAAACCTTTGATTCTTTGCAGTTTCTCAAAGCTTTTAACTGTAATGATTAAAGACTCAACAATTTGTCCCTGAAAACAGAAAGTCATCGGGTTTGAATGTTAGAAACAGACTGGACCATCAAACAGGGTCTGATGTCACATAAAAAAAAAAACGGGCATTACCAAGCAGCTCTGACTGACAGCTTATACAGCCTATCACACTCAGCCATGCTGGCCCCTCCCACATACAAATACAACAGACACAGGTAATACACCAACCAAAGAGTGCAGGCGCGTGTGTGTGCGTAAGTTTTGTGCTCCTCACCTGTTCTATCTGCTGGCTTGAGTTTCTTCCTGACCTGAGGAGACGAGCTGCGCTTCATATCCGACTCATCTGAGCAAAATAACACACAACACAAAGTTACACACTGTGTCAAACTAAAACACACACACGCACAGAGCCAAAGAGCAGACTGAGGAGAGAGAATTGGACTCACTGAGAGACATGATGAAGCCGTGATCTACAACACACACACAAAAACACAGACACACACACACACACTGCTGCGGACTTGAAACGGACTCCTCAGCTCTCTCTGTGTGTTTGCATGTGTGTGTGTGTGTGTGTGGGTGTGTCCACCTGAACAGCTCTAACCTGCTCAGCAGATACTGATCCCCAGAGAGCAGACACGGCTGAGATCATTGATAGAGAGAGAATCTTTGATTTTTGACACCACAGAGACCAGAGATGTTCGAGGTGTTCAAGGTGCAACATGTTGGACTTACGGTGTTCATACATACACACCATCTGTTTCACTGACTATCACTGACTAACACCAAGTTTCTCTTGTTCTGGACCTGCTCCTCTTCTCAAGGCAGTCTATCTGTTCAGTAGGGATGGAAATTGAGGACCGGTTCTTGAGAACTGGTTTTGGTGACTTTGAGTGCTCTGAATGACTGTTTTCATTGAAGTCAATCACAGCTCTGTCTCACAGTGTTAACAAGTTAGGCTGAACAGCAGCAGGCTGACTCCGAGCTGTCTCAGTGTGTATAGAAACACAAACACTGGGGTGACCGAGCCTTTTCTGTTGCTGTCCCAGGCTCTGGAATAAGCTCCCCAACAAAATGAGATTTATTTCTGACCTGGACCTGACCTCTTCAAATCTCATAAGGAAACATATTTATTTATGCTGGCTTTTAATTCCCAGTACCATGGTGACGCTTTATTTTATTGCATTGTATCTTGTTCTTTTTTTTGCCTTTATTGCTTTTATTGTTTTTATTTATTCATTCTTATTGACTATGTATTGTAAAGCACTTTGGTTCACTGAAAGGGTTGTTGTAAAGGGCTGTATAAATTAAGAACATTTACATTTTGTGTTTGTGTGTGTGTGTTACCAGAGTCTGACTCTGCCCTCTCAGCCTCGTCTGGTTGTTGTTGTTGCGTCCAGCTAAGAGCAGAGTTGTCGTCGTCTCTCTGTCTGGATTTTCTGTCACTCCTCTGACTCTTCAGCAGCTCCAACTCCGAGCTCAGCTCGTCGTTTCTGTCCCGCAGCTCCTGAACACAACAAGCCAAGTCAGAGTTTATCGTTTACATACAGATGTATTTTTTAACGATTATGAACCCACAACCGACAATGCATCATGAGCACATTCATGAAGCATAATAAACACATTGATAAGGCTTTAATTAATCCCTTTAAGTGACTAATACCACTCATAACAGCTTATAGCGATGTTTATCAAGTGTTATAAGCAATGAATATAATGCCTTATGAAGGTATGATTTATAATGCACTATAACCTAATGTGAAACAAACAACAGCTTTTGATCGTGGATTTTATTACACACTATAACCCCAACAACTTGATCCAGTAACAAAGATCCACAGAGAACTTGTTCAATGTAAGAAGTTATAATTTCTCTGATCTTCAAATCAGGACAATGTCGTGTTCTTACTTACATGTTTGACCTGAGAGTGTTTGAGCTAAAGTGACAGCACAGTATGAGGATACTAACGTAAAGTCCACTTATATGAACAAATAAAGAGTATTTTGTGGCCGTAGGTCAAGTGTCAGACAAAAAAAACAACCTCAAAACTCAAAGAACAGCTGTTTACATATCTGTGTACATTTGGTTCATTTTGACTGATTATAAATGTTTTCCTTTTTTTTTTTTTTTTTTTTTGGGGGGGGGGGGGGGGGCTCAGCTTAAGTTTGTAACTTGACAAACATTTCTATGAGCTGCTGTGAATGTTTTAAATCACTTGTAGAGATTATGATACAGGCTTATAAACACATGCATAATGCTTCATATATATATATGCATTATTAGTGGTGGGTTTATATAAAATGTTACTAAATCTGTTTCCACAGATCAACAGCAGATTAAAAAACAGAAACTCTCAAACAGATAGACACACAGAGAGAGTCTGCTGAGAGGAAAAACATGAACTATTACATCTTAACTCAGTACTGCAGTCATCCTGATCCACACAGCTGGGGTTCAAAAACCTGGTACACACCTGGGTGGAGATGGCTCTAAAGATCAGAGTTTACTGAACCAGGATAAACTGAACTAAACCAATCTGAACTAAACTGAGATGAACTGCATGAAACTAAACTAAACTGAACCAAAGTGAACTTAACCAAACAAAGGGTCCACTAGGGCTGGGCGATAAACCGAGAATTAACCGATACTGAAATTTATGACAATAACCAACGTCATTTTGCCCATGTCAATATATTCGGTGTCAAAAAAATTAGATAAATAAAAGTTGGTTTTGGATGCGTGTTGGTAGGCTATGGTCGCATGTCCCTTTAAGACAATGTCCTATGTTGTAGACGTGACTCCACCCCATCCAGTCCATAACAAAGAGGGAAAGACAGGTGAGGAGATGGAGGACGGTTCAAAAGTTGTAGTGGCTAAAAGTTATCAAAGTGAACTGCTCAATATATCGTGATATTGATTTGAGGCCATATCGCCCAGCCCTAGGGTCTAGTGTTTACAGATCTGGGTTGCAGGCGACAAGAGTAACAAAAACTATGTTGATCAGGCATTCATAGATCTTTTCACCTGTATTTCACATTCTGCTGACAACACTCACAAAACAGAAAGAATCCATATTAGAAGACAGCACAGTATATTTTAGGAGTCCATGCAAAGCTGAACAGGTGAGGGAGCCCCACACTCTGGATCTCTTCCTGAGGTCTATGGGGCCTTTTGAAGGACTTAAGTCTGGCGCTAAAATATCTGAGGTCTTCAAGTTACATGAACACAACTCAATCAACATAAGTGGTACCTTAAATGATTAAAATCTATAAACTGAACTGAATTAGGCTACAATAGTTTGAACCTAACCTACCCAAACAGAGTCAAACTAAATAAAACTGTTGCTGAACTTGATTTTAGTGGAAATCATAACAATTTAAGCCAGGAGAAAACTGGAGAAACAACAGCTCACACTCAGCAGACGCATGACACCCGAGTGAGCTCCTGTTCTCACCTTGATTTTCTGTTGAGGCAGCATGAGGCGTTGAAGTGCACAGACAAAAAATGACATTCAGACACCTTCAGCTCATATACATCCATGAAAATGTTTCTTTTACAGGTCATTATGAAACAACATCGAGCTGAGAGATCACTCTGTTAGATCTGCTGTCATCAGGTTAGAAATAAAACCACAGCCTGAGACCAATGGTTTTTAGCTCTATATTAATTCAACCAAGGAGATAAACTTCGAAACTCATGATTGTGCAGTTGATTTAGATCAAACTAGAACATAAAGTCAGAGACATCCAATAGATGGGATCAGATTCAGCACCAGTTAGAGACGAGCATTAGACGAGTTTATCACAAATCAGAGATGACCATTAGACAGGCTCAGCACCAATCAGAGACAAGCATTGAACAGGCACTAGACCAGTCAGAGACAGAGGTTAGACAGATGCACCACCAATCAGAAACAAGCATTAGACAGACTACACCAGTCAGAGAACATCAAAGTTTACATGTTAGATTATGAGCTTTAACAAAGACACACAAATGAACTGAGTCTCACCCTGCACTGCAGCTCGTACTCTCTGATGATCTCTGAAAACCGCTCCTCGTGACTCAGACCAGAGCCAGACGGGTCCAAGCTGCCAAACTGTCAATCAAAAAAACACACAAACACACTTGATTGGTTATCGTGGACCAACAGATCAGAAGTCATCGCCATCATTCACAGAAAAGAAGAGGAGGAATGAACTGAAGTCACAGGGGGAAATCTTCATCTATAATTTACCAGCAACAGGTCACCTTACACCACTGCATGTGTGTGTGTGTGAGTTTGTGAGTGTATTTCTATGTTCGTATATTTGTGAGGACTAGTGTGGCACCGTCACAGCATGAAAAGTTTCAATAAAGTCTGTTTTTTATCCGTTCTAGTTTCAGTTTACAGTTTTTAGTAGCTGTGGTTGTAGCTTATGGTTCAGGAGTGTTTGAGCTCACCCAGTGTGTGTTCTTTTTCTTGTATTTAAACCTTTGTGAGGACTTTGTGTCATTATTTTGCTATTTCAATCATGTCAATGCCATGTGTAACAAAATCCTGTTAGCTCCCCAATGGGACTGGTGTTTTATGTGTAACAGAGCGCCCTCTGCAGGACGCCTGCAGACCTAGGCGGTGTACTGTATTCAGTCCCTCTTTGATAAGTAGAGAGATACTGTGCTCTGCATAACATGTAAAATTAACCCTGTTTTTCTGATCAAAAGTGATATTTGTCAATGTGAGATGCTTGATATAACTTCTTCAATTTACTTTCAAACACTTCTATTGTCTAGAATTTTAAGCACATCACATTTTTTAAAATTTTACTTGCTAAAATGTCAGTAATCCTGGAGGTGTGCACTGCTGACTGGGACTGCTAGATTAATTTCTTCTCTCTGTGTATCACATTCCTCAATCTCTGGGGTGGTTGTGGTGGCTGCAACACTCTCAGCCAGTTTCACACATTTTCAACAAAAAACACAACCCTAACAGCTGAATGTACGAAAGAGGATTAGGGCTGAAGATTTCTGAGCAGGATGTCTGTTTCCTGCAGATGTTCTCCTGATGGACGCTTCTGTCCACACAGCTGGATGTGTTCTCATAGATTAAATGGTTTGTTTGGTTAAGATGATGGTTAACAGTTTAGATGTCAGTCCTGGTCACCAGATTCAGGACCTATAGTCTCTCTATGTGAAAGCTGCTGATGTTGATGTTTAGGTGGGTTTAGTTACCTTATCATGCAGCAGCTGGTCCAGGTCCTTCTGGAGTCTGTTTACTGAACTCTCTGCTTCAGTCAGCTTTAACTTCACAGCACTCAGCTCCTCCTCCAATTGGCTGTTCTCCTGAAAGTGTAAGATATCATACTGGAATATTCACTATAACCGCTGTGGGAAATTAAAGACACTTCACTCAGCAGCTGTCTCATGGGGTTCAAATGTAGAAGTATAAAAAAATAGTTCAGTTCTACACATGTTGGTGTCTTACTTGTGGAAAAAATACTTTTTTAATTTTTTGCATACATCTGTTTTCAGAGTTAGATTGAATAGCAAGCCTTGAGATTACACTCAGAGGGATTGTTGAATTTGCTACATTGTCTTCAGACAGTCTTTGAGTAAAGTGCAGTGTAGGTGAGGGTTAAGTACAAGTGATGGGGGCTCACCTGTGCAGCACTGCAGAGCTCTTCCTGCAGCCTGGCCTCCTGTGCTTTAAACAGCTGCAGCTCGTCCTGCAGCGTGCTGCGCTCTCTTTCCACCTGCTGCAGCAAAACCTCGCTCTCCTGCTCTGACTGAGTGCGCAGAACTGCCAGCCTATCACGGAAGTCCTGCTCCAGGTCCCTGAAGTTTCACACAATATGAAAGTGTACAATTAATATTAGAAAGATCCCTGATGGTGCGTTACACCCAACATGCTGCCACACAGAGAGTATAACTAAACAATCTTTAAATACTTGACTGTATTCATGTACAAATAATAAATATCAGTAAAAGATACCAGCTTTGAAATAAATAATACACAACATTGAAAAATATTCAATGTAACCAGCAGCAGTGCAAAAGCACAAAACATCATCAGGTCCAGCCTTTTGGGTTTTACCTGCCCACGTTTATAAGCTACACAGACACAGGAATAAATGAACATTCAAATCTGAACTCTAAACCTCCACCAGAGGGCAGCAGCTCGTACTCTGTGTGCAGAGCATGATCTTGCTCGTTGTAAGGTAGCCAATTCATAAGACCTCTGCATGGATAAGCTACAATGATTTTCAATGCAGTATGGGTTTAGACGCATCTCCATAAAGCACCATCACTTGTAGTAGTTCAGGTTGTGTAAATAGGACCCTTAGAGCCCAAATTCAGTCCTGACCTGATTCTGGTCTGGTTCAGGGTCTCCATGCTGGTGTGGCGGTCGTCCACCTCTCGGACCAGCTGCAGGTTCCTGTGATCAGCCAGCTCCAGGTCTGCCTTCACCTTATCCCGCTCCCTGCAGGCCTGCTCAGCCAACACCCTGAAAACACACACACACAAAATAGGAAATATATGATGGAGTTCAGTTCTAAACTTTGTTTCTCTTCTGTCTCTTACACCTGTGATCACCTGCGAACAAGTTTGTTGTAGTTTGTTGATATCAATATTAATGATGAAATAAACATTCCTATATTAACTGATTGGATATTTACTGTGCTGTGAAAGTAAATCTGAAATAATTCTAATTACATAATCCAATAATCCATCTTTTCTGAGCTTTAGAGAAAATCCAGTGACTTAGACAAATCAACTATTGTGACTGTACATGAATTTATAATTGTTGAACAGTTCACCTTTTAACAGTCCTCTCACAGGACACAGATCTCTGCACACCATATTTAATATTTATCTTCAATGCTAGTGCTTCAAAACACAATGTATATTTACCTAATGTACATAACCTCAATATAAAGACGTATATTTTTCACAACAACTCTTTATTCCATTGCACTCTTCATCATTGCACTACTGTCTTTAAATACAAGTAAAATGTCTAGTTTCCATTTGCAGCCTACATATTTTGTAATTTTTGTAACAATTTTTGTAACATTTCATGTTTAATGTTTTTATATAGAGAGCAAAGTTTCCCAAAGTCAAATTCATAGTATATGTACACTCACTTTGCCAGTAACGCCGATTCTGATTCTGATCATGAAAGATCAGAATCAGCTCAAGGAAGCATCTGCATCTCAAACCAACAAAAAACAGAATCTATGTGATTGCTTTGAGTTGTGTGCTGACCTTTGACCTCCCGTTGCCCCAGTAGCAGCTACTGTAACTGGTTTGTGTTGATGGTCAGTGAATGTAACAGGGTATTAGTCCAGGTCAACAGACTGAGGGTGGATCACAGGAATATAAACTCTCTCTCTAATTGTCTGTTTTCGAGTAATCGCCTTCTTTAGGGTTAGCCTAGCTCAGCACTGAGCCTGAAGGCATGTAAGCAGTTGGATTAGTCTGACCCTCTTCACCAGAGCAACATCACATCACTGAACAGCCTGTGAGTGGTCCACACTGCTGCTTAGCTTCAGGCGCTCATTCAGGAAGTATCCAGTCACAGCATCCTTGTGTCCTTGGCTTGAATTCCCTGACATTTAGACTTAATTGTTCGTGAAACTGTGGAGAGTTTCCTAACATTTAACCCTTTAGTTGATCACAAATGTTTATAATAATGATTCAAACAAAAACATTAGCTGTAAACTTGTCTGAATTTGATTTCTTTCTTAGAAATGAAACTGATTTGTTAAATAAAGCTGATTGGGATCGGAGTGTAGCTGGTTACTATAGTAGCGGTAAGCCTGATGCTGGTTCAGTGGTCCACCTTCACAGCCGGACATCTATATTAGAAAATAGAAGTGTTTGTTTTTCTCAGCTAGATGTGCTGTTGTATAATAATGTGAAATCTGAAGGTATTTCCGCAGCAGAGCTAAGAGCTGACAAGCAAGCTTCACTCTGATCCAGAGGACAGGCCTATTGGATACAGGGCGAAGCCAACTGTAGGCTGGCTAAACTGTGACACAGTGAATTATTTATTTACCGAGAGGAATCAGATCATCAGTGATGACTGTTTGACTACAAACCCTGATGTCTGCACCATGTTCTGTAGACCATGAACGAGCACACAGGTGGGCTTACAGAGTCGTGCTTATTTGACTGTGTCTGGTATGAAATCTTTGAAACCTACAGCAGGTGCTGGATCTCGTTCTTGTAGGAGATGAGCGCCGCTTGGTGGATGCCATTCCCGCTGACCAGCAGCTCATTGTCCAGAGCCAGAGTCAAGTCCGCCAGACTCAAACGCTCCTCTAAGGGAAAGTCCAGAGTCTGCAGAAAATAGGAAGGAAAAAGACCCGAGTTACACCTCAGACAAATATCTGAGACTGAACTGTAATTCATTATTATTAAACCAGTTTTTTTATTTTTAAACAGCATTATCAAACCGATTGATGAGCAGCAGAAGCAGTCTTTAGCACCTTTAAAAACATCTAAACAGCAGGATAGGTACAAAGAGTCAAACTGAAGATAAATCCCTCAGAAATGGTGATCCTGATTCCAATCTGTTACTGACAGACTGCAGTTTTTAGTTAAGGCCTGCTGGTGGCTCCATGTGACATTAAACCATCAAAAACACCACAATACGTGTTGTTTATGCACAGCATGTTGGTACACATTGATGCCGTATCATTATTTTCACATGCAGCTCAATCCTAACCCCAACAGTTTAGCACTAAGTTCAAAGCGGAGCTGATGAGTCAGATCTGATCCTGGAGAGTCCCCTCTTGTTTTTCTTCTAGCCTGTGATATACTGATATGATTTCATGTAGCTGTTGGCGAGGCCTCACGCTGGTCTGGCACAGAAACTGGGCGTTACTGTGATTGTCTGAGAGGAATCAGAGAGAGCTGAGCTCATGTTCAGCCTCTGAAGAATCAGAGGAATGAGGAGGAGCTGCTGTGGTCTGAGGAAACCCAGAAAAAACCACAGACCCAGGAGCTGAAACAAAGCTCAGCCGAAAAACTCTGTGGACTGAGGAGGGAAGGACCAACAGAGCAGGACACACTGAGCCCAGGTCAAAGGTCAAAGAGAGGGTGATCTGGCTTTAAGTTGAGTTTATGTGGAGTCAGGTTTACCCCAGAATGAGTCAGCATGGAGTCTGACAGTTAATCATCCTTAACAAAGTCACTGTATCCTGATGGTTTCATCACTGTGGACTATTTATCAGGTACGGTTATATATATCATACATATATATCACACATCCTGGCATACTGAACCATATTGTACTGTATCATATCATATCTATCATTTGTATCAGGGATGCATAGTCTAAGTGTTTTGTCGGGATCAATGTACGGAAGTGTTAAAGATCAATTATCCACCTCTACTTACAAAAGAAAACAACATTTTTCTTGAGCATGGTGGTAGTTCAGGCACAAGACGCAGTCAAGCTCAGCCCACAGTAAAAGAGCTGATTATCATGAGCTTCAGCTTGCTTTTCTCTTGCTGTTCCCTCTATAGCCGCTTTGCAACCCTCCTCAAACCCAACTCCTCCTTTTTTAACATGTGTCTGATTTTACCAGTGTCATATTTATCGTCACTGATCCCCCTTCTGTTCTGGGACTTTTGATGCTGCTCTCCCTGCCGTGGTTTGTCATGCATGCACGCACATGAAACAGAAGGGAGGTGCTCTCCCTGCCGCAGGCTCGTGGAAGGGCAGGGAGCAGCCACAGAAGAGCCAAACCGCCAATTATAACCAATGCATGCAAAGGATTACTTTCTTTGGCAAAACTGGTCCTGACTGGAAAAAGTAAACATGTTATTTTTAAGTCTATAATGCATCATATATTTTTCACAGCAATATAATGCTGATGAGAGACGTTATAATTTAAGGGGAAAAATTAACTTTAAAAATTAACTATACATTGCTTTGAAAGTTAAATGCATTGCCTCATACACTGTATAACAGCACTATGCCCACTCTCACTTCAAACAGTTTTTGGCACTTGTGAAGTTTTCCTCCTGTCTACATCTACACTTGCTCTTAACTGTAAGCATTTGCCAAGTGATACTGTAACATCAACAAGCCCCCGCTGTATGAACTGACTGCAATTTCGCCGTTGTAACATAAGGATGTGTAGGTGATGGTGGTTGACCAATTAGTTTTTTCAGTGGCTGATGCAGATGCAGATTAGGAGAGAGCAGCTGGTATATAATGCCAATATCACACTGTTTTCCTGATAGCTGGATTGTGGTGATGCCACAAACTTAACTTAAAACCTCTGAGACATAACATTTAAGAAAATCGAAGAGAGAGCTCAGTCTGGAGAAAGAACTGAAGTCAAAAATGTTCTGCACTAACACAGACTTTAAAGTCTCCCTTCAGAGGTCCTGATCTCAAAACTGTGTCTCCACTATGTATGTTTTTTTTTTAATTTAACCTTTATTTAACCAAGTAAAATCCCATTGAGATCATGATCTCATTTACGAGGGCGACCTGGCCAAGAGGTCAGCAGTGCACGTCGTAACATATTCAGTAAATATAAGGGAACCAACTACAAATTCATGGTTAAAGTACAACAAACATTTTGGGATACTTACAAATTAAAAACACAGGCATTGTTCATGGGATTCTCACTGCTGAGTGAATAAAATGGATCAAAAGTCTTTAATTGAAACCAGTTCTGACATTTTCAGCTCTGTTTGTATAGTGTTCAGGCTGTGGGGGCAGCATAACAAAAAGCCTGTTTCCCCAATTCAGTTCAGACTCTGGGCACATTTAAATGATAAGTTCCACAAGTATGGTAAAAGTATTTCAGCTTTTTAAAACTCATCATAGAGAGGAAAACTAAAACCCCACCGCCTCATGACAGGTCCTGCTCTGCACTTACCTGCAGGATGTCCTGGCTGTTTTTGATCCCCTCCTCGGTCCACAGGGCGATGACTCGGTCCGAGGTGCTGCATCCTGAGCCGTCATCCAGCCGGCTGAGGACTCTCTGACCCACGGTGGCTGTCAGCAGGGAGGGGGTGGTGAAGCGAGCAGAGCGCTCCTCTGACACTGCTTCCGACTGCATGGAGGACAGAAACCAGAGTCAGACTGAGGTCCACATGTCCCTGAGAGGCTAACAGTGGTCTCTGCTACTTTTTAACCACATAAATGAGGCTCAGAGTTGGAGGTTTCACAGACAGAGGGCTCAAAGATTTCTCAGGGTCCTCATAAAGAGCCCTAATCAGCAGTGTGATGTGGAAACTTTAATCTGGATTAGCCAACATTCAGTCAGAGACACGTGGGTCCAGCACAAAAACCTTAAACACATCGTGGAGAGCTGAGAAGGGTCCCAGGAAACAATGAGAAACAATCAGGTCTAACCTGCAACTCCACCTCCAGTCTGTTTAATCTTATTCTTTTATTCTGAAAGGACTCTTCCTCGAAAGCTTCAGTCATGAACAGATGCAGGATCAGTCAGCATAATCATAGTGTAAAAAGTCGATAGCAACAGAAAAACTCCTTTGAACCAAATAAGTTTAGTTTTCTGGCAGTAGACCAGCTCACAGACTTTTGTTCAGTGGTATTAAAGCTGATTATGAGTGCATTAATACCCAATAAAGAGCAGCTGAGAGTTTTAAAACACTAAAATAAACACTCTTATTCCTCTAATCTGGTTTTTATTCTATTCTGGAGCCTTACATAAGAGGAATGCTTTGAGATGCTGTGATTGTACCCATGAGTCTTAGCTGCGGAAACAGGCCTGATTAAAAACAGCTGATAGGACATGATATTGACAGACTTTGAACTCATGGGTCGTCTCGGTTTTTAGACGACCCAATCAAACTTCTCGTGCTCTACAGGTGGACTACAGCTATGTGTGAATGTCTGAACACCTGACCGATCCACTATCAGGGATTATTCTCGACTTTAAAGTTGATGGAAACACACTGAGCCCTGCTGAAGCTTTGGATTCAGCATCAGGTGTGGTTACTCAGGACAAAGTGTGGGGGTTCAAGTGTCACCTGAGAGCAGCTGGGGGTCTTGATGTAGTCCATAGTCCTGTCTGTCCTGACCCAGGTTAAGAGTCCGCAGCCTGAGATCAGTCCTGACATGCAGGACATGACGGCTTCTACCAGCTCTACTGCCTGAGCAGACACCTGTCCACCTGCTGTTGACTTGATCACACTGATAACTGTCAGCTGCAGCACAGCCTTCTGGTTGGAGCTCTGACGATGCATTCAGGGACTCATGTACATTTTGACACTCAAAAGATCTCTCTGTGTTTGCTCAGATATAGATGTTATTCAATCTTAAACTGTTTTAAAACTCAGAAATACTCAAAAAAGTGCCAAATGTAAATACAAACTTCTAACAGCCTGTTGTAACGACCCAAAGGAGAAACTTTTTACAACATGATGAATTTAAATAACAAAATTCATCAGAATTTTTCAAATACAACCTGATCTAAATTTATTTATGAAGCACTTTTAAATACACCAAGAGCTGACCCAAATGCTGTACAGTCAAAATGAAAAAGTTCAGATATATATATGCAGAAAAACATCCAAACAATGAGAAATGTCAAGACCAACAAGAAGGTAAAAGAGAGAGGAAAACTCGTGGTGACGAAACACACACACATCCGAACCACCTAAGAGAAGGTGCTGAGATGAGCAACAGAGTAACCACAGTGAACAGGCAGAGAAAAAACACTTCCACACTGCAGCCTTAGAATGACTAGCCTTAGAAAGAAACATATACCATTCACACATATAGTCTTTTACAGGAGAATCAAAGAATATTAGGAAGTCAGAATTTTTAGTCCATGACAAAAATTCTAATAGTAAAAAAAAACACATAAGTAGAAAATCGTATATTTAAATATCTGACCTGTTTTGGTGCCCTTTGTAGGTCAGCTGATCTTACAGGGGTGGAGCAAGAGATGGGGGTGGAGCCATGTAGCACCTTCTGGAAGTCCCTGATGCTGATCCTGCCATCCAGGTCAGGGTCCAGCTTCCTGAGCAGCAGGTCCAGCTCCTGATTTATAGGAATCAGCTGGTATCATCAGGGTAAATTACAATAAGTCAAAACCTGTGTGTGCGTGCGTGTGTTTTCCTACTTCTGCGTTGATCTGCGTCAGACCATGACCACACACTGCTGACGGGATGTCTCCAGCACAAACTCCACCTCCAACGACACTAAGCTCTGCGACCCTGTCCTGAACACCTGCACATCACAAACACATGTACACACACAAACTTAATTAAAAACATTTAACATGAACATAACCAGAGCATAAATAAACATGTTGTGAATATTATCCTGAATATTATCTCTGGACAGTGGGGCTCTAAATTGTTAGTGGAATTATCTAATAAAGTTAAAGATTAGCCCCTCAAGTATCTAAACTCAATTATTATGTTTATGTAGGACTAATCAGCTTGTCTTCAGTTTGACCCAAAATCTGGACGCACAGATCACCGAGGAGACACTTCACTATGCAGAGCTGCTGTTTAGACTACAAGAAAAAACCCTGTATGAACTAAAGTGAAATCAGACTGACCCTGTTCATGCTATAATTACACTTCAAGAGTCCAAATCAGAGTGCACACCAGAGTAGAGAGTACCTTTATTCTGAAAGTCTGGCTGGATGTTCTCCTTCTGACTTCCTGACTCCTCATCAGACTTCAGGCTCTGCAAAGAAAACATGGAGGCCAGAGTTAGAGTTTGTCTGTGTGTGTGTGTGTGTGTGTGTGTGTGTGTGTGTGTGTGTGTGTGTGTGTGTTTATCTGTGTTAACCAGCCCGTTAAACTTTACTGAACAAACAGCAGAGTGAGCAGTTTGGACAATAGGGTGCTGGGAGAGAAAATTATGGAGTTGTGTGTGTGAGTGCAGATGAGTGTGTGTGCGTCTGCAGCAATGCCAATAAGCCAAACTGTGATCAGAAGGAATTCCTGAGCGGTCATTACCTCTGCAAGACTGACCATATTGTTTCTGTGTGTCGCTACCAGTATGTCCCTCAGTGTGTGTGTGTGTCTGTGTGGATATATACATCTATGAAGTCTATAGACTCCTGGTAGTCACGTTACAGAGCTTAGCATGCATAGCCCCCTGTGTCAGGATGTGCATGAGAAAGTGAACCTTTGATCGTAATAATTATTGGGGAGGTAATTGTCACAGTAGGTTCTTGTAATTTAGTATTTCCTGGTTTTATAATTTAACCTGTATTTTCCCTAGAGTTTCTGTCCCTTGTGTTCCTGTTTTATGTGTGTTTTCAGTTTGTCTTTGATCCTGTTCTCCTTGTGTTTTTAGCGTTTTACTCTCCTGGTTTGTTTTCAGTTTTTGCTGTTTATTTTGTAGTTTCTGTCACTGTGTGTCTGGTTTAGTTTGACTTCCTGTTTTATTTTGTAGTTCCTTCTCCTTGTGTGTCTGGTTTAATTTGACCTCATTTGTAAGTGTCTGTCCTTGTCCCTCATTGCTTGTTACCCTGTGTACATAAAGTCCCTGTCTTTGTCCATAATATCTAAGCCTGTCCTTGTGGTTTCCCAGCGCCTTTTGTTTCTTTGAATTTCTTTGCTCCTGTTGTTTTTTGGTTTTAATTTTTTCAGTTGGCCATTTTCTGTTGAAGTAAGTTTTTGTTGTCTCTAGTTTAGTTTATTCAATTTAACATTTGAGTTCTGCACATGGGTCCTCCATTTGGCTTTTGTTAAAAATCTTAAATCTAATCTTAAATGATAAAATGAACCAACCAACTTTTCTTATTAACTCTGAGTGTGGATGTATATATGAAAAATGATCATGAGGATCTTAAAAGAATAATAACTAAATAATAAAAAAGGGGAAAAAAAGGTACACAATAAATAATATTCAATAGAGTAAATAATGAAGATGAAGAGGCTACATGTTATTACTATGTGCATTTGTCTTTTCAGTACAATAGTGTAGCTACTCTGTACAGATGTTGTGAATTTGCTGTGTGGTCAGTTATGTTGGTGAAGGAGGTTTAAGTTGCTGGAAAAAGTTGCTGTGTTGGTAGGGTAGGTGAAAGTCTCTGTGTTGAGTTACTGCATTATCAGAGAGCGATTATTAACGTGTCACTGACAGAGAGCTAGAGACCTCAGTCCCATTTGACACTGCTAGCACACATCTGTCACACCGAGTTAAGACTCTAAATTAGAGTCTGCTCTGTATGTTTTTCTCTGTGTGTGTCTGGCAGTAGTTTTCACATACAGAGACTGGTCTGCAGCTTTATTCCTATAATTATTTACAATATGATCTTTTACAATGTCTAATTGAAATCTGAATGAGAGGTCGGAGCTTGACATCTGCTTATCTTTAGACTGGGTACCACTCCACAGTCCAAAGACAGGCTCTATCTCAGCTGCTGATCCTAAGTCCTAGAATCAGTGGCACAGATGACGAATGAATGAATGGATGGGTGAAGCTGTTTCTTTTTCCTTTCCCATGTTGTTTTCAGACCTTATTTCTCTAACATCAGCTCTGATTTTAAGTTTAAATCATGTCTGTAGAAACTCAAACACAGACTCATATCATTTCTAACACAACATGCTTCTGTGAATGTGTTCTTGTACTTAGAGAGATGACACAAAAAACCAACTCTGTTTCTGTTAAGATGTCATTCACTGAGAAATGCTCTGCAGAATCAAACCCACAGCTTTCAGGATATAACCTCACTGTGATACAGCTGATTTCATGGACCTGACAATCTCACCATAAACTTCTGTCTCAGTGGAATATAGGACACATTCTGCTGGGGCTGCTGCCTTAAGAGGCTGCATTTGTACATCCAATGTGTCACAGGAACTGTCAAGAGCTGTCCTTTTTTAAGGCTGATAAATGTGTCCTAATTTTCCCAGACAGTAGAGGCTGCATGTGGTACATCCTACAGAGCGTAACATCTCCCATAACACTTTGTGCATGAAAAAAAAACAATGAGGCAGGCTCACAAACGGCCAAGTAATATGCTGTTACACAAAACTGTATGTTGTAAAAGACAGATGCGCGCACAACAGACGCCATGTTAGTTGGCCCAGGAGCAATCCTTTGCGTAGCTTCAAGGAAGGGGTTTTGTAACCCAATATAGCAGCAAGAAAGACAACACAGGTCTACAGAGGTCACAACAGCTGGGTCCTTCAAAAGTTGAGTCTCCCCAAAGAATGTCTCCTAAAGGTCAAGCCCTTCAAAAACTGGGCCCTTATAAGGCTGGGTCCTTCAAAAGCTGAGTCTCTCAACAGCTAGTTCCTTCAAGTGCTGGGTCCTTCAAAAGCAGGACCCTTTAGAGGCTGGGTCTCTAAAAGGCTAAGTTTCACAAGGGCTGGATGTTTCAAACTAAGGCTGTGGCTTTCAAAAGCTTAGTCTGTTGAAGGCTTGGTCTTCTAAGTGCTGGTTCCTTTAAAGGCTGGGTCCTTCAAAAGCTGAGTCTCTCAAGGGCTGGTTCCTTCAAGTGCTGGATCCTTAAAAGGCTGTCTCTCAAAGAATAGGACCTTTAAAAAGCAGGACGATTTAAATACTGGGTCTCTAAAAGGCAAAGTTTCACAAGGGATGGGTGTTTCAAAGGCTGTGGCTTTTGAAGGCTTGGTCCTGAGTGCTGGTTCCTTCAAAGGATGAGTCCTTCAATGACTGGGTTCTTCAAAGGATAAGTTCTTTAAAGGCTGGATCTGTCAGGTTTTCTTTGTCTCCTTCAGCCAGTTCTCCATCCATCCATCGACCTAAGGAGGTCTACAGTTTCAGGTTTCTAGACCTTCGCCTTGCTGAGGACCAAACCCTTAGCAGAGATATTTCCTGTCTGGTTAGAAAGACCCACTCACACCTTCATTACCTCAGGAGGCTGAGGCTAAGTCCTGCATGCTCCCTGCAGATAGGTGGTGAAGCCTGTCCTGTGCTCCTGCCTCACTGTGTGGTATGGCACCTGCTGGGCTGCAGGGACAAAATCCCAGCAGAGGGCAGTGAAGGCTGCTCAGAGGATTGTGGGCTGCACACCACAAACGACAGCTAGATGCAGAAAAAGTAGCTCCTGCCTCATAAAGGACTGCAGACCACCCTGCACACACTCTACAGCCCCCTCTCCCCTCAGATAGAAGTGATCCACCATGCTGAGGAGCAGCTTCTGCACAGAGGCTGTCAAACCAGACTGCTGAACTCTGGTGCTGCTTCAGCCATGTGGACTCGTGTGCATACAGGACCTACCTCTCATACTGCACATATAACTGCTCACTATTAACATCCTGTATACCCAGACTGCTGTGACTGAAGTGCAGGAAACAGTTAACAGCCTTTGACAAGTTGTTGAAATATGTGAAACAAACTTTGCAGCCATAACAGAACAGCACCAATCGAAACCCTCTGTTTCTGTGCTCAGGCTGTAAACATCTCTCTCTCTCTAAGCTCTTTATGTAACAGACTAAACGCTGAAATGTGAAGCATGTACAGAGATTTTAGCTGCTGGAGCTGAGAGAAATCCACTGAGAGAGAGAAAGACAGAGAGAGAAAGGGAGGGGGTGGGGTTTAATCTGCAGGAATCACAGAGCAGAGTTACATAAAAACTCTTCAATATTCCAACAGACACAGAGAGTGAAGCAGAGATGCAATGATGTAACAGCAGCACAACTCTGCCTCCGTGTCTGCCTCTGCTCTTTTTCTCTGCCTGTCCTCCACTCATTGTGCAGACACAGAGTCATTAGTCCATCATTCACAGAAGAACTTCATTAAGCTGGTGGGGACATGTGAATCTAAAATCTGAGATGATGTTTTCAAATCCTTTCATTTGTCTCCTGCATGTGGAGTCGAAGTGAGAAGGCCTGAGTCAGGATAGTTCTGCCCTGTGTGCAGATGAAGGGGGAGGAGGGTGGAGTCTGAGGAGGCCAGCCCAGTGGAGCTGTGGTCTGTGTTCAGGTTTGCGTCTGTGTTGGAATACGAGTCCATCTGCTGCAGCCTGTGTTTTAATCGCAGCAGCTGATTGGCTCTTTTCCTCCTGAGCTAAAGTGAAACTGACCCACAGAAACAGAGTCTCCCAGCCTCAGTCAGATCAGCTCAGAGTGTCTGCCAGCAGACACATTCCTCACAATCCCACTTCCTGAAAAACCTCCGACGCCCTCAAAACCACCAACCCCTCCCCCTTCCCACAGAACTCCTCCCCCCTCAGGTATTCGGGGCCTTTGCTACATAAACTTCCACAGAATCAAGTCTGGATATCTGAAACCCACCGAAGCCAGCTCTGAAACCCACTAACACACAAAGAATCCATTCACACACACTCAGAGGAATGAGTGTGTGTTAGCCAGAGACACTACCATCTCCTCTATCACAGCCAGCTCTGATCAGAGGTCAGAGGTCAGAGTAACAGCAGCTGTGATGGACAGTTTTCTGCTCTGTCACTTTATACACACTAATAAAAGCAGCTCACAGCATTTAGACCTTCAGCTTCAGTCAGGAGTTGGCTATTGTTTAATGCTGTTGCTTGGAAATATCTGTATCTCTGTCCAATCAGCAGTAGCCAGATATGTAAACAGGAAGTCAGTGAAGCATCAGAGGGAAGGATACCCTCCAAACATGATAGCTGCAGAGGCTGAGAGCTCACACAGGACAAGAACCTTTATTTTCTATGACTTCATCTCACCCCAGGAGGCTGTGAAAGAATGAACAGTTTGATTTATTCTGTCTCATGCCGGTCATCTACTCTTTTCATTGTCACAGGTATTAATTTGATCTCATTCTTTGATTATTTGCTGTTAATGAGTATGAATAGATGACAGTCTGCTGCATAAACAGTGCCCTTCAAAATAAAAGCACAGGATTTAATTTATTTACTTTTTTTTTGTTCAGGCAGATGCCCACTACCCACTGAAAATGGGTCCGTGAGTGACCCATCAGTTGAGAATCACTGACTTAAAGATGGTTGTAATTGTAAGCCCTAGTAATTATCATTTTGATGATGCCATCTACTCTTGAGTCGGTCATATTATTACACAAATGACGGTATTTTTTACCTTTAAGACAGTGTTATCATCGCAAAAATGAATCCATGTTTCTTTAGTATATTTATATATAAGAAATACTTTCTTTTGAGTCAGTGTTCATGTGTTTTAGACGGTATTTAGTCTTGAGTCAGTGTTAAAATCAAATAATAGTGTTTAGTCTTTAGTCTGTGTAATTAAAATATTTTTGAGAAAAAACTCTATATTATTATTACATTATTGATTTTAATTGTCTTTGGCATAGTGACTCTTTTAAACAACTATATCAGACTGTACGATGTCAGATTATTGAGAGGTTTTTTTTATAAGCCAGTGTTTTTGACACATAAATGATAATATCTAACGCTGGTCAGTGAAATTACCATAAAAGTGAAAGAATTAACTCAGTGTTATTACCACTTTAGCGAGAGTATCTCCTGTAAAGTTAGACATAATATTAAAGGCAGTGATCGTACAAAATTTATTAAGTCAGTTTCTCTTTGTCAAGGTTTTTTTTTTTTTTTTCATTGTTCAAGATCTTTTATTATATGCTAATTTGTGCAACTAAATTAAATGTAAAGTCAACATAAAGTCAACATAAGATTTGCGTTCCCTTTGGAATGAAGTGGTGCAATCACCGTGCTACATGCTTCATTCACATCATCCCCTTTCTCAGCTAGAGTTGAAAAATCTAAACTCAAGCAAATCATTCTCACCATGATAGCCAATCAGCATGGAGACTCTCTGCTGAGATATGTCAACCACGGATAGCAGAGGTTCATTCATGTGGAAGGAGGACTAACAGATTGTGACGGTGTGCCGCTACCTGAACAAGGAAGCGTTTATCAGGTTTCGGGTGAGATGTTCCATAGCTACATTCACACTGCAAACTCTATCAATATGGATTTATGGATCTGATCTTTTTGTTTTTTAATCTTACTTCCCACTGCACATTTTTCCATCTATACTGGAGACAGAGTTACTGAGCAACATGACTGTCTCCTTTTAATCTCGCTCCATGTTCCACATATCAGCCTCACATTTAGAGGTTTTTTTTGCTCTTCTCAGCTGCGCTCAGACTGAGAGCTAACAGTGCTCTCTGTGTTTTTTATGTTTTATTCTGCTTTGTGGATGTAAATACAGTGACCCCTCTTATCATAGTGTCTCCATCTTTGTTTTTACTCAGGGATGGGTGGGTGGGTGGGTGAAATTGTGTGAGTGTGAGTCCTTATTCTCATACTGAGGACTGTACGCTGCTCTGCTGTTAGCACCGGGCTAAGTCTGGACAGCTGCTTCTCACATCAGTTATTCTAACATCTGTTAGTCTGAGTGTTACAGCAGAGGAAAAGAAGGAGACGATGAAGGCGAAGAGGAGGAAGAAGAAGAGGCAGGAGATAAAAGTCATGAATCAGTTCTGTAAGATTAAAATATCAAACTGCTAAGTCTCACAGTCAGACCTCCGATAACATGAGCAGCTCCTCACCTCCATGCTTTCCAGAGACGTCGACCGTCTCAGCTTGGCTCTGCGGACGCCAGCAGGTGAAGAGTCCGTGGCCTCATTCCTGGACTGTGGCGAGTCCTCCGAGTCACAGGTCAGCGTGGAGTCAGGCTTACTGTCAGGACGAGAGCGACGGCCGTAACGCTTTGTCCCCTTTATAAACTTTGGCTTCACCTCCTCAGGGACAACTGCAGAGAGACAGACAGAGAGACAGAGTGATGCAGACAGGTTGTATGTGTCTCCCTCTCAGTCGTCCCTGTGATTCACTGTGGACCCTGGGATCTGTGGCTCACTTCAATGCATTTTCATTCAGAGTGTTCTGCATTGACCCTCTCTGGAGGAATGTGGGAATGTAGAAGGCAAGTATGAGGCTGAACCACCTGCACATACATACAGCACAGGTGAAGCATGGTTTATACAGGTAACATAGCGTGTAGGTGTGTGTGCACAGGGTTTTATAATTATGAATCTGCCAATCTTCAAACACAGGCCCAATCTTTCATTTGCTGTAACTGTCTGAGGTACCAGGCCTTTATAAAATGCAGGCTTTTATTAGAGACGGACCGTCAGGATGAGAGCTCACAGAGCAGCTCTGAGCCCTGAGGGAGGAGATGCTAACAGTTAACGGTAATCTCAGTCACAAAAAAATGAAAAACTGTAGCAAACTGCACAGAGATGGTATGTTTATGTTATAAGTGCACAGGATGTGTGGATAGTGGAGTGTGATCATTGTGAACTCACCAGTACAATGTTGTTCATATTTCCATATTTTATGAAAGACATATAAAACTGTTCAAGCCAATGACTGAAATCCTGCTTTAATTCACTCGTAAAGCTTAAGACTCTGGTCATAATTAGGCGCCCTGCTGCTGATTATAAAACAGTCTTTATTTTAGGACCTACAGTATTATTGGTGTGTGTAATTTTGATTTTGGGTGTACATACACTTTCAGAATGAATTCTTCTCACTGTTTTGTAAATAAGACTCAGAACCTTCTGACCTGCAGGAAATTGAACTCACACAAATTTACATGTCCTCTCTGCTGGTTAATTTCTATCAAAACCAACCACAGAGAAAAAACTTCTTTCACTGTTTTGCTGCACAGCAAGGAATTTAAAAATCCAACAAAGCATGCAGTAATCATGAAAATGTACTGTCTGGTTGTACTGAACTGCACAATATTAATTAGTTCTTCACATTCATGCCTCAGTACACTTATTGTAGCTGATTTAAACAGTATTAAGTGGTGTTTTTGTGTGTGCTTGTGCACAATTTCAGTGTGTGGCTGTTTTTCGAGATGATACACAGTGAAGGCAGAGAAGGACTGAAACTAGTGGTGACCAGATTTTCAGCTGCAGTCTTACCTGGGTCCATGTAGCTGCTGTCATCCTCTGATGTGCTGAAGTCTAGCGAGCGAGACAGGACGGCCACAAAGCCTTCTTTAAACTCCTCAAAGTTCACCTGAAGGCCACACAAAACACAGATAATTCAGGTCAACTCAGCACATTCACAGTTAAAATCCACCTCTTTTCGTTCCTCATCCTAACCCTTATAAAACAGGTCAAGCTCAGTGCTATAAAATCTCAGCTGTTAGACCGATATCAGTGTATTCATCAAATATCTGTCATTTTAAACACAAGGACAGAGTCCAGAACAGACTGAGGGAGTCAGTGCTCACATTTTCTCCGTCTGTAGGAAGCCTGCAGGAAGAAACCTGAGGACTAAAACACCACCCTGTGCTTCTTTTCAACAATAACTACACTCAAACTAAAAGTGCTGTAGTTATGATTAAACCATATGTTAGCTGTTACCCTGCCATAGGTGCGTGCCCCCAGCAGGGTGTCCAGCAGCAGAGGCAGGTGAGCGTCCAGTTGCAGCTTCCTGCAGAGCACTGTCAGCTCATCTCGGTCCAGAAAGCCCGTGGCTGTTGTGTCACAGCTGTCAAACTCAGCCTTCAGCTGGGTGACGTAGCGGCTGTGCTCCGCTTCCTCCATCTCCAAGCATCACGCTCCAATGCTAAAGTACACCTGTGCAGACAGGAGCGTGATCAGGGGTGTCACCTGTTGTATAGTTGATAGAGAAAAACAACAGACAGGGTCAGAATTAAAAACTGTACAGGAAGCACAAATATAATCAACATTTTAACTGTTTAAACTTCCCCATCCACAGGAAGTATCTTTAACAACCTTTTAAAATGAACGCTTATCTGTTACCTAAACAGGAAATGCAGTAACACTAACAAGGAAGTAAAAATGGCAAAATAAAGGCATTGGGAAATAACAACTTAAGACTTGGTTATTGATACGTTCACAAAATCTCTAGACTTATTATGTGACAGTCTTAGAGACCTCTGATTCTGTTTCTTCTTCTCGCTCAGCCTAAACCTCAGGAGCCATGTCTGAGATTTCCCAAATATTTCCTGGTATCATTAAAGACAGAGGAATGATGTGAGGGAGTGGATACAGTGGTCTGTGGACAGTCAGAGATGAAGATGGAGGACTCAGCGGTCATGTGATCAAACACATTTTTTTCAAACGTGTTTCCATCTCTTAGTTAAACCTGATGACCCCTCGATGTTTTTGTTTGACTGGCTTTCTGAGGTTAGTCATATGTGAAGTGTTAAACCATTATCTTCATCATGATCATGATACTCATCATCATACACATAACCATCATCATCATTGATCCATCGTCACCATCGTCACGACCATCTATTGTATATTCTTAATATTTCTCATTATCATTAATACAATCATGAAAATCCTCATCATTATCATTATTATTACCCTGATCATCATCCCCGCAACAACATTATCATCACCATCATCATGCTGCTTCAGAGCTTCTTTGTCTATTTATTGAATATCCAACCCCCTCCCTTTAAAAAAAAAAGTCACATACTCACATCATTGTTTTCAAATAAAGTCCCATCCACACAAAACCGCATAAATGTGCTATTGACCGCGGTTATAAGCATTCAAGACTTTGAGTTGGTAGTATTTGCCAAAAAGTTTTCAGAGCAAGCTTCCCTTTCTCATCGTCACTTCCCACACCATGAAATATAGCACTGTGTAGTTTGTTGGTGTGAACCAGCAAAGAGGTGGAATTGCTTTTAAGCATAGTTTGGGAGTATAAGGTCAACGAGACACAAGAAAGGTGGAGGGAGGTTTATTTGGTGTAGAATAACTGACTGCAAAGCACTCCTTCTCCTTTGCTCCTCACAAAAAATATTCTGTTTATATCTGTGCCGTCCACTACCTGACACAAACAAGAGCGCATAGTATATGACATTTATCTTTTCATTATCACTGACAATGATGTTTGGGAACTTAAAACTCTGGTTATCCATGTTCACATGCAAATGCAAAACCGGAGTTTTCCATAATCTTAACTTTGGCTGGAGTTTTCCAAAAGCACCGTTTTTAATGAATCTGCAGCTTTGTGTGGATGGCGGGCCATAGAAATGTATTTGTTTTAGCAAATACCCAGCTATGTGTGGACAAGGCCTTAGTAATGCTGCTCTAGATTTAAGACTGTCAAAGATACTGGCACAGTGAGCACCTTCCCCTCCTTCTCTGTCCTCTTTCTGTCTGTATCATTTACTTCAGTTCATCATATCCCATTTGAGTCACTAACACACAGCATTCTCCCTCTTTTGTGGGAGTCCCTGAGCTCCATCATCCAGTCTGTTTCTCTGGATCACTGCTGCAGATGTTATACTAGTGTGGACCTGCCTGCTTTCCAGCTGCATCAACCATGTGCACCATTCTTGCCTCTGTGTCCTAAGGTTACCAAACTGAGGAGATTTTAATGTGTGCACACACTTCAGGTCCCCCTGTCTTTGTCAGGGCCCCTGGAGGGCCTCTTCTGGTCAGTAAGTGTGGACGCGCCCCTGCCGGTGAGTCTCGCGAGCTGAGGAAGCTTCACCATGGGAACGGAGCCGCACGAACAAAAGGCTCGCGGGCAAACGACCACAACACAGTAACGTCCCAAACTAAAAACGAATAACTCCGTTTCTTCGGTAAATCATAACGACACTACAGCTGAAACGCTGCTATCGGAAAGTTTTCTCCGTCTGAGCATCAAAGATCCGAAAGTTTACCGCTAATGAGAGAGTTGAGTAATGTTCTCGGTAGTTGTTTCTTACCGCGGTAAAAGTCCTCCTCCTTCTCCTCCGGTCCTCTCCGGTTAAACTTCACGGTTCCTCCATAAATGTCTGACTGCCGTGGACTGTCTGCCGTTGTTCCACCGACATGAACTGAGAGAAACGGGGCAGACTGGCACCGACAACCGACCGATAGAGTTACCGAAACTACCGGAGAGATACTTCCAGTGTTACCTTCAAAATAAGAGACCCTGCTGTACCCTCCAAAATTAAACATTACCTCAAACTAAAAAAAAGACTTTACTCACATTTTTCAAAATGACTCATCAATCAGCTTATTAATCAATATCATTCCATTTGAATCAAAGAACCAAACCTATATCTGCTTTTCCCCCCGGTTATCTGTCAAAATCAGAAAAATGTGAGACTGTCCAAGTTTTGTGGACAAACATGACAGACTTTTTCCTTCCAAACTTTCCAGATATTGTCTATTTGTTACTTTATCGATCGTGTGTTAGTTATAAAAACGCTTTTGATAGTTGAAAGTTTTTTTTCACTTGTGCAGCTCTTCTCAAATGTACTGTATTGTTTTATTGTACCAACATGCAGTGAGATCAGAGGGAATACCTAGCTTCTCATGATACATGGAGTATAAAACCATGGTATCAAAACAGAGTGAGTGAGAGTTTGATATACAGCTAAGTTTAACAGGAGTGTGTGAACCAACAGTCTGTGTGGCTTGAAGGAATAATTTCTATGATATTTAAAATGTTATTTTTATATTCCATCCTCCATATCTTTTTATATAAGGATAAAAGAAAATAAATGGGATGGAAAGAATTAAAAATTTTATTTTCGTTGTCAGAACCAATGTTATTTAGATATCCCATTGGACACAGGATTACAAATTGCCACCCCAAATTTAAGCCTTCTGTAAAGTAACCCTCCGAGTTATATATTTCACGAACTCATATGCATTTAAAAGCCAAATCTTGTATGTAACTATTTTTGTGATTTAAGTATAAAGTGATAAAGGGTGAAGTTTTTTTTTTTTCATAAAATTATGTTTTGGTATAGTCAAAAACGTGTCAGATCAGTTTTGTTTTGAATAAATTCATCATTTCCTGTCACTGTATCGTTTTAACTACACGTTTTGACGATGATTTCATCTTGTGTCTATGTCTGTCAAAGCCGCTAGAGGGCGCTGCTGCTCCAAAAATGATGATACAAACTCAACAACAAAAGTGCTTTAATTCAGGCTGCTGAGAGGAAATCTCATTTTGTGTTGATCTTGATTTGATTTGATTTCATTCTGTTTTCTATGAATGGTCAAATGTGTCACTGACTGACTGACTGGCAGACTTATTGTGGATATTTTCTGTAGAAAATGTAAAACAAGGCTGTTTTTTAACTATTCTGTCACTCCTCTGGTCAAACCATAGACTGTATATAGAACTTAACTGCTCTGAGTTTCAGGTATCTCAGTAACTTGGGGTGGATGCAGGGGATGACCTTGGACAAGTCATAGAAAAATAATATCCAGTTTAATTGTTATTTCCACCATTATTCAAAGCAGTAAGTCATGACATGAATGAAAAAGATTTTAAAAAATGATTTAGCAGCTTTTTACACTCAAATTGCAATTTCTTGAATAACTGGTTTGATATAATTGGTTTTTAACCTTAAATAAATGTAAGAGTAAGTTAGTTACTCTTTACTTTCATTTCTTTGACACTGTAAATGTGAGAGTGAGAGAAAACAGCACTTACATAATTATCATCTCTCCCCAATGTATTTCAATGCACCCAGTGGCTGCACCCCATCTTAAAGTATAATACCATAGCTTATTTCAGCACACAGTGATGTATACACTTTAGTCAATTAAAACTGTAAAAAGATTGGGTGAAGAAAAACAACAACAAGACAGAGTCAGAGGATAAAATGGGGATGAAAATTAGGTCATATTTAAGAGGCTAAGTATCATAAAATACAAGGGACACGTGCTGCCCTCTACTGGTCAAAACTCATACTTACAGCCAAAGGAAACCGGAGCTGTCTGGGGTGCTGAAACTACATCTACACCTAGATAAATCAAGTAATTTATTTAGACCAAGTTGCAGTTACAGACTGTCTACACTATGAACACAGACTGTGCTCAGTTATCATGTAGATGTTAAAAATGTACAAACTTGTTCCTCCTCAACCAAAATGTAAAAGAATTAACATGCGAAATAAAATCATTTGTGGATTTTTTTCTGTTTTTTTTTTTACTTTTTTGCCCCACACTCTTTGTTGCTCTTTTTAGGGCTTGAAGTCAGAGTCAAGGTGAGGGTGACTTCTGGGGGTGGTTAAACTTGATGTTAAGTGTTTTGTGTTGTGTCTCTTTCTGAAATCTGATACCTGAGGCCGTTTCATCTGAGGTCTGAGTCATGACTCTGATACCCGAGGATAGTGCTGGGCGATTGGACGATATATATCGTTGGCACGATAGAAAATGTCTATCGTGCCATTTTTATCCTTATCGTTTCGGGCGATAGGTTGTATTTAATCCATAGAGCTTGTGCCATCAGATGATTCATAGTAACAACAACAATAATTGCACATTCAGTAAGTGTATTTGGTGTCGAACGGGAAAGAAAACAATATTTTCTTACAAAGAAAAGGATGCGTTGACATGTAGGCTTGCATTTCTCTTTCGATTTTGCGACATGACGCCGCTTTACGTGCCCTCTTTATGTCCAGCGCCTCCCGCCGTTGCGGGTTACCTGGGTTACACACGTGAGGGGATCATTGTAAGCAGTGCTTAATTTGTGCCGGAGCAAGTCGGAGCGCGATCCGGGACCTCTTTTGATCGGATCTGGGACCTATTTCAGCCGCTCCGGCACCTGTTTCATCTGCTCCGGGACCTTCCCTGTGGAGGATGACTTTTTTCGGGAATTCCCGTGGGTCACGTGATTCCCGCGGGATGGGAGTCATTTTTTTTATTAATCTCTTGATCGGGACGGGACGGGAAAAAAAGCAACGGGAGTGGGCAGGAGCGGGAACAACATGAAAAGATGATCTTTTTCAGCCGTGTTTAACAACCAGATGAACAGGTGCGTCCATTTTTGTAGTCATCTCTCAGTGAGAGTAAAGACTCTTGACCGCGCTAGCAACACAAAAGAGCTACAACAGCGGTTTGACTTCCTGTCAGCTGGGAGCGCGGCTGCGCATTTGTACCCTTCAAGCCAGCAGCGAGGAAACGTAATTTTGTGACATTCTGTAGTTTTTCAATCATTTCTGGAGTCGTGGCGAATCAAATCACCTTACCTGTCTGCCCCTGATAGGCGAATAAAGCGCTCGGATTCATGCTCGGGTCTACCTACGTGCTTCAAGAGTAAAGTAAACAATGATGGAGGCAGAGAGCAGCTTTGGAGGAGAAACATCTAGCAGTGTGAACAACCTCTTCAAAAGAGCCCTAAAGACCTACCTTTTTAATAAAGCCTTTGGTTAGTTTTCCTCTATGCTTTATGCTTTTACTACCTTGCCTCTTACATTGCAACTCTATATATTTTATTTTTTTTAAATTCTTTTTTATGCTAATCTGTGACTGTCATTCTATTGCTTTTTTTTATTGATGCTGCTCTTTTTTTACTGTGTACTGTAGCACTTTGAGATTTTTTTGTAAATGTAAAGTGCATTACAAATTAAATTTATTATTATTATTATTATTATTATGGAGTGCTTCGGCTCACACTATCAGCGTTTTCTGTAAGTGTTACATAACTTTGGGTGAGCACAGACATGAACGCACTTCAGCCACGTATTTGTTTATTCATTTTTCTAGTTTTAAGTGCTGGTCTTGTACTGGTACTGTACTAGTGCAGCTGTATACACTTAAATTTTTCATAGAACTGAAAGCATACCATAGCTATATCGTGATATATATCGTTATCGTGATATAAAATGATCCATATCGTGATATACATTTTTTTCCATATCGCCCAGCACTACCCGAGGATGTCCCAAAATGTACCCCGTACTCAGATCACCCTGTCACGAGAAAATGTGACAATAATTACTGTCAGCTAACTTTTGTTTCATTTAGTTTTCAAATGGTTAAACTATTTCAGAATTACACAAGCCCTAACTACAGTTTCCCAGGTACAGAGCACATTTCTAATCATTACCACAAAGAGCTATGACTCATTTGTCCTCTTAAGTCTGCCTTGCATGTCAACACAGTTTTTGGAGGTTTTGATTTGTTTCAATTCAAGTCAAATGGCGCCACCCTGTGTCTTAATAAGAGGTGTCAGAAAATCCAATGTTCACCCCATGATTGTCATGGCCATAAAAAATCACAATGATCACAATAACTACAACAAAATTTGAGATACTGCCTCAGGAACAATTATCATGCTTTTATTTTGAGTTTTTCCTGTCTTGTGTTAAAGTTTCCCTATTCCCTGCACTGTCAAACTATGCTTTTATTTTGAAGGATGTAACTTCTGGTAGATAGTAAGTTACAGAAGAGAAACAAAACTTAAATTAGGGACAAGAAAGTATTAATTTTCAAACTATTGCTCACTCATTCTGTATTGGTTTTTGTTGTAAAGATTTGGATCGGTTAAGACAAAGATTACTTTGTTTTGAGTCGTTCAAACTTGGGATTGTGGTGTAAATCCCTGATTGGGAGTTTTGTATTTTTCTTCTTAAATGATCTCATGTTGAGTATAGCAGCCTGAAACCTGGAACGGGAGATAACAAAACTGTCCAAATGCTATGTAAGATTAAAGACTGATTTCTTGTTGTAGATCAAAAATAGAGATGAGGAAAGGAAAGCTGAGGAAACCTAACACACACAAATACAGGAACAGAGAGGGATAAAAACAAAACAAAATAGAGGGCAGGTAATTTAAATAAAATCACAATGCCAAATCACCACATGGGAAATCTCTCTGTGCTGAGATCAAATCAAAGAGAGAGCAGCGATAAAGAGGGACAGAGGCAGACAGACAGAGAAAGACAGAGACAGAGAGAAGGAGATCAGAGTTGTCAAGGTAGACAAAGAGAAGAAAGAATAAACAAACTTTTGTTCTTTCACCTTAGCTGTCTGTCTCTCTCCTCCTCATTACAGATCCTGACTTTGGAGACCATGAAAAACACAAATTTAAAAAGTTGCTGGAAATATTAGCACACATTGTGAAAGGTTTCGCAATTCTGGAGCATCAAGTTTATGATTAAAAATTAAACACCGTGACTACTGATGAATGGTGAAGTGTTGGTTAATGTGCATGATGGATGAAGAGCAGATCATTAGTATTATTTCTTTTAACTTATGTATGAGCGTAATAAAAATTTTTCAAGCTGCATGGACAGTGTTATGTATCACAATAGATCTACTTTCCTTTATTCTATGCCCCTCACTGCAAACTCCTTTTCACAGAATTCATTATTCTGTACGAATGCACATAAAACCATAAGTGACACCAACCTCAACATCATGCTCCCCCTGCACTGCTAAAATGATGGTTCTATGTCCTGTGAGGATTGAACTCATCCAAAGTCTCTGTGTGTGCATGAGTTATCTTGTATATTTGTGTGTGTTTCAGAAAAAGTTTCTCTGTTTAGTGTGTGTGTGTGTGTCGGTGCCTATGTGTGCTTACATCTGTGCTCCTGTTTCCATTAGGGATGCATAATGTGTTTGATCTCTGCTCTCTTGGAGGAAAGCTAGGCGTGTGGAGAGGATAAAAGATGTGAGGATCCCCTGCAGTCAGCTCATACTCTGCTCGATTTTCACGGACCGCCTCAGCTGCCAAATCTATTGATCAAATGGATGTATCAGCACTGAGTGTGGAAATACAGGCTTTACACTATCCGTATAAGCAACCTTTGGAGGATCTCTCCTGCTGTGACACTTGACTCTCTGCATGTTAAAATGTATTTTTGGCTCTCTTCCTAGCTCTTTAACATGTCAACTGTAGCTCTTCAGCAGTAATTCCTCTTGGATTTTAAACCCCACTTAGAGCTGTCCGTTAATTGTCATTGACTTGTTTATGCTATAAGTCGGTTATGCTAATTCCTGCCCTTACCTGCTTTAAATCGTTGCTAATTGCAGCACTCTGTGTAAATACAGGAAAATCCTTAGCCCGGTTATAACAGGCCTCTTGAGTTTGTTTGTAATCAGAGCAGCAAACCGACACAGTCCTTGTCCTGTGGCTGACAGACGCATGCTTGTGAAAATGGAAAGTGCTGATTTGAAATTCCTGATAATTGTGTATGCTGAATTTGAATATTTGGTTGGTAATGGTGGAGACTGCGAAAACAGACATTTTTTAACACTGTATGTTGTGTGAATATTCCGTGGTCACCAAATTGGATTCATGGGTGTATTTTTTAGTAAAGCACATAATGATACTGTGTAAAAACAAGCCAGTGCCGCAAAAAAGACAGAGACAAGAAAATTCAGTCTCACATTCTTGTGAAATGGTAAGCCTGAAAGACTTTTTCTCTTAGTTTTTGCATGTTTGAATAAATTTAAGACAAAAAAGTAAAAAACGAAGTAGTTGTGATTCTGCTCTGGACTTTCCAGCAACTTGTGCCTTGGAGTTTGCAGCTTAAGTATACTGCAATCTATTTCTTTTTTAAATCATCAAGAAAAGAGATTGCATCGAGGCATGATTTGGCTATTCAAGTTGAAATCATTGTTGTGACTAAATATAGCCTGTGTGTTGGTTTTACGTTATAATAGTGCCCTGAACCCCCATCTGCACACCTTTGAAAACACGCTTTGTGTTGTGCCGTGGAAAGCCAAATGTCAGTGTGTTCTTGATTAGATTAATAAAAAATTCAAGATTTAGGTTTGAAATACATTTTGAAGAAACAAAAAAGGAAACCTTTAAAAAAAATCATATATTCGTTTCAAAAAGGTCACTACTTTTGACTTACAGCAGAACTTTTGAACAAGTTTAATTAAAGTTTGTTGTGATACTGCCAAGCATCAAATGGACTATCACAGCTGAGCTTCGGAAAGAAATAAAGCCTCCACTGACAAAAATCAGAAGTGTGAAACTGAGGAAATGACTTTACAGGATTTATTCTCTATTCTTGGTTCTGCTCTTTCAACCTCAAAGCACAGGCTATCTTAAAATACAATGATTTGTAGACTGAGACTACAGAGGAGATAGTTTTTCCTTAATCCTCCTTTGTCCTGACACACTTATCACCAAGCCTGGCAAAATGTGGTCCTGACCCAAGGGTAGACTGAAATTTGAAAACGGATTGTAGAAACTTTATAACATTTTTGGAAAATATCAATAGAAAACAAATAAAAGAACTTAAATAAACAATATATAATTTTTAATGAAAGTTTGCAGAAACTTCCATTTTTTTTAAATGAAGTTTTTAAAAAGCTTTGAGAATTATGCTTTTTTTGAGTATTTCTTAATTCAAACTGTTGTTAATCTCTGGCAGACTCAAACGGAAGGGTCAGAAACTGTGAGATTTCATATGTAACCAATCCAAGCTCCGCCCCCGGAGCCCCGCTATGCAGGCCACACTCTGCATATAGAGGAGAAATACAGAAGACGAAATAAGTGTGTACGTTAGCGTATTGCAATGCTGGTAAGAAAGCTTATTATGATATCAACTTTCATCGTGTCCCTAAAGACATTAGTGTCCAAGAGCTGAATAGCTCCTGGAGCTATGAGTGACCGGAGCTCTGCAGAAGAAAGGCCCTTGAAAGTGACACAGGTAACGCGATTTTTAGTAAAAACTTCATAATAACAATTTAAAGACCACTGAGAACACTTTAGGTAGTAAAAAAATGATCAGAGAGGGACTTTAAATAGGCCACCAATTTTGCAAAGATACTATGTTTGTCATGTGATTGTGAGCCTGACACATGTCAAGTGTGAAATCACTGCAGCTTGAATTGCCTGCCTGAACTAGTTCACAGGCTCTGCTCTATTGGTTGTATAAATGAATATAGAGAAACAGCAGGGGAACGATATTAGAGCTGAGTACCATTAGATACCCATTAGATAAAGCAGACCTGGAGGAAATGAGAGGGGGCTAAGTTTTCTTTTAAACACTCACAAGACTAGACAGTTTCCTCAGAGGGAGACGCTCTGTTTATCCATCAGAATGTTGAGTCCCCATCAGAGCTTCTATCCTCCAGGCACTCTCAAGTGTCAATAAAACCTCTTTTCTTGATTTGATGAAATTTGTCACTGTCCTACAGAGTTCAAGACTCGGGAAAACAGTAATCCATCACTGCTCAGGCACTTGAGACACTTAGCTCTGACCTTGAACCATAAACAGCTTTGCTGATGTGTTACAGCAACTGTGGCTGAATAATAACGCAAAAAGGGTAGAGGACCTCCAAAGCAGAGCCTGATTCGCTTATAAATATGGATAAAGAGGTGTGGTATCAACGCCACAGTGTGTATTTTGCATTGTAGTGTTTATATGCAGAGTGAAAAGCAACATGTGGTGAATGTGATGTAATCAAGCATCAACTCAGGGGCTTTCTCACAGAGCTGTCACTCTGAACCCCAATCTGTGCAGAATAGACATGTTCCTGCCAACAAATCACATATGTATAGCACTGGAGATGCAGTAGAAAGAAATACTTACTAGTATATAACAGAAACAGTGAAATTTCCTCATAGACCTTATCTGCCTGCTGGGAAAACCAAACTATAGCAACCAAACCTCTTTGCTGGCTTAGCCGCATCAAGCTGTTGATAAAATTACACAGAAAACTCATCTGTGTTTGAACAAATCCAATTCTTCATTCAATATTTATATATCTCTGACACTTTTATTGAACCCTGCTCATCTTAACTACTGTACACTGACTATTTCTCCTGCTGCTTACTGGGTGCAAAGTTGTCTTTTTAGCAGAGAGCTCAGTCGGTCAATAGGGCAGGTCAGCAGAAATGAGCACTTTTCAAATCTTCCTTAAAACGCCCTCCAGAAGAGGATGACCCATCATAACATCAATATTGTGAGGGAAAAATGCATTAATTTCATAAATATTTTCAACAAACCAGTGGCAATTTGAGACCTTTCAATGCACAGAGGAGAGTTGGTCTTCCACAGGGGCCAGCTAAATTAACCTCAGCCTGAGAGAAGACAAAATGAGAGCAAGAAGAAAGCAGCATCTTCATTTCTAGTAAGTTCTGCTTACATTATTTATTTCTTTTTTTTTGTGAGGGTAAAACACAAACAGAAGTTCTACATGAGCCCCAAGCAGACAATTTGTACAGCTGCCCTTGCAATTGGTTGGCACAAGTTTTGCAAAATACAAGTGAGATTTTAGGTAACTATGTTCTAGCAGAAGGACAGTCAAAACCTTTTAATTAACATTATTAAACTATCTCTTTAGCATTTATAAATAAGGGTTATTGTAAATTGTTACCTAATAAAGTTTTATAAAAAAAAAAAGAAAAAAGAAAAAAAGGGCCTCCATGACGGCAGCTTACACAGTGAAAGACCAGCGTGTCATGTGAGAAGCTACTCTGCCTCTGTTTCTCCCCAAAGTGACATCTGCTGTCACAAAAAAGGACAAAAAGTGGTCATGAGCTGAATCTGAGTCAGTGAAGGTTTTGCATGAGCAGTCTGACCTGTGGCCTGTCTGCCGCTGACCCTTAACGACTGCACTGTCAGTGTGTGCACACAGAGGCGGTGCACATGCTGTCAGCGAGGCTTTTTGAAAGCACAGGGTGGCTGACACGAGGGGCAGCAGGATCTTTTCTGTGACACAGCCAGCAGCGGCACACGACTGGAAAAAGCCTTTTGACATCAATAAAACAAGAATTCATTTTCTGGACACGTTTTTCTGCATGATTATGATAGATGTACAGTTGATGCACAGCCAGAGCTCTGAGCTGTCCTTCATCATCAGCTGAATTTTGGAGCTGTTCCTGTTTGTACCTCTGCAGATCCATCTTTAATCAGATCATAGGCTGAACAGTCTATGTGTGGAAATGGACATAAACATTTTTTTCTTCTCTTCATCATTGACATTTCTTTAAAACCATGATTGTATCCACTGAGCAGAATATTTTGAAAGATAATTGGAGGACTGTCTTTTAATGCATGAGCTCACTTTTTAAAGCCAGTGACTGAACATAAGCTGTCAAATCACCGCAGCCTGGTGACCAAATATCTGCCACATGAACACCTTTTCCTGGCAAGAGCTATTGTAACATATAACATGCATCATATATGACCAGGGTTTCTGCAACTAACCCATTGTTATTGCATGAATGGATGCATCTTACTATATGAATGACAACCAAGCAGTATGAGGATAATTATGGTATGCTTGGCTGTGACAAGAATTAACCTGAATCCTCAATGCTTTGCAAAGCAGCAGACAGGCAGGTTATCTCCTCTTTGCAGGCGGAGGCATATTAATGCCCATCAGAAATGATGACACATTAAGAAAAGACTCCCTCAGTAGCAGCTTTTCTGAGGTAACAACTTGCTCGGGTATAAAGCGCGGTAATAAACTTTTGTTTCTGCTTTAATTAACAGAGAAATAAATGATCCAGACTCCCAGGTTTCTAGACTTCAAATTATGTTGCTTTCTGAAGACCTTTAAAAGGTGTTTATTGATCGCCCTCAAATATCTTGTTCTTTGATTTCACAGGCTTTGGTGCAATTGGATTTTTTTTTTATAGAGTTGTATTATGAATCAAATCAGAACAAAAGGTTAGAGCTGTACAGGAACACAGAAAGAGGAGTGTGAAGAGAGAGAGAGAGAGGAAAGCTTAGAAATAAAGACATGTTTTATTTTCACCTAACATAATTATGGTTCGAACTAAAATATTTGTACAAATCAAAATCTCACGGCAAATCAGTCACTCAGTTACCTCAAATCTCCATGTTGTCACACATTTTTCATTAGAGTCTGAAAGTGATGTACCGCTGGGGGACAAACAAAACCTCTGACATCTGATTAGAAATAATTTACAGTGACATTGGGTAAACATTGTTTGAAGCTGTGCTATCGTCCTCAGATAACAGGGCTTTGTCAAAATGTGCTGTAACACCAGGCTGTAGCTGAGCATAGTGTTGATTTTTGTGTTCACTGCACTTCTATAGTTAGGAGTGATAAAGTTTAAGCTTGTTTCCTATCATGTTTCCTCTGCTTAGTACTTGCTTTCTCGACTAAGATTTTTGTCACATTATTTCTCAGCTTTTTTCTACGTCTGCTTCTGCTCACTTTGGGAAACTGTCACTCTTTAAGTGGTATCTACAAGGACAAGTGCAAGGTTTTAAGACCTCAGTACTTTTGTTACCCTCTCTGGCAGACCAAATCCTGCTGAGTGATGAAAAGTTTGAATGTTTTGCAGAGGCATTAAATGGACCCCTGTGTTAAGCTGGAGCTCAGACTGCAGGGGTTTGGTTCAGTTTTATTCTTCATCTCCCTCCTTGGGGACAAACTGAAATAGTAAAAGGTCTGGCTGTCATGGTCAGGGGGACGGGGTCCTGTGTTTGTTCCAGGCAGTGCCCCCGACCGGTTGAACATATTTGATATATGAGACTTGAAATCCTGGTTATTAGCCGTCACCTTCAGAGTTGTAATGGCTAACAAAAGACAAAGAAACTGTGGATTTTAAAGAGTCTTCATACAAATGATAATCTTGATATTCTGAGGTAGGATGGCTAATTAATTTGCACACGTCTATTTGATTTATAAAACAAATACACAGGTTTTATGTTGGCTCATTACGCAAGAAGCACTGTCTGTCTGTGTGTATATGTGGAGCACCTGCTGTGTTTAACAAGCCTATGACACTCCTGAAATGATGCGATGGGACAATCACACACTGGGACACAGAAATGATAAGGTTTCAGGGTGCAATGAGTGAGTAAGAAGGTGAAGTAATGATGAAACTCTGCTCTAGTGCCATTAGGGGTTTGCAATAATAGGCTAGAGTGTTAAACAGAATCAGAAAGGCTGTCAGTCCACAGTCACAGTCATCTCAGGTCATTCACTTAATAGAAACAGAGTCAAATGTACTGAATGAGAGTTATATTGAAAAAGAAAACTGATTTCGAGAAATATGAGCAGTGTTCAGTGTGACTGAATACATCTATTGTAGATTTTGCACAGGTCCTGTAGCACTGTTTGAGCCATTACCATTTCACTTACACCATGAAAACACTCAAAACTGCAGAGACATCCTCTATGTTGAAAAAGTCATTTTAATTCACACCAGAGGAACACTTTTTTGCTTTAATTCAAACGATTCAATGAAATTAAATTACTTCTTTCATTGATTTATAATAACTATCTCAACAGGGCAGAAGAAGAACCAGTCATAGTTGTAAGATTTACAACATTAAATACAGTATTTACAATGTTCAATGATCTCTTCTGACATTTGAATTCAACACTTTGTTTTTGTACATTTATACACAATTTTTACAAAAATAAAATCACAGAGGCTGAAAGCAAAAGAGGGCGGAGTGTAAGTGCTCAGTTCAGAGTGTCTCCCTGTTCTGTTAAGCCGCTGCTCAGGGCTCAGTTTGTGATGTAGAGCAGTGGGACTTGACAAGGCACCTCTGCCTCTCTCCCCGCCTCCATCGCTCTGTGAGGTCAGCAGCAGGTTCAAACCTCCACCTAAATGTAAAACTCTTTCTGGTTCTCACTCGGACCATTCTGTGTGCTGGTCTGGCTGCTGAACGGCAGCTCCGGGCTGTCCTCAGTTTTGACTGTTTTTGTATCCTGGCTCGGACATGTTCCTTTCCTCCTGTAGAGGATTCGAGCCGTTATGGCCAAAGCAGACGCAGTCACAAAGATCACCACTGCGATCACACCTACCGGGCAGAGACAGAGGAAAAGTTTCACCAGCTGAGCAGTGAATATAGGGACCCTTTTTTATGTTGAGGAGGCTGCCACTGGTAAATCAAATGTCAAATTGATTTTTGAGTCCAATTTTCGGTTGTTACCGCTAATTTCCTGGCTTTTTTAGATGTGTTAATTGGGATTTACTGACTCAGATAAACAAAGCAAAAAGTCCCATTAGTGAGACCATGACTGATTGCTTCAGCTTCGAAGAAAAGTTTAATCAATCAATCAATCAACTTTATTTCTATAGCACATTTAAAAGAACCACGGGGGTAGCCAAAGTGCTGTACATTGTGACATAAAAACAAACAAAACAAGCAAAGAACAAAATAGAGCGAGCAAAAATACATAAATGCAATAAATATAAATATATAAATAAGCAGGCTCACGGCAAGTGCTAAGATCAAAACAAACAATATAACACTAAAATATATTAAAAGCCAAGGAATAAAAGTGCGTTTTCAAAAGGGATTTAAAAACAGGAAACAAGGAGGCCTGTTTAAGTTAAGTTTAGATAAAAGTTGCATAACTTTTTTGAGCTTCTGTATCTAACAGGCCCATGTTAGCAGCAATGTTACTTGACATCATTGCCATCTTTAACTCACCTTGAAAGTATCTTCCTTTGACCAAAACCATGGTCATTACCATGTGCAATACGCAATTCATACACCATTATTTATCATGTGCAATATGGCAATTTTCAACCTCATTTATCCCACCGACTTATCCTCCGTTTCATACATTCACATCCAGCACCTACTGCATTACTTGTGCACTTTGTAAATATTTCTCTTATACTTTCATTCGTCTTTAATATTTTTGTATCCTTATTTTACTGTATTCCCCTTAGTAGCCTACTAATTGTGTGTTTTATCTGTACTCCTCTGAGTCGAGCGGTCCTCTCATCCTAGGCATTTCATTGCATTGTTGACCTTATTTAACATCCACATGACAAATAAACAAATCTTGAAATCTTGAGTCTATTTTCTCAAATTTACCAGGTAGTTTTGATGCACAGACCTCAGAAAATTCATATGGGAACAGAGAAAATTCATTTATGGGAGCACATGCTGTATGTTTGTCACGATAACTCCTCATGAATTTGAACTTCTGATGGGAGTAAGAAAAGTTGCTGATTAACCCTTTAATTGTCTCCTTTTATTATAGTGTAGACATTGATGTTGCTGTCCTGCCGACACGACTCTGACTGTTGTTTCCCTCTCGCTCGTGGCAATTTCTTTTCCTTTGCAGAACCTATTTTATCAATGTCATTTATTTCGTTTGAAAGCAGCTTAATGTCTTAATTCAGGTGGCAAATAAGAACAACTTTTTAAGGGAGACATTACAAGAAAAAAGTAAGACACCATTTAAAGTAAACTGGCCAGTGATCCTCCAGGCAGGGAGACAGCAGTAGATTGCTTTTTCTCTTCATCATTACGAAGAGCAGTCAACTCATTACCTCCTGACTCCCTGAGCAATTTTAGCTATTAGTGGGCCTCTGCATTGACATAAAAAAAATAAAACAACAACAACATATAGTTGGTTTACCTGGAGTATAAGGGATTTACATTCTAATTAGTGGAGGGTATTTGTCTGCGAGTCACAGTGTTTAAATCGCAATTAAAGCTCGACAGTGTTGTGAAAATTAATGCTGATTTTATGGAGAAGTCTCCTGCAGGACAATAATTTACTCACTGAGAAAGTGAAAACAATTTTTAAAAGATGTCAACAACACATAAAAATCTGGCATACATAAATCCAAAGTTAGTCTCGTCAGGGCAATAAATAGCTGTCCGAGAAGGGACTTGGAGGCACTGCAACCACTTTGATGTTATTTATAAAGCACGTTACATGTCTGATATTTGTCTTGTTATATTTTGTTTTATTCATCTAATTTTTTGGTGCTATATTGTGTTGTATATGTTGTAAAGTTTTCTTTTTTCTTAGGTGCAAGAAAATGTCCAGATGAGATTCTGACTATAAAGTATTTTATTAACTAACTAACTGAAACCTATGTGTAAAACATTGCCGGTACCTTACCTCCAATCATGGCTGAGTCACTTCTGATGGCGTTCACTAAAGGCTGACCCCTTTCCACTGATCCAGACTGACCTGCAGCACAGCAAGACGGAAGAAATAACAAGTCAAGAAAGCTGTGGGAATAAAAAGACGGAGGGCAAGAATGTAGGAGGTATCACAGAGGAATTTAAAAAAGTGATGAGGAAGAAAATGAGAAATGAGGATAAATAGTTGGGATTGTAAGAGGACGTGAGGGAGCGCAGAGGTCCTTTGTGACACGGAAATGAAAATGGAGAAAAGTTCTGTAGATTGATGCTCGAAGGAGAAATGAAGAGGCAAACAGGAATCATATATAAGCCCACCATCAGTGCAGGTAATACATGTGGGATAACACCACACATCTCCATATCATTCTCTGTATGAGCGACCTCATGGGACACATACAGTGAAGGAAACTCTTCCCTGAACTGAATTAATTGTTTCCTGGAGTGTTCATTCTCCTGGTGTCCTCACATTTTTAGAAACCCAAGGGTCCCGTTGTAAAGTTTGAAAGGTAGCGCCCCCACAGAAAGGTGAATACTACTGTCTATGTTAACTAAATCCATTTAAGACCCTTGAGGAAGTGGGTGTTATAATGGTATAGAGCTACAGCATCTATCCATAGGTTTGTGAAGAAACACTTAAGTCTTTTGGGTTAAGACTTGTTCTCAACTTTCCCTTTACTCATTACAGTTTTTCATTACAGCACAGCTTTTTATTGAAGCAGTTTCAAGCTGACTGAGATAAAAACTAAACTTTTAAATTGGTCTGCAGACTTCAGACTGTTGTCTTTATGAAGTTACTTAAAGATTGGTGTTTGAATTCACTTCCCTTTTGTTGTTTTTAAAATGTGTTTGACCACAGATCTGTCTTTGCTGCTTGTGAACATGATTTAATAATATGTTGGTAATAAAGATTTTATTTTTACACTTTCGGCCTTAACTCGACAAGTCAGTGGTTAAAGGAGGAAACATGGAGAGAGGGAATTGAGAGTGACATGCAGGAAAGGAGCCGAACCCAGGCTGTCTGTGCAAATCAGGTGTGCTTTGACTGCCTAGCAAGCAATGTCCCACAGGTTACCAGTTTTAACTCCCTGAAAAGGTCATATTTTCAAGACTAAGAAAGTCCATTTGAGCTCTAGTGGAAAGAATATAAATACAGAAAGTATCTACATAATTCTCTGACCTGACAGGTGGTGTGTGGTCTCAGCTGTGTAGGAATTGGCTGAAGAGGAGCCACACATGGACTGGACCAGCGGGCCAGAGACGGTTACAGGGCTGGTTTGTGAATTCAGCAGAGCAGCTTTCAGAGGACTGATGGAGTTAAAGAGGATGGCTGACAGGCAGCCTGTGAAACCAAGAGAGGCAAGACGAGACAGCTCCAGGTCCAGACCCATACCACCAGAGTCTGCAGAGAGAGAGAGAGAGAGAGAGAGAGAGAGAGAGAGAGAGAGAGAGAGAGAGAGAGAGAGAGAGAGAAATAGTCTCCAAATGTACAAAGAGGACTAAAGCCTGCAACTCTGTTACTGCCTTGACTTATACGCCAGTAGAAATGATTTAAAGTGAGAAGAAGTCAGAAAAAAGAAGTTGCATGTCATTACAGAAAATTTTCTTTAAAAGCTGCAATCATGTAGCAAATGAAAGCTGTGTTGTTGGCAAACAGAAACTTATGTCAGGAAAAACGATTTAAAAAATATGACTTTTCTTTCTTTTTTTAAATCTTCCATCATCATTTTGGACTGATTTTCGTCACCATGAAACAAATACCAATTGTTGCTGAGTGGCTTCAAATTCTTAACCTGTCTGATACAAACTCATTCATACAATGACCACTATCAAACTAGGAGGTCAAATATTTTAAAGAGTCAATCATTTAAATATAATTTCTAATTTTTTCTCATCCTCTTGCATAACTTTCAACAGTTACCATTAAAATCTATTTCTTTTGTACGTTTAGTTCCACCTTTAACATTTCGGGAGGTTACCCATGCAGCATTAATCTGTATGAATCTGTCTTCCTGTCTCCTTTACCTGAAAGAGCTCTCTAGACCTCCTTAAACGGACCCAACCACAATAATAAAACTCTTGTTGTCTTATAAAACAGAATACTTCTAATGCTAGTTTCTCTGAGTATGCTGTTACCCAAAGGGCCTTGTTGGGCTTTTTTGTAGCTGTTTACTTACCTTGTACTCGGCCCACAACAAGTGACCTGATGCCATTGAACTCTACGTCAGTTGAGAGGTTGAAGTCCTCTTTGGAGTTCCTGTCAATCTGAAAGAAACCTTGTTATGAATGGAAAGTAAGTACTTCAACGTAAACAGATAACAAGAATTTTTAATTCAAGAAAACAGTCATCTGTGTTCAGGGAAAACACAGTTTCACGTTGCCTGTATTCATTTGTTATTTTTCCAATAAACAAAGTGACACTGACCTAACCTTAAGCCTCTTTATTCAAAGATTTCTGTGTATCAGGTACATCAGAGTTAAAATGAAGAATTAATCATGAACCTGCAGAAGCTTTATGAATAGTTTTAACTGGACGGATTTGATACTGAATGCTGGAAGGTGTGTTCTTTTCAAGGTGAAGGGAAAAGCAATTCAAGAGCGTCCACAATCATTTTGGTGTCAGCTTTCTCACTGCAGCTCAACCTTTTTATTTGTCGCTCTTTTCTCTAGCTGTTCCCTGATGCCTGTTTGAAAGTAGGAGGAAACCCATACCCACGAAAAACTCCAGTCTGATGTGTTTGAGTGTGTTACCTGCAGAGAAACAGAGTCTGCCAGTCTGCTGATAGTCACAGCATGTAGCTTCCCATTAGCGAGGTTCCTCACTTTACTCCTCAGGATCTCTGCATCTTTACTACCATCCAGCCTGTACCTGACCTCCAGTCTGTCTGCAAACACAAAATAACAAAAACAACATATTGTTGGACTCGGCAAGAAACCAAGACTTTAAAATGAACAGCCATTTATACAATCACTTTAGTATTCAAGTTGAAGTCATGAGATTCACCTCAAAGGCACCTGGTTACTTCCTCGAGGATGTTTGAGATCTTCTTTACTAAAGCTGTCCTTTTACCAGCTGATTATCATGTCAAAGTAGATTATACAAAAACTGCAAAAGAAGCACGACTATATTTCATATTTTAAGGGAAAATGTATCATAAGTTTGCATTTTCCATGTTTAACTCCCACAAATTCATATGAGTATGCCAATAGCTGTGAGTACGACATAACCAAAAGTCTGTAAATGTACAGGCCAGGCAGAATTAATGAGAGCAGGACAAGTTTTTCTAAAATCATAAATAATTCATTTTTTTCAGTGTTGGTAATTACTTTAACTCTCCTCTTTGTGCCAAACTTATTAGACAGGAGCAGGCAGAGAAAAGTTGCAGGAAGAGAGACTTGAGGTGCGTGAGGTCAAACTGTAATGACCACGACGGGAGGTGACTGCAGAGCTGAGAGACGCTGCAGACATAGAGATATTCAAAAAGCTCATAGATGTGACAACTGAACTTTTTTCCTTCAAATATTTCATGACTAACATAACATACATCTTCTTTGTGTTGTTTAAATTTCTTAAATAAGGCTAGATAGTCTCATGAATGATGTGTCTACGTAAACTGACTTACTTATTGGTTTATTGTTTTCCCTATAGAGTCACAAAGGTTCACAGAGTTTATACAGACTTCTTTCACTGAAGAAAAATAAAGTTTGATAGGAAACTTCAGATTTAATGCAGCCACCTGTTGACACCCTGATTATGCGAGTTATTTCTAATGACCTTTCGCCCATCAGCTCCCTGCAGTCAGGGTCATTAAAGCAGTCTATTCATGGTCTATTTACAGCTAATCTAGGTCCAATCCTACTTATAATAGCTTTATCGGTCTTCTTTGTCCTTTTCAATTCAAATCCCTTTGCACTGCTCCTCTGACTGAACTCTGGGCAACTTCATTAATTAAACACTGAAGTGAACAGCAGCAGAGGAGAAGAATAAGGAGAGCAGAAAGAAAACGTAAAGGAGAGAGCAGATGAAGAGGACAAGGTCGACAGGATATGTGCAACAGGAATTGAAGAGGTTGTTTGATGATGGAATATTAAAACTGTATTTTACCTTGAGCTGCAGGAAAAACAGAAAAGGTGTGTGTCTGTTGGTTAAACATATGGATTCAACCAAGTAAAGGGGAAACAATCATCATTGTCAACAAAACAGTAAATATAATAAGATTTGAGCGCTCACCATATTTGTTAAGCAGCAGAGCCAGGTATTCTTTGAGGTGTGAGCCAACATAAAGGAGCAGAGCTGGACTCTGGATGGTCCTGAAGCTCAGGGAGATGTTTTCTGCTCTCAGGGTGGCGTCAGAGTAGATGGAAGAGGGCAGAGTGCTGCTGCTGCTCTTGTTCAAATCACTCACCACCTGCTCCTTGAAGGTGTAGCTGACAGATGTTCCTGACTTGAAGCTGGCTGAAACCTCTATGGGACAGGAGACAGAAGTTCACTTAGATCAGGCAGTTATTTGTACAAGTGTGATGTGATTTTTTTTCTTTTAATTTGGCTGATGAAAAAGTTGGAGTGAAATCAAAGATTCAACTACAACTTTATATTGCTTGCTTTATATCACTTGGGAATAAGACAAAGTAATTATCTTCTCACTTCACAACTTACTCTGCTACATCAGAGACACTATAATTTGCATTTAAATTCGAATGAGAAGATACTGTTTGTCTTCACACTGAATACAGCAGCTGATCTCACAGGAGGACTCTGTCAGTAAATCATGTAGAGTATGAAAAGAAACTCGGCAGCTCTGACAAAACCTAATTAGTGAGCTTGAAGAGACAAAACTGTTGCAGGAGAACCAGCTGACAGGTGAAAAGAACAATGCATTATGTCTCTGCAAATGATCACACATTTGTTTATGAGAGTTGTGATTTTCCAGATATAGTTCTGGTGCCTCTAAAGACTGCACAGCTGGTCCTGTCTGTCACTGAATGCTAATGAGGCTCAGATACTGTACTGTTGTTGTGTTGTTTAAAACTGCGTGCAATGCGTATGACCTTTGGTCTTCAGACACTGGCCTTCTCTTCATCCCAAACACCAGCCTCTGTAAATATGGGGGGGCAGGGCTGTCTGCGCCACAGCCCCCACCCTCTGGAACAATCTCCCTTCAGATAGCCAAATGTCCCATCTCTGACCTGCATCACCTGTCCATCAACAACCTCCAATAACTCATGCCTTTTCACTAACCTCAGTCTAAAATCTGGAATTATAATGATCTCATTTTATATTTATTTTGTGTTCATTACTCCACTTTGAAAAGCGACCTTGGATTCTTTAAAAGGTGCTATAGAAATGATTATTATTATCATCATTGATGTGAGTGAACGAGGGTTGTCAAACTACTGTCTCAAAGGGGTGCAATGTCTAATCAATGACTCAACTGTCTGCAGATGTTGCCTCTAAATGACCACGGGGCTTAGCGCTTGCGTAGGTGTGTAATGTTTGGATTGTGATTTTTTTGCCTGATGTTTCTCCATTATGAATCACTGTAAATTTGTCTGTTAGTGTCTCGGTAACTGTGCCTGCTGCCTGTCTTGGCCAGGACACACTTGGAAAAGAGATTTTTTGATCTCAATGTGTTTTTTTTCTGGCTAAATAAAGGTTAAATAAAAAAATATATATATGGTGTTTGGTTGTTCCAGCATAAATTAACTACCCACTGATAGTGCTGGGTGATAAAATGATATCGATATAAAATATGGTCAATATGCTTTTTGATAGCCATGTTTTGGTTGACTATACCAAAAGCTAATGAAAAGGGGAGTTGCTCTGGGTCCACTTCGCGCTGAACCAATCATGAGCTGAATTAGAACCAAGTAGCAAACGACTGCGTAGTAGCAGGCTGCAGCTACATGCAACCATAGCACTTTAACACGTGAAGCCGACAGCACTGTCGGGGAGACAAAAAGAAAACGAGTGCTACCCCCGGCAGAAATGCAGATGAAGGATCAACAGATGATGGCATTGTCGACAACACTGGCATGAAACATTGGTTGTGTGGAGGTATTTTGGTTTTTTGAGGTCGCACACGAAACAGAGTAATGTACACTGCAAATTATGTCGAGTACATGTTCTTGCAAAGTCGGGGAATACCTCAAAATTTTTCACCACCTGAAGCAGTGATTTTTTTATATCGTGATATATATCGATATCGACTGATATGAAAAAAATATTGTGATAAAGTTTTTCCCATATCGCCCAGCCCTACTACTCACTGATATCCAGTGGTCCACAATGAAATCATCTGCCACAGATTTTTCAAGCAGTGTTGTTAACTTGTTAAGATTTATTCACAAGTATGTTGTGATTCACACAATCCAAGACAGCGCCTTGTTCGTTTTTGTGCTGTTGGCATCTGTTTGATAAGCCGCACATGAATGTTTGGCTCACAGATGGTAGCGAAAACTTTGAGGATTTAGGTGATACAGGAATTTTGTTCGGCACAAACTTCTGACGAACGCTGCTTTTGACTTGTCAACTACGCCAAGTGAAATGTGCTGATTTTCAACAATGTAGTGTCATGACTTTTTCATGCTCAAGTAATTCGACTCAATCCAATTTAATTGATGGCAGCAGGTGCAGCTGTGAGTTGGTCAACAAAGCCTGTACCTCTCTCACAGAAGGCTCCAGTGTAAGCAGATGGGCCACAGTCGCAGGAGAAGCTGTTTGGTCTCTCCACGCAGCGACCCTGGTTCTGGCAGAGAGAGCCGTAGCTGCTGCAGTAGCCTGGACATCCTGCTTCGACCCCGGGGGTGATCTTTGCTCTCTCCTCCAGGTCCAGGGTGATGCCATTCATCTGCAGAGAGCGAATGCAACCCCGGAAACCTTTCTGTCTGGACGCTGTGCCTCCTGAGGACACACATGAAGAAAGACAGTGACATTTCACGATGCAGATTTGGTAGAAACGGAAAAAAATAGTTTATATACATAAGTTTGAATTAGTGTATAATCATCTGAATATTAAAATCATCATGTTTTTTTCACTCATAATGAGCCTTTTAAATCTACTCAGGAGCGAGTCCCCATCATCTGCCATTGCTAAAAACAGACAGTTGTGTTTTTGTATTTCATGAGCGGCCACATAAAAATGCAGCATTTCGGAGATGAAGAAGTGAGAGATTGTTTTGTGTGAAAGAATTTGAACTGATGGATGTTTTTGACGGTAATTTCTTGACAAATGGAGGAATGTAGGCTACTAGTCATGCATCACAGGATTCTTTTTTTGTCCAAGAGGGCCACCGTCGCTTCAACAATTGGAGGAATATGCAAAGTAGCATTTCATTTTAAAATCTGACTGTTTTCTAAAATGATGAGGAGCTGTACCGCACTGAAACACAGACTGACAGATGAAAAATGCCAAAGTGTACACAGTTTTCACTGGTTGACAAGCACAATGATGTCAAAAAATTTAGCGAGTTGTCAATCAATCTGACAGTCGGCTTGTTTGTCCTGACCAGCTGACTGTGACAGGGAAATATTTTCCCCTTCCTGAAGAGAATTCAAACTCTGAATGTTCCTGTTTTCCAAATACAACCTCTAAATGTCCTCAGAGTTCAGGCCCTGCAACATTATAATTGTCTCAGAGTGCCAAACTGGCAAATTAAAGACACCTCAAGCCTGTTATGATGAGATTGACAGCTTTTCTCCAGGCATGATGCGGTTCACATGAGGGCCTGGAGTTTTCTCAGGAGCTGCCAGGAAAGAACTCACTTTGCTTAGAGACTTGTTTCAAGAATTGTGCCAAGGTTATTACAGAGAGACTGACCACTACAGGACAAATGCAACTTTCATCGAAGGATATTTTTTCTCCATTTTTTTGTGTGTTGAGGGATTTTTTTCTCAGTCTATAAAGTGTGAATAAAAGTATTACTTTTATTGACTCGTTTTAGTTGTAAGTATTGTAATAAGATGGTTGACCTCCCTCAAGTCTGTCAGTGTCAGGGTGGATCGATGTGAGAGACAGCACTGCGGTATATCTGCTGCACAGGAAAAACGAAGATGGGAAGCAGAACTTCAAGTGTTTTTCTAACACTGGTTTTGCTGAAAAACAGTATTTCTCTTACCATCTGCTTCCTTTCTACGCAGGACAGACAAAAATGTGCAATCAATGTGCAAGTGATAAACATGTAGAAGCACACAAAGTGAGTAGCAGGTGAGTAAAATATAACTGTTTAGAAAGTGACTGAGATACACACACACAAACACACACACAGACAAAATGCCAGTTACACTTTATTTTACGCCTTTCTCTATCACACATTATAAATATATTTATAATGTGTTATACTCACGTTATAACACTGTATAACTATAGTTATAAACACTCATAGATGATCATAATGCTTTATATCAATAATCATAACACATAATGAAGCATTTTATCATGACTTACAAGGTCAGGTATTATAATGTGTTGTAACTGTTAACAACTCACTGACAATGCCCACATAGAAAATGCATTTTTCATATATTTATGATGTTTTATAATTTGCTTATAAACTTGTAAAACTATCATTATAAACACTAATCAATTATCATAAGGTTTCATAACAATAAGCATATCACATTATAATACCTGACCTTGTAAGTCATGATAAAATGCTTTATTATGTGTTATTATTATTGCTATAAAGCATTATGATCATTTATGAGTGTTTATAACTATAGTTATACAGTGCTATAACGAGATTATAACGCATTACACATATATTTATAATGCGTTATAAAGACAGGCGTCAAGTAAAGTGTTACCAAAATGCCTGCCCAGCAACAATGGGCAGTTGTATGTAAGGTTCAAATGGATATAAGGTGGGACCGGGAAAGGGTAAATGTGAGAATGACAGCTGATGGGTGTTGCATAATGAAAACTCATGCATGGACAAAGAGAAAGCTTCAAGTTGCATGTCATACATGCATCAACCCTGTGAAACAAACACATCTCAACTCACAGATACACGCTCACCTATAAATAACTGGCTGTTCAGCTGCAGGTGGATATGCCCGTCAGCAGGAGCCTCCTGCGTGGCAGCAGGGAGCTCGTCCAGGCGTAGCGATGCCTCTCTAACGTTCCGCTCAGCTCGTACACGGTGCCACCTGTTGTCGTCCAGCGGGAAACCAGCTGTCACACGAACCTCCAGTGGACCATTACCCACATCGAAGGAGAAGAGCACCTCTGTTGAGGCTGCATCATTGAAGGAAGAAATGAAGAGTCATTTTAAAATATCAACACACCTTCAGCCTGTCCTCTGCACCTCCCTGCAGCCCATGCTTCGCTTGCTCCACCTGTTTGCTGCTGCAAACACTCAGAGGTGTGCTCAGGCAGAAACAGTATACACAAGCTCCTGTCACAATTTGTAGAGGGTATGACTCAACCCTTTCGCCTGCTCTTTCAAATCGGTCTCCTAATATGTGAATTGCTTTATTTATACTTCAAGTGAATCAATATAACAAACAGAAGAAGAAATAAAGAACTAAATCTTAGTGGTTATTGCCGTCCATCCTCAGCTCTGAAGCTGCAGCTTATTATGAGCATGCTGCCAGTGTTTCAGAGGGACAAGCTGATGCTTACCACAGCCAGGAAAAGGATTTTTTTTTTGTGCATAACCTGGTTTCTTGAGAAGATGAATAATTTAGTGGGATATAAATAAAGAACTACCTGTTCTTCTATTTCTGTAAAGACCATCTGTGATAGAAGAGTTTTTTCTTTTGCAAACACATACAAGGAAAAGGTCACTTTATCAACAGCTGTTTTTCTTTGTAAATTCTTGACTGAAGTGATACAGAGGACAATAAACTGTGTTGTATATGTAAGAAAAAAGACCACTAAAAACACGTATTTTGTTACATCTAGAAAGAACCGAGATGGTTTTCCTGTCAGGATCACCATCTCCTTTTTAGTTCACCTCAGATGAAACTTTAACTCCAAGGATTATCCCTTCTGCTCAAGTTTTGCTCACATCCAAGAAAAGTCAGGATTAGACGTCTAACCTGTATGGATTCACTCACAGCTCAGTTCAATCCGAATGAAGTCTTTGATGCCCAAATTTTCCAAGAACACTCCGGAGGGGGAGGTGGTTTTGAAGTAGAAGGAGATATCTGCACTCAGCTCTCCGTGAAATGTGGGGAAGTGGAGGTACGACGTCTCTTTGTCAAAATATGCAGCGTTCCAGACGTTCTCTGAAAGTTCATAATTAACTGTTAACCATCTTCTTTGAAATTAGCTTTAAGAAGAAGGACAAGTTTGTTACTTAATAATAATAACAAAGTCTCCTCTCTAAGTGTTGATCATGTTCAGATTCTGGACTGGACTCACTGTCTCCATGACAACGCAGATGCCCCACCCTGTAGGCACCTTCAGAGCCCGGCCTCTGAATATCACCCAGCACCAGAGATCTGACAGGGAGGGTCTCCTTATGAGTCAGCAGGCCCGAGTCATTAGCCCTGAAGGGGACAGGATGAAGCAGAGGAAGGAAGGAAGGAAGTAATTTATAAAGGAACCCAGAGAGTGAAGGAGAAGGATATAACAAACAGAAGAAATAAGAAAAGATGAGTTTAAGATACAACTTTGCCATCAGTTCCAGTGATCAGAGAGAAAATAAGGGAATGAATCATCCTTATTTCTTCCAACAATGGAGCACCTTTGGGATGCATCAGCTACAAACCGGTCCATCTGTTATCCTACGAGCTTAATTAGTAAAAGCAGTACTCTGAAACACAATAGCTTTCACTGATTAATCTTAGGAACATTCACAGTACCACTCAGTGTGGTCAGCATCGCAGTTGCAGAAGTGTTTGGGGTCCACACACTTCCCCTGCAGACCACAGGCACACCGTCGGACATCTGGAGAGGCTCCATCCCAGTAAGTCTGCATCTGTCCTGTACCTGGACCTCCAACCCACCAGCTGAGTGGAGGGCCATCTGCAGCACACATATAAGGTCAATTTAGTCTGATAATAGGTTTCTGAGTATGCTTTCTGTGGCAAGAACCATGATGATCCAGATCTTAAGATTAACCCTAATCTACCCTGTTTTTCCATAATAAAGCTCAGTTACTTCAGTCAAAAGTTCCTAAAATACTTTTCCAATCTTTTGTTAATCATACAAAAAAGTGTCATTAATTGTTAATATCAACTGAACATTTTAACTGTAAAAGATCACTATCCACACTGACACTTACAGTAATATGCCCATTTAGTAGTTTGGTAACACGTTATTTAAAGCCTCTCTCTATTACACATTATAAATCTATGTATAATATGTTATAACCACGTTATAACACTGTATAACTATAGTTATAAACACTCATAAATGATCATAATGCTTTATATCAATAATCATCACACATTATAAAGCATTTTATCATGACTAACAAGGTCAGGTATTATAATGTGTTATAACTGTTAACAACTCACTGACAATGCCCACATAGATAATGCAATGCAACTGTTGTTAACAGTTATAACACATTATAATACCTGACCTTGTTAGTCATGATAAAATGCTTTATAATGTGTTTTGATTATTGCTACAAAGCATTACGATCATTTATGAGTGTTCATAAGTATAGTTATACAGGGTTATAATGTGGTTACAACATATGATACATATATTCATAATGTGTAATAGAGAGAGGCTTTAAATAACGTGTTTCCAGTAGTTCTTATGTGGTCTTTTAAAATATATTTTTTTATTTTTATTTAAAACATATCAACAACTGATCTAAAGTACGAGTGGGTGTCAGGGTAACGTGCATTTCACTGAATTGGCTGAACACTGCATTTTTAAATGTACACAAAAAATGAGAATTCAAAAAGTTTAATACAGAAGCACAAAAGAAATCTTTGCTAATTTTCAACTTTTTTCTCGCTCCTGAGTTTCCTTTTCTTATGAGATGTGCAACTCTTCTGTCATCTAGTTAGTATATATCTAAGTGTAGCTTTGAGTCTTGGTCTGAAATTTCACAGATGATCAGAGAACCTAACCTGGTGTGTTGAGGCGTGACTTCCTGCAGTGATAAGTCAGTTCCTGTTCGCAGTGCTCTGACTGGCTAATGATGGCTGCCAGCTGCTCCTCTCCAGATGAGTAGTCAAAGTGAGCTGTGTGCCGAGTCTTTCCTGGTGCTGGTCGGACTCTGGTTAACTCTGCATTACTGTGCTGGATCACAATCCAGGTTTTGTCCTCTGGTCAAGGGAGAAACAGAGGAAAGTATTTGTGTATGTATTAATATGTGTGTGTGTGTGTGTGTGTGTGTGTGTGTGTGTGTGTGTGTGTGTGTGTGTGTGTGTGTGTGTGTGTGTGTGTGTGTGTCTGTGTGTGGTGAGAGGATGCACCTCAGAAATGTCTCTGGACAAATACACAGAAATACAGGCAGGATAAAAGAGAAATAGAGAAACAGGACATGACAGGGCCCGCTCGCTGTGTTTTGACATCTGTGTGTGTGTGTGTGTGTGTGTGTGTGTGTGTGCGTGTGTTTGATGTGTGTGTCGGCTACCCGTCATGTTGCAGAATATCAGTTGTGGTCTGATGGGTCCGCTGCCATCCACATCGATGTAATAATACCCTGACGTGTTGCCTTTGTGTTTGTATGCTTCACAGGACTGCTCATATATTGCTGAGGAGGAAGAGAGACATACAGTGTTATCACTGTCAATATCACAATCCTTCAGGTTGACCAGTTCTTTACAGTGGTCTGCCACTATGAGGATAAAAACACATAAAATAATCATCAGAGTTCACAGAAAAGAGATGTTCCTGATGGAGTAACTTTGTGACAAAACAACTGTAAAAAAAAAACAAAACAAAAACACATGCTGGTTGGTTTTAAGATTTGGCATCTGTACTGACACAGATGAAAAGTTTGTGTTCATTTAAGATGAAGTCATATATAATAACCCACTGAGCATTTTTTGGTCTAAAAGAGGTCTAATAAACGTCTAAATGTAGCCTAGACGTCAAGTCTAAAATCAGGCTACCACAGGTCTAAAAATGAAAGTTTTTTAGATGTCTAAATTTAGACCAAGTTAAGAACTTGAAGATCAGCTATGCAAATCACAGTTTCTATTTGGGATAAATAGTTATCTAATAATGGGTTAAAGTGTAACATCTAAATTTGGTCTAAAAATATAAAGAATCTAGACGGTTGAAATTAGGTCTAAAAAAACTAGACGTCTAGTAGCCAACTATTGCTCAGTGGGATAATAACTCTGGCCAGACTAGCTGCCCCCTGATGTGTCCAGTCTTAATCCTTAGCTAAGCTAACAGGCTGCCCGCAGAGTTACTATGAGCCCGAGGATTTCTGGTCTCTTTTGCCATTGCATCTACTGCCATGCACCAGTGCTGCGCTCAAACTTCCAACCCTATCACCCCGCCAGCACCAACCTGCAGGCTTTGACTAGAAGCCTCAAGACTTGATCTCAGTTCTCCCTCACTTCTGTATGTAAAGTAAATCTGCAAGGAGTAATGAGATTCCCAACCTGGATGCCAAACAAAATCATGTGGTGCCATCATCAAGTATTGACCAACACAATGTGAGATGACAGATTGAACTGGTACCTTTTTATTATTGACATTTACCTGTATTGTTGACTAAATGGACACATACCTGGTCAAGACCAAACCTTTTCCATAAGGGAGAGAAATTTGTATAGCTGTAAGCCTAAGTCATAAATGCTAAGTTCCCTGCTTGAGTTGAATTGTTTTTTTATGTTATATCCATTTGAGTTCAGAGTTTAATAATATCACTGAAAGTTGAAATGGCTGTTATGGTTCCTCAATGTGCTTTAATGTCTCATTGTCAATGGTCCCACTGAAGACTAATGCAGTTCTGTCTGTCCAAACATCTGGGCAGTCTCCTAACTTAAATGATTGACAAGCAGACCCTTTAATTGTTCTTAATTACAATCTGTGAGACTATATTAAAGCACCACGTAATCAAGCCAAATATTCATTGTTCCCCCAAAGACCATTTCCACTAATATACGAATATAGTCATTTTTGCCACAAAAGAGCATCCAAAGAATAGATGCTCCAAGGCTGTAATTATAACTTATAAAGTGTCTCCTTCAGTAGTCATACTTCATCATTTTCTCTCTATCTGTTCTCTTTCTTGTTCCTCTGTCTTTTTTTAGTAGCTGAAGGGACAACAATGATCGAAGGAGGTTAGAGTCTGACATTCTGTGAGAGACCTCAAGGTGAAAGCAGCAGGTTGTCTCATTACAGAAAACACGTGCACATGAATGAAAACATGCTCATACACACACACACACACACACAGAGTCCATACAGTGTGTGTGTGTGCGTGACCTTTGCACAACAACAAAGCTCGGTGCCCTTACAGCTGTGGCAGGTGGCTCCGCTGTAGCCCGTGCCGGAGCAGTTACAGTGGAAGGTGCTCCATGATTGGCTGCAGCTGCCTCCATGTTCACAGTGACTTGGAGAACACCTAAGGGACAAAAACAAACCCCAAGTTTTTAACTCATACAGGAGTTGATTATTTGTTTTTTATTCTCAGGCTACAGAGCAGTGTATAATTAGTCTAAATTAGTCACACTTTCGCCAGCTGCAAAATAAAACAGGTGTAAACATCACGATTCAATGATTTAATCCCAATAACTTTATGCATTTGGCCCAAAAATGGACAGCTATGCAGCATAAGTCTGATTATCATTACAACTGTGAAACTTCTGTTATGAAGGTAAAAACTTTTACTACGTTATTTTCAACTTCTTAAAGGGATATTCCGGCGTAAAGTTAATTTAGGGCCAAACACACCATAACACAGAGTTAGACAGCCCCTCAAGAGATGAATGTTGCCGACCGCTTGCTTCTCTAGTTATACCAACATTAGTAATGGCCGCACGATAGCAATACACAGCGGTCTATGGAACCACACACAAATGTTCTTCCTTGAGCCGTGTCACCCCACAGCAGTCTGTAATGGACTGGCCCGAGGTCTCGCTACAAACAAGCGGCTGCTGGAAGAGAGTAGGTGAGTTGTGTTTAGTCTCTTTGCTAAAGAAATTAGGCAAAATTAAAAAGATGTTTGATGGCTAGTGCTGTGGCTGGGACCCTATATATACTGTTGATGAAGTTAGGTGCTGTTCTGAGCATTATTTGTGGCTATCGAGTGGCGTTGTGGTTTTTGTTAGTGTGTGGTTTCATAGACTGCTGTGTATTGCTATTGTGCGGCCGTTACTGAAGTTGGTATAACTAGAGAGGCAAGCGGTCGGCAATACTGGTCTCTTAAAGGGGTGTCTAACTCTGTGTTACAGTGTGTTTGACCCTTAATTAATTTTACGCCGGAATATCCCTTTAAGGTATATTTAATTTACCTGTTTGGTGCCAGAAACAGGTCAGAACTCACATAAAAAGCTCAAACAGGAGTGCTTAAGAAATGACTTAAATAAAACTATTAAGGCCAACAAAGCCAAGAAGTGAACCAACACAATTCAGAGGTAAAAAATTTTGTTCAAGAATTAGGAAGATCAAACCTTATTAAATGTATACCAAGTGTCAGTATTTCAATTCTTAATCTGAAAGTAAAACAGTTATGAGGTGAGCTTAGCATGAAGAGAAATTTACAAAAGCTTCCACTTGAAGATTTTTCTGTTTTTTAGCCGTGACCTGAACCTGGAGGGCTCTGACCATAAATATCTTTACCGCCACGGTTAAGGTTTATGACCGTACTGTCTGTATTGTCACTGCAATGAAAGCATGAGTAATACTGTATGTTGTGGAAAGGAGACAGATATATTGACTCATCTCATGACTCATCATTTATCATCAAACAAGTTTGGTGAATAATTTCTCCAAATAGTTCTAAATCATCTGACTGGTTGGTCAGTCTATTTCTGCTTCTTTCTCTCGCATGGACTAAACCGCTGAACCTCCATATTCAGGGTAGGTATTATTATTTGGCACAATATTAAACCAACGGCTCTGAAAGAATCTCTCTGTTCTTCACGTCTGTACACAACAGAGAATCAGACACGGTTCAAACAGAATTATTTAGTAAATCTCTCTTTTATCTGTTTTTAAAAGTTGATGGGCAAAAACAAATGTTTGGTGGATTGTGCTAAATAATGCATGACTTCTCTTCCATTGTTTTTTCTTTGCAACAGTAATTTAACATAAAATAATGATTTACACATTTTAATTCAAGTGCATGAAAGCAGCTGCAGGACAATTGGAACAAGATGAGTAGACGCTCTTTCTTTCTTCAAAAATAGCTGTGCTCGAGCACTTTCCACCAGAGTGAGCATGTGAAAGTACAAGTTTTTGGAGAAATGCTTGCTCAGAAACACATCCCTACTTCGATAAGTGCTGAGGCAAAGACACAAATGTTTCTGTCATCTGCAGCATCACTCTCAGAATAGTGATTTGCACATTTATGAATGCTCTCCTGCACAGTCGGGTGAGAAGCTTTTACTGTCTTTGTTGGACGTGAGCTGAAAAGATCTGGTTTGAAGTACTGTCTTATTCTCTAAACAGAAATGTACTCTGCAGTCTTGTTTTGCTGTCAGACTTCACCTGACCTTTATCGTGGTCTGTCGTGTCAAAAATAACTCCATCTTTACATGATTAAAATGAACTCTGCTTCTATTTCATTAACCTTAGAAACTTGGACTGAGTATAGCAGTAAGAGGAAAAAAGGAAGTGAAAAGGAAGGAGAGAGAAAAGAGGTACAAAAAAAGGAAACACTGAGAGGGTACGAGAACATTTCTGGAAATACTTCAAAAAGAGCAACAGAAAGAGAAAACCAAGTGAAGGTATTAAGGTTAAGAAACGGATCAGAGGAGAGAAAGGAGGGAGAGTGTAACAAAGGGGATGAGGTTAGGCTGAATGAAGCTCGGCAGGGGCTAGGTAAACATATTTGGAGAGGAAATGAGGTCAGCAAATTGTGACTGCGGAGAAACTAAAAGAGAAATAGGGCAGGAGAGCAGCATGTATTTTTAATCTTTCAGTCAAAGGGAAATTTAATGTTAGAAAAAGCCTTACTCAGCAGGCTGGTCAGGTGGCGCTCTGCTTTTTAGCAGCAGTTTCTTAGCTTTGAGGAGCAGGTTAGGATGGAGGCAGGTGTAGAACTCTATTTACGTTCCCTTTGTGCGATTAAATACATCTTAAACTCTGGCAGTTTGCTGTTGCCTAACTTTTCTGCAAATGTGCAGGCCAGCCACTTACAGAGAGTGTATCTCTGTCTCGAAATGATAAATAAAGTGTGTATGTGAGCAGTCAAGTTTCAGGGTCATAGGAACACTTAGGGTTGGAGGTGAGAGACTAAAGGAGTGTTCAAGTTGACACTTTTGGGGAAGAAAGAGCTGCTTAGAGTAAGTTGTGGAAAAAACATGTACCAGTGGGCTGTGATGAGTTAGAAAAGGGTCTAATGTCACAATTTGAGGGGGAAAAAAAAACAATCAAATCACATAAAAAAAAGGAAACAACATGAGGCTCAACTTGACATTTTGAGTAATAGAGAAAGAGAAAAGAGACTATAAAGGAAGCTAGTTCATCTCACACGAGGATATGGAAATGTCTACAATATTGATTTTCTCCAAGTGGCCAGTGGGCAAAATCGCCAGTGCTCTGCATAGATTTAGTTCTCTGGAAATTTGCGCTAAATGCATTTCATTTCAGTAACATAGAGGAAAGATGGCTTTAATGATGGTAGTCATTGTGCAACAACAATTTCAACAGCAAGAGGAGAAAACACCCACAACATTTAAAAAGCATTGCGACTTGATCCTCTAACTGTATGCCTGTGGAACTGCATAGTGCCACTGTTTCAGAAAACAAATCACATCTTGAAGATGCAAAGAAAGCCAGACCTTGTACATCACTGATAAAAGTAAAGGAAACAATTGCTGGATTGTTTCTTTAACCAGGGAACATCTCACGAAACACCGAGACTTAATCTGAGCTGCAATAAATCTCCTTTTTATCCAAGTGACTGCAGCAGGAAAACAACCACAAAGCCTTTAGAGGAAGATTTACAAGCTTCAAATAAGGAAGAGGAGCAAAAGAAATCCAAATTTCTGACAAGACTGTACTATCTTCTCTTACTATTGAAGTTCAAGGTTACTTTGCATGTCAAACAGCATGTCAAAGAGAAGTGACAGCAGTGCTCAGTGAAAACAAGATAGAATGAAATAAGCTGTCAGAAGAAGCTGAGTAGAATAAAAACCAAAGAGAGATAAAGTAGTCATCAATTAATAAACAATGGTAAACAAAAGAAGATAAAGGAAAACAGATTGAAGATCAATAACAAACCCAGACTTTGTTTCTACAGCATCAGTGCTGTATCACTGTGACTTATTGATCTCTCAGTACTCCCTCAAACAGTAAGGTATAAGCAAACTTTGCTGAATAGAAAACACAGTCGAAAACCTTTTAGAAGAGCATATGTTCAACATAATGACCCACTGAGCACTTTTTGGTCTTAAAGAGGTCTAATAGATGTCTAAATGTAGTCTAGACGACTGGTCTAAAATCAGGTTACCACAGGTCTAAAAATGAACGTTTTTTTGGACATCTAAATTTAGACCAAGTTTAGTCCGAGTCTAAATCTGGGCTACATCTATACAACAATGTATATTGCTAAACGGCTATCATGATCATTTTGGTTAAGTACTTGGAGATCAGTTATGCAACTCACAGTTGCTTTTTGAAATGAATAGTTATCTAATTATGGGTTAAAGCGCAAAGTCTAAATTCTGTCCAAAAATATACAGAATCTAGATGGTTGACTAAAAAAAATAGATGTCAAATAGCCTATATCTTTTGCTCAGTGGGGAGGTCTGACCTGTCAATGATGCCACACATATCAATCTGCAGGTGGCTGTAGTTCCCCATCAGCCTCTGCTGCACCATGATCAAGTCCACAGGTATGTTGTCGATGGTCAGCAGACGCATGCAGCCCTGGAAAGACTTGAAGGGGTTTACACACTGCTGGCTGCTCTCTTCAGGGGGACAACCTGCAAAGCAAAGGACCAAAGCATCAGCAAACCAGTGTAATGACGCAGAGTAGACTATTACATCCCCCCCCAAGCACCTAATGGCCGTTAAAGGAAGAAGTGTTTGCCTTTTACTGTCTTACCACCAAAGAAGAGTGGACCTCCTGTTGTAATGAGAAATGAGGGGCTAGCATGAGCAGCGGCTCCTTCATCTCCATCCACAGAGACAGAGAGATGTCCCCGTCTGGAGATCATCTCCACAGAGTGCCACTGACCATCACTGAGAGCTGAGCCTGAGGACACACAGATACATTCAAAAGTGTGTGTAAATACACACTGTGTCGACTCTTTAATTTCCAACTGGGGTGGAGGTCAGAGGTCAGACTCAGCTGTGTTATAAGGATTCAGAGTACTGCTTCAACTCTTCACAGCGAGGTGGCCTCATGGGGTTTGCAGGTTCTCAAGAGTCGCTGTTCCCGACACTGACACTATTTGTTTTATAGTTTTGGTACAAATCTGGTTTTGGTGGTCCTGTAAGAACAGTATCTTTTTCATAATGCCACAACCTTTATTCTGAACAAAGTATTGATTTTCCAGCAAAGAGCCCGGGGAAGAAACAGAGACAATGTAATCTTTCAAAAAATAAAGCCATTCCTGTAAAATTCATGAAGCACAACCAAAAACACAGCGTTTTTGTGCTCTTTTTTACCTATGTTGGATATATTATCTGAACTTTTATGACTTTCAGATGCATGGATGAAGAGAAACAATAAGAAAACTAGAAGTTGTAGGTTTTCGGTTATACTGACCTACATCAAGCTCCAGCGGCGCCCTGCCAGTCTTGTGTATCAGAAAATGAAGCCTAGCTTTGCTTAGGTACAACCAGACTGCACCGCCTTGCTTTGGGAGGTCAAAGGTCAGCAATAGCCCCACTTTGTTCCACGTCCTGAATTGAAGCCCCACCAACACATCCCCAGATGAAGGTTCTTTCACCCCTGGCAACCAGAGGAAGCTCTGGTGACTGGTGAACGTCATGGAAACCGAAACGGGTTCAGTGCAAGTGAAGGTCACATTACCCTGAAAAAGATGGAGAAGAGGAGAGGGTGGAGGACACACAGAGAAGGATTCTGCTCAAGCTGGAAAACACAAGAATATTGACTAGTAGATTGATTTACAAGGCTAAATGTAAAGGTTATTATCCACAGGGCTCCAAAAAAAGAGAGGAAACAGAACTTAGATTAAGGGGCTGGGGGCAGTCAGACATCTCTGCACATGTGCTCAAAGAACTGAGTAGAGGTAATTGCAGTGCATCCTCTGCAGAGGCACCAGAAGAGATGTGATACGTGTCAGAGTCCCTACTGAGTTTCCATTTTTAGAGAGGCGTGCAATACACAGACACTTCATCAAATTTAAAAGCTCTTTGTGGGGTAGTTAGAGCCTTACACAGTGATGCAAAGCTGTAAAAATTCAGTGGTACACGACCCTTAAACACACACTCGCACACAGGGAGAGATACACAAGCGTGAGTCTTTGTAAAGGGACATGAGTGAAATGATCTTTCCTGACTTTATAAGAGTTAATTGATAACATTTTAGAAAATGTTTTAAAAGATAAAAGATACAAATGAGGACTGTGTGGTTAACTTCGCATGTATACCTTGTTTTTTTTTCCTCTGCTTGCTTTTTAAAAATGGCTTTCAAATGTAAATTCAAAGCACAGTGTATTTCCACAGATTTGAAAACTGTTTCGGTGTGGTGTATGACATTTGAATGGGTCTTTCCAGATGTAATGAGTACAAGGTTGCATAATACTTGTAAAATAGTCAGATTTTGCATCGAGGAACAATTTTCAACCTGCTTGAGAAATATTAGTTTTTGCTACTCTTCACTCCTACACTCCAACTTTTAAAAGAAAAATACTTGACTTTAACTTTTCACCCTACTTAAGTTATTTGACAGCAGTCATCCCTTTACAGATTGAGTCTATTCTTAAATCAGATTATAAAATGTTATGGATTGTGCTAGCAGACTGTGTATCAAGTGGATAAAGAGATAATTTTCCAGCTTTTCTTTCTTTTTTAGGGTTGTATGAAGCACTTGTCTTCATATAATACCCACAGTACTCCTGCTTAGCTCAGCCCTTTGGTTGAGAAACTGACTACTGAACCAGAAAGGAAGGTCAGCTATCAACCGCCGCAGACGGGAGTCATCTCTGCCAATCATGTAAAGCTACTTGGCTCATTTTATGAAAACCCATCTTCAACAGAGTAAATCTACAATCTCAGCTTTTCAGGAGCTTTATTTCAGTCTTTCCAGAAAGCTCTTTTTTTTTTTTTTTAAACAGTCCTACTCCTGACCTCTATCTGGGTTTTCCTACAATCATGTAATGCTACTATTACAGGCCTCATGTTGGAGCCACTTGTGTGTTTCATTAGCATGTGTATGCTACAGGTATATGCGAACTGTAGGACCAAAGTCGACCACTCTCAATTCTACATGAGCTGTATTTTGGTAAAACATATTTATATTTATTTATTATGTGTTTTGTTGATTTATATCTTATGAAAGAGGGGCAGACTTTTTCTTCTTTCTGCTCCTTTTCATTCACGTTTGAGATTTTTCCTCGCTTGTACTGAATGTTTTATATACAACATAACAGAAGTATCAACAATTAACAATCAAATTTACATCAGCTGCTACCAGCAACTTTAGCTAACGCCAACTCTAAACACTAACACTAATGTGTGTTTACAGTGGTAATATGCTACATGAACATACAAACAAGTTTTCATCACCACGCCGTGAGCTGGTTTACCTTCACAATGACCCGCTGGTCTCTCTGCTTGGCGAGGTCTATCAGGTTCACGCTGTTATAAACAAGATTTTCCAAACAGCCGTGAAAGTTTCTGAGTGACCTAGCTGACCTCTGAGAGCCAAGGCTGTGCTCCGCTCCCACACTCATCTGTGCAGTGAAAAGACATGAGTATAAGGGCCTGAAATGATGAATTTGAAACAGAGTGAATAGCAAGAGGAAGTTTTTGAACACACACAGACACAAACACACCTGGTCATAGTCCCAGTGGGTGAATTTTTGAGGGATCTGCACCCACAGTGTGCTTTTATCTACGGTGAAGTTGAGGTGAGTGCTGTGGTGCTCCACCCAGACATGGTGCCAGTGTTGGTCATCTAGCATGCTGCCAAGAGACACCAGATGCTGACTGTCAAGAGAGGAACTCCAGCCTAGAGTGCAGAAAAAAGAGAGGATGAGTAGGTGAAGAAGCTCTGGAACAAAAGGTTGTATATAAGTAAACACACATTCAAATCTAATATTTGAGGTTATAAGTTTTATGGCATATTTAAGGTGCATTTTGATTCAGCAGAAATTCAGTCTTTTGTCCAACTTCACATTTCTTTTCTCATGTTTTAAAAGAATCATGTAGCTCTTTCTATGTCTTCCCCCATTCCAGTTTTCTTCTCACAGAGGCACTTTTAGATGTTTTTCTAAGTTTTTGACCGGTGCAGTGGTGTCAAAGTTTTCCTTTCAAAACTAAAGCTGAGAAAGAAGCAGGTAAGGTAAAGGAGAGTGAATCATTTACACACAAGGGAATACAAAAATAAGTGCAAAAGTATAAATAAGTGACAAAATATACTGCTGGTCCTTTGCTCATCCCAAGGTTTTGGCAGAGTACAGAGTTTCTGCTGGGATTTAGGGGTGAGTGTAGCAGCTAAATACCCTTGGTAGTTAAATATGAAGTAAATACAGTTTGAAAACAGGCCGCATAGTCTGTGTAGGATGAAAAATAGATGGAGAGAAAAAACGGGGGTTGTCCAGAGGCCATACAGAGCCATTAATCATTACTGATATGACAGACACTAAGTTGGTGAAGTAGGGAGACAAGAAACAGGGAAAGATTGACAGACACAGAGTGAAGTATATTCAATCATTAGCTGACAAATGTAGACATCATTTGCATTATTATAAGAATTTTTGTAAGGAAAACAGAGTTATGTCAACTCTTATCTGGCATGCTGTGAAACTTAACAAGCAGTGTGAATGCCTGAATCCAGATTTGTTGCCTGACTGAAGCAGTTGCAGTTTTGCATTTTCAGGCATCATCACTACCTGACTTACCGGTCAGAGAAATCACTCCGATCTGCGACACTAAGCAGCTTCTTCCCCACCAAATCCACACATGCTCATCTTATCATCTTATATTTCCAGTTCAGCATAAAAGACAAATGTGAATGATTTAACAGCCATCAGGTTCAGAACTTGGCTGCTGGATGGTCTTCTAAACACTAACACAACACTGGATTTAGAGTGTTGTCTCTGTTTACTTTGCTTCAGATATTCAGTCCCACCTGACTTGCATAAATGGTAGTGAATCTCAGGAGCAGGGTCAGTCCATCTTGAAATAATTGAAGAGAACAAGGACTAGCTGCAGCTCTCAGAGCACATAAAACATGAAATGGAACAAGGAACCTTGAGAAACATGTCTGGCTCCCAAGCTCAAGTGTCCTTGTTTCATTTCAAGAATCAGTGATGGTTCGCTGAAGCTTTTGGTTTCATTAGATCTCTCTGGGGTTTCAGAAGACTTTTGACAAGGGTTCGAAGAAGATTCTGAACTTCCTGTTTTTTTTCTTCTCTTTGAATCTTCTACAAATTCAAAAAACCTAGGTTTCTTTTCTGGTAATTTCAAACAACTGCCAGAAGAAATATCACTGAATCCTCTGCTGTCTGCTGCTGCACACTTCATTTCTGAATCTAATTTTGGTGTTTCTTAATTTTTCTTCCAGATGACAGTCGCTGTAGTTGTTTTAGTGTTGTCATTTCATTGCATTGCAGTTTTTCACTAGTTATGAAAACGACTGAAATAATACAGATGCCTCACGCTGATCTACCAAAGTAAATTATGCTATTTCTATAAAGTAACTTTGAACGTCTGGCACCACTGCTGCGCGTCAGCTATCAAAAGAAATGAGTCACAACATGCTATTTTATATTTTCTTCGCTGCAAAGATTCTCAAGAAGTGACGCATGTGGCTGTTGAAAGTAAGAAGGATATATGTGGTCAAAAAACATGATAGCTGTGTTTACATGGGCACAAATAATCGGAATAAACACCCGATTGGAATAAAAATGCGTCATGTAAACATGTTGATCGGAAGATTGTGATCCAAGTCGGCTCATTTGGAAAGAAAATGTATTCCAATTGAGAGTTTGTGCCGATCAGTTTTCCGAAACCCGTCCATGTAAACACTTATTCCGATCGTGACTCTCATACCTGACTAGATCTTCACTCTTTAGCCTTTGGTTTATTTATTGAGGTCAGTACTGGAGGTTTTATTATTAACACTCTGGCATAAAACACAACCGCAGGTGCTGTGTCTACTCTTTCGGTAACATAACATGGTGTACAAACAGCGTGGTGATGTTACATCTGCACGCACAGTGCAACCGTTGCCAAAACAGTAAAATAAGTATGCAAGGGCGCCATCTAGTGACAACATTTAACAGGGGGAAAAATCCTGAATTGGATGGAGTTAGCCACTAACGCGTTTGTGTGTTTGTTGACAGCACAGGCGTAAATATAACTCTTCTTCTGCGGTTGTTTTACTCTGCGCATGTCCAAATGTTTCTAATCTGAATAAAGTTTGGTGCATGTATACGCACGTCATGATCGGATTATTTGATTTTGCACCCACATAAACAGTGGATTCAGATTATTGATACCTCAAATTTTTAATCAGATAAAGAAATTTTGCACATGTTAACGTGGCTGGTGAGAACAAGATCAGCAGAGAGATGAGGGTTGCTGCTTATTTCACATGGGGAGCCGACATGGACCCAAACAGAAAGTTTTGCTCTCAAGCTTTAATGATCAAGAGGATACACAGAAATCTATTAAAGAAAGCAACAAGCTGCCCTGAAAAAACTGAGCTGAACGCTTTTTGACTTTTAAAAAGCCTGGGAATCAAAGAAGTAAACAACAACTACAAAAAAATCTTTATTGGTATTCTAATCCGGTTTGTTATTACTTACTAAGATATATACTGCAAATGCATGCAAATTACATCTCAGCTTATGAGTGTCAAACTGTCAAAGATCTGCCTGTTCTGCCAGAATCATACTGAAGATCGGCTTGTTTATTTTTATAACTGAGGCTGCCGACACAATCAGCGTATTCTTTCACTGACAATAACTTTCAACACATTCAAACCAAAAACTTATTCCTAAAGAGTCGTGCATCTTAAAACTTGGGACTTGTTTCAGACATGAGAGAAGGGGCTGAGTGTATTTGTGTGAGTCCAAAAAGAGCAAGTCAACTGAGAGCAGTAAAAACTGAGCACAGCTGGGTTTCTCTGATATGAGCGTCTTGCATCGTATCAGACAGCTGATCTGTATGTTTACAATCCTGTAAGGCTGAATCTATAACAGGGAGACATTCTGTAAATCAGCTCGGGCTGAGGAGAGGAACATTGTGAATCAATGGAGTGGGATTAAATGTAACACACCGCACACCATTTACTGAGACAGCTGAGCTGACAGACTGTATCCAGGATGAGTCATATACTCACATACTCTGCTTTTTTTTATCCACAATGGTATGAAAGGAAAATACACTGAAAGCTTTCACAGTGTACATTTTTAATCATGCATAAATAATAGCTCAAAACGCTCTCAGTGATCTGTACTTTGGAAGTGGTCTGAGCCGTTTGCATTGAGTCATAAGCAAACTAGGTGTATAAACACAACAGACTTAACCGTCACGTCTCCTCTGTGTGCTCTAAACCCCAGCAAAATAAAAGAAAGGACTTTAGTATTCAACAGTTTTGTTTACCTCGATCTTCTGTCATTTTGGAGTGTCCTTTTTTGCACAAGCACACTTGCAGTCAATAAATCATGCCTGAGTGCACTCTCATTTCCGAATTAGGCCAATAGCTTTGGATCTTAACACAGAGACTAACCGTTTTTATGTCAATGCAAACATCAGAGAAAAGGATTTATACTTTCATCTTTGTTCACCGTTAAATTATTCTGCACCTCTCTCTCTTAGCATTCAGGAAACAAACTAAAGTATTTCTTTTCCCCCAATACCTCCATTATTTACCTAACATTAGTTTCACAAGAGGGCCGGAGATCAATGAAATTGATTGCTGCTGTGTTTACTCCCAGGAAAGAGTCAGAGGCAGAGAGCTACAGAAATATAAAACCATGGATATGAAAGAGAGGGGGGGCAGTAGTCTTTCTGGGACAATAAATATATCTAAATAAATCAGTTTAATAATTAAAAAAGTTTGTATATCTCCAGGCAAACCTGGAGGCCTTAAGTGTGATCAGTTAATTGCTCCTGAAGGCTGCTCGGGGCTTACAGGGGAACACTACAATTATAATGGGGTGTTACAGCAGAGGACAGAGCAGAACACACACTGAAGGGAATCAAATGCAAAACCTTTTTCATTTTTAAAAGAGGCAACCTTAAAAAAAGAAATTAAACGATGGCAGAGAAAATACTCTCTGACCTCTTGATCATGACAGTCCTCATAGAAATGATGTAAAAAAGGCTTTGACCATAAAAAGGAGGCAATAGCTGCGTTTACAAGGGCACAAATAATCGGAATAAAAACATGTCATGTTAATATGTCGATCGGAAGATTCCGATCCAATTCGGCTCAATCGAGAAGAAATAGTATTCCGGTCATAAGGGGTGGTCTATGCCGATCAGTTTTCTGAAATGCGTCCATGTAAACACTTATTCACTTCCGTGTTTGTTGGTTCATTGACAGCACAGGCATAAATACAACTCTTCTTCTGCAGTTGTTTTAGCGAAATCAGATAATTCTGCGTATGTCCAAATGCTTTAAATCTGAATAAAACTCGGCGCATGTGTACGCAGGTCAGTGGATTCAGATTATCAGATCCCTCAAATTTTTAATCGGATCAAGAAATTTTGCCCATGTAAACGTGGACGGTGTCTTTTCTGAAATGACATACTTATAAGTATTAGAAATAGAGACATCCCACATAAACTCATTTCCCAGTTGTTGAAATGAAAATTTAGAGAGAGTGTTGCAACATCGCTAACTGGAGTGTATCCTCCCACTTCTGTAAAACACTATTTCACATGCTTGTCCTGGTTGCTTCAGTTTAATCTGACAGTCAACATGAAACTTTATCTCTATTTTCCAGAACAAAAGTGGAGAACCACCACAAACAACACTGTGCTACAGGATGGGATATGTCATCTGTGGTAACTTAAGTATTTCACTGACCTATTTTGTCACAATAATCAACAGTATAAATAAATGTTCATGGCTGATTATCTATGCTATTTTAGGTACCAGAGCCTATCCCAGCTGTCATTGGGCAGGAGGCATAGTACCTACAGGAAAACTCGAGGGACCATTTAACCTGACAAGCATGTCTGGATTGTGGGATGGGGCTGGATTGGAACCAGGAACTTGCTTGCTGTGAGACCACTTTGCCGACCACTGCACCATGTCGAATGTTTGAAAGACGCCAGCGACAAAATTAGGAACCAGATCTGTTCAATCTAAATCTTAAAAAAAGATGACTTAATACTGGTACCCTGACTTCTTATCTGCTCAACTTTAGAAACACTGGATTTCAAATTTCAAGAAGTATTTACCATTTGACCCTCCTCAACCTCATCATTTTCAAACATCTTGAGAAAGTGATTTGATAATCTGGGTTTCTTATTCAGTCTGTAGAAATGTCCTCAGGCAGAGACTTTAGGCCCATAAGTAAATAAAAACTAAAGTGCAAAAGTGGCTGAGAAACTCTTTTCATACTCTACTGAAATCTGTGGTTTTCATTGCCCCCTTATAGATCTAATAGTGTTGTGAAGTTTACCCACACTACAGCTGACTGATTTCTGCAAAAATCAACATCTCAATCAGAACAAAGAAATGATAAATGTATATACCTTATCACAAGCAGCAAACATCTGGCTCTGTAGCATGATCTCTTGCATCTCAGCAGAGACTCATTCATCAAAATTATAGTGGTTACAAGTACCTCTTCATAATTCATCAGGAGTGATCATGACACTGTGTACAGAGATTTCCTGGTTTTACCTTTCCTGAGGAGCAGGAGCAGCTTTCCTTTCTCTAACTCGAGCGTGAGGCTGTGCTCATTCTGTCCCTCTGCATGGAGCAGCATCCCAGAGTTCCTCAGGGTTTTGAATGTCACTGAGATGCTCTCTTTCGTCGTCTGCCTCGGCTGGGGACTCAACCTGAAGAGAAGGCTGCTGCGGCCATCAAAGCTCAGCACATCAGAGTCTGAAAACAAGAAAACAACAGACTACACACTTACTTTTTTTGACCCTCGCTTATTTTGACGTTGTCCTCGTCAGAACACCGGCAGCCTGAACTTTTACATGCCTTAAATTGAAGGACTGGAGCATCAGTATTTTTGTATTTTCACCTATTGTCATACTAAACACAGACTGTCGGTCTGTGTATTTGATATAAGCAAAGTAACTTTCATGACACCCAGGGTGAAATGATACAGCAGCATCGCCTCTCTGCTGAGTGCTACTCTGCAACAAATCTTACGCCTTCATTGTCGCTATCCGAGCATCAAATTAGAAACGTCAGCTCGGATGCATCAATTATTGCATCCACTGACTCTGAGACTTTGCTGCTGACAGCTGTGCAGACAAATAAAACTGTAAAACTCTTTCTTCTAATCTGACTATGAAACGAAGATGGGTTACCATTTCTTAATCGTGGGAGTGACCTTTTAAGTAAACAAAAAAAATAAAATAAAAAAAACTTCCAGCATTTTCTCAAAGATATTTTATCTGAAAACCAGAGTCTCAAAGAACATTTTATTCTAAATCCACTTCATAAGTTAGGACGATGAAACTTGAGTAGAAAGACCGGTCCTCTAATGCTGTCATTGCCACAGCTGCTGAGCGTCCTCCTTCCCCCACTGGTCTTACTTGGTCTCTCCGCATGCTGTTCCTGTTTTTCATTTGCTCATTCCTCACCTGTCCAGCAGGTGACAGGTGCCCCCCTGCTGTTTGCCACCCCTGCTGCTCATTCCAGATCAAACCAAAGAAGCTGCCACCCCCCATCTGCTGTTTATCTCTAGTTAAGGTTGTATCCGTGTAAAGAAGATGTCTGCTATCCTTATCTTTAATTGGCACATTAGAAACTTGAAGTTGACTCAAGTTTGGATGAAACAACTAAATACAGAGAGTGAGTGAGATATGAATTTAGAAAAATCAAATAGATAAATAATTGAGCTGCCTCGCTGATGTTAAATGAACTGAATAATGGTTTCAAAAGGTTGTTCCAGTAGCATGCACCATCTTGGCATACTAACACATTAAAAATACCTAGTGACACGGATGGAGGCGAGAAGACAAACTCATTTCAAATAGCTCTGACGCCAACTCAAGTTGTAAAAATGCCACACTGAATCGTGCTTTTTGGTGATGATTGCATGACACATTTAGGGTCTAAACTCATGCTTTTACTGCAGCAGACTTGCACTCAATCAATCTGCCCTATTAACACACAAGAAATCAAGACATTGAAGACCTTCTGGATATTTTTTATACTTGACTAAAATGTAATGACTATTTAAAGCATGGAAGATGTATTTTGTGTCGTCTCCACTATCCTGTTCTCAGTCACTGACCATCACTGTTGGATATAAAATGTCTCAAACTGACCATGCGGACATCCGTAGGTCTCCAGTCTGAGTCCGATCCGACCATTTGGATTCCAGTCCAGAGGGATCAGGCGGACGTAGCGAGTAATAACGTGGTGCTGGAGCTTGTGCTGGATCACACTGTCAGCGTTATTGTTCCCTGGAAATGCCTGTAAAAACACATTAACAGCAGAGAGTCAGGTGGTTTCCTTTCCACAAAAAAAAAAAAAAAAAAAAACTGTGGGCCCGTGGTATGCCCAGTATAAATCCTTTTAGCCAAAAGCATAAGTGTCATTGTCATTATCTATCCACACACAGTTTTATGCCCAGGACATGTACATTGTGAAATTAGCTAACTAACTTGCACCCATTTTAGGGCCCAGGTTTTTTAAAATAAGGTAAGATAAGATAAAATGAGAAGAACGTTATTTCTCCCTGAGTGACAGTCACAGAGAACAAACAAACTCGTAATATATAGGTTTGTGTATATAGCCGGTGGCTATAAGAAATGCACCGGTTGGAAGATAAGGAAGAAGAAGAAGAAAAAGTGGCTATTGTGCACTTTTTTTTTTAATCAATGGAAGTTTTCAACGGTAAAAACTTTACTAATGGGATATCATAGTATTCATGCATCACAAATCAAAAATCACTTTTAAAGCCTCATCAGCTGGGAAAGCTGGAGTCTGACTGCTAGATGTTGCTGAATATTTCTCCTTTAGCACCCTGTATCTTCTAGTGTTTCTCTAAACTATTTAGGACATTGTATGACCTAAAATGTGTGGAAAAAGTCTGAATACAATTTAATTGCCAACAAAAACATATAGCCATTTTTTCAAACATTTTAAGAGATCAAATAGAAAATACTAACAAAAATATCAAATATCCTGATTACTGTAACTCAGTTAAACATCTTAGTGTGAAGGGTTGTAAAGGAAAACTATCCAGACTCTGAAAATGGTGCAGTCTTTGTGGTCCAAACTGCACAGTGGGTTTTCTGGTTCATGGACATTTACACTTCATTCCCATAATAAAATATGTAAGTCATAAAGTAAATTATAAAGTCATTACACTATCAGGAAAGGTTGCAACTAGATCAATAAAGTCAAATGTATCCCACGTCCATTCCTGCAACCCCCACGCTGTCTCTTACAGCACTCTCTTAATGCCTTTTTGTGGCTCTTGTGGCACATTAGAGTCCGTATTCGCATCTCAAGATGATGCTCATTAACAGAATCTGCATCCTTATCTGTCCAGTAGGGAAATCTATGATATACTTCCACTTACTTTACCTCCATTAACACTAAGGGATGTTATATTCCCTGATAATGACGGTATATATTCCCAACCATCTGTTCTTTTACACCTTTGCGGTGGAAACTAGCGAGAGAAAAAGGAGAGGAGAGAAGATGAGAGAAGAGGGGGAAATTAGAAGACGAGAGAGCATTACGCAGCCACGCAAACTCTGGCCTTTAAGCTCAAAAGAAAGAGAGGTCCTGGAGGAATTGTGACTGATGAAGCAGCTCAGCAGTCAAGACTGTTCCCAAAAGCTATAATAAAGAAGGCTGACTAATATGTAGAGCTTTGAAGGGACTTGTGAGACACGCTGAGGATTTGTCCTGATTTATGCTGAGTGTAAAATCAACAAGCTTTTAAGCCCCTCTTCTGCTCTCTTTCTCTATGAAGGAGTCTCAGCCTGACATTAGTTTTACCCTCACTGTGAGAGTCTTAGCTCTCATCTGCTTTAAATTGAAGCTGTTTGTCACAGCATCACTGTAATAGGGAGAATCGTCGGTCTGCAGCAGGAGCTGTGAGGTAGTGCTTGACTGCCTCCATCAGCTACGTTAAGTGTTATGAGGTTGACTCCACAAGTCTCTACATAAAACCTTACACAGAAAAGTAACTCTATGAGTAAATGAGATGCTATGTCCTTTGCACTTGATAAACTGAGTGATTTCTTGGGGTATATTTTAAACTTTTGGCAGAGCATCCTGCTCAGTGGAAGAGTCTAAAGGGCTACAATAAAAATGATTTAAAGAGACTGCAGCTGTACTGGAGGTCTGTGCCAACATATCTTTTCATAGTTTATTGGGTTTAGTGACTCTCAGACTTTAAACAAAAGTTTTTATCACTTTTCAAGAAACATTACAGCATTATAGTATTCTTAGATTTGAATTACTGTCAAACGTCTGCATTAAAGGGATAATACGGCATAAAATTAATTTAGGGTCAAACACACCGTAACACAGAGTTAGACATAACAACATTCATTTTTAGACCTGTGGTAACCTGGTGTTAGACCAGTCATCTAGGCCAGTGGTTCTCAAGTCCAGTCCTCGAGGCCCACTGTCCTGCATGTTTTGGATGTTTTCCTGCTCCAACACACCTGATTCAAATGATCAGCTCGTTATCAAGCTCTGGAATGGCTTATAACGAGCTGATCATTTGAATCAGGTGTGTTGGACTTGAGAACCACTGAGTTATACAAACTTTAGTAACGACTGCAGGATAGCAATACACAGCTGTCCCAGGTGCCACACACACACACACACACACACACACACACACACACACACACACACACACACACACACACACACACACACACACACACACACACACACACACACACCTCAACCAAAAAGCTGCTCTATAGCCACAAATAATGCTCAGAACAGCACCTAATTTCATCAACAGCACATATAGGGTCTCAGCCTCAGCACTACTCACCAAACATCTTTTTAGCTTTGCCTAATTTCTTTAGCAAAGAGACTAAACACAACTCACCTACTCTATTCCAGCAGCTGTTTGTTTGTGGGGGAGCCCTGAAGAGGTTCAAAATGATTAAAACAAAATAGCTTGAACACCTAAGTAATTTTATATGTTATAGATAAAATAGAGCATATAAAAGTTGAGTAACAACAAAATGAACATTTTCACTATACTGTGTATAACTGTTTACTCACCCCTATACCGTCCTCCTGCCGATACTGTCTCCAGTTGTGCCCCGTGTCGCTAAACATCAGTAGGTAGGCTGTTAGCCAATCAGAGCTGCCGTAGCGACCCTGCGTAGCAACAGCAGTAATTTGTGTCCGTTCCCCAAGGTCGACCTCCAACCACTGATATTTGTCTGAACTCAGAGGAGACCATCCTCCAGCTCCTGGAAAGAGAGAGAAACACCTTGATATCAGTCAAAGTGCTGACTAAATTTTTTACTCTTCATAGAAACATGCTCTGCTGCTTTAAAGTAGGATTAAGGACTCAGCTATTAAAAACAGTGTATTCACTACCAAGCCATTAATGCGATTTGACAACATTATAGGAACAAAAGTTTCAGCATGTGTGCGTTTACACAGAGAAACATGACATCAGCAAACAAAAACGTGACCCCAGACTGAGAGCCCTGTATGCACAGTCTTTATCGACATATTTCTTGGATCTTATATATGAAAGAGTCAAATCTGTCAATCTGTTGTGTTAACTCTATAAGCTACAGCTGAGCCATTTATGGTCAACACAGCACACTTTATACAATATTAAAGTCGCAGTTCATAGAAAACCTACATATAATCTGAGAACCACAGCAGGGGACCATATGCAGACACACTAAATAATTTAAAATCTGACGGTTTGTGAGTGCTGAGCTATTCAAAAGTGACATTGTGCCATAGTGACAGAAAACCAGACTGCATGAGTTGATTTCACTAATGCATACCTTCAAATTTTTACATCTTAATGCTTTTTTTTTAAGCCCAAATAAACTCAATCCTTCCTTTAACTAGCACTTTTGGTCCCTTTTATTAAAACTGTTTATGGGCTTTATTAAATGAATCGGATTTTCTTCCACTTTAACCATATGTGTGACGAGTGGGTGTCCACTGCACTGTTGCAGTGTCTGCAACACTCATGTCAGCACATAAACTCACAGGTGACATAATTTAAACCCTGATGACATGTCACTCTATTCTTTTAATCTTTATTTGATTACTTTACTTGACGCCTATCTCTATAACGCATTATAAATATATTTGTAATCCGTTATAATCACGTTATAGCACTATATAACTATAGTTATAATCACTCATAAATGATCATCATGCTTTATAGCAATAATCATAACACATTATAAAGCATTTTATCATGACTTTGTTTTATCATACAAGGTCAGGCATTACAATGTATTATAACTGTTTATAACTCACTGACAATGTCCACATAGATATTGCATGATACATGTATTTATGATGTGTTATAATTTGCTTATAAACTTATATAACTATCATTATAAACACTCATGAATTATCATACGGCTTTATAACAATGAGCATAACACATTATTATACCTGACCTTGTAAGTCATGATAAAATGCTTTATAATGTGTTATGATTATTGTTATAAAGCATTATGATCATTTATCAGTGTTTATAGCTATAGTTACATAGTGCTATAACGTGATTATAATGCATTATACATATATTTATAATGGGTTATAGAGCCTCAAGTAAAGTGTTACCAATGACCCCAAAACACATTATGCACACATTACTTTTGTTTGTCGACAATGTGCTGATGAAAACAGCCTTAGCTCTGCAGTATCCTCAATACATTTTATCCTGTTTATCATAGTATAGTAGTTAAAGTGTATAGTTATAGTTTATTGTCATTTTGGCCCCTAGAGACTGGGATGACTTACAATAAATCTTGAAGATATTACTATTATGAACCTAAGGTAAAGGCCTCGCTCAAGGTTCAGCCTGTCCAGTTTGAGATGTGGTTAAACGAACTAGCTCTGCAAACTTCTGGACAGATGGAAGCAGATGGTTGCAATGTCTTAACATTGTTTTCAAATATAGACTGCAGCTAGGGAGGCAGCAGAACAAAACCCTATTGCAGCACAAAACTGGTCAAGCTGACAGCTTCACCACGAGTGAAGAGATAACCAATAGTCCCATCTGCTATCAATTATGCATTGTTATTCTGCGAAGAGGCAGGAAGAGAGACGGACCGGTTCTGTCAGGGTACATGTGGAGACAAGAGATTGACAGAGCCCTGCAGTGCCATGGTATAAACTTAGTGCAAACTAAAAAATATGACAAAGTGAGAAATTAGATTTCTTTTGGGGGGGGTTTTGATTAATCAACAATACATATTTGCATAAGAACAAGACTCACAGCAGTCAACTCTTGACTCTTTGTGACACTTAAATTACTTTGTCTAAAAAACACCAGTTCAGGTATTATGATACTCATTAGGGATTGATCTTTGTTCTGCTATCAAGATCTTTGGTCCCATCCTGCCTAATGGTCCTGTGAGGCCTGTTTCAGGCACGTAATTACAGGATTTACTGTTGTTATTATATCTGACAGTTGATGAAAGAATAGCTGAAAAGTAAGAGAATAAATTCTAATCATGGCATTTGACTTACCTTGAAGTCAACATGAAATGTAGACCTTGGTTTTGACAGGGGTAAAATCTAATCCACATGCATTCTATGATCAACCTAATTATTGACAACTTCTAATACAATAATTATGATGATCTGAATGACAAAACATGTCACCTAAAAAATAAATTCACACATTGTGGTAGGATTATTGATCAAAGATGAAGCAAAAGACTGGTCAAGAACTTGGATTACAATTTAAAGTGAATATGGGAAATTTTTCAGCTAGTTATGAAACAGATTGAAAAGGTTATTGATGCCTCTATAAGATCTACAAAAGCACTATTGACAATATTCCTCCATGAGTACGAGTTTGTAAAGTAGTGCATAAGCCCTGTAGTGTGTTTCAGAGAAGAACAAGTATCCCACTGTTTCTCTCTAACAAATCAGTGTTTTCTACAAGAGTCTACTTACATTTTGCTGTTAAATTAAGTCTAAACAAAGCAGCCCCTCGGAGGACAACTTTCCAAGACGAGGAGTGTTAGCAGCTGGACAAGATGAAAACATGCTGAGGTTTGTAATTTATTCAGTGTTTTCTGAAGAGAGAAGCTAGCATTAAAGCTGTTTTGATGTCTATTTTGATGTCTGTTGTTACATTGTGAATCCCATATGTTTTGTGAATTAGATTAATAGATTTGCTGACATTCTTTTCTAAACCATCATTCAACTCAAGTACTGTGATGAGCATGAATTAATCAATCACTCTGAGCTGCAACTGTTTTCAAGAAATCACTGAGAAGGCAATAATATTACTAACAAGCTCAGCATAGCCCCACCAGTGCGAAAGAAGAGAGTGAAAGATTTGGTGACAGTGAAAGCTTAGTGCTTATGACTTTCTGAAAATTGTTTAAATGTGGTTTTATATTATTTTTGCAGAGTTCACAAAAACAAGGGTAAAATGCAGAAATTGTACTACATTTGTAAGGTTTTTTGAAGTATAATTATACAAAAGAGTGTCAGCAAAAAAAGAGAGAAAAAGTCTAAAGAATACCCTCTTGGACTGGAAAAAGACCAAGGTCATCAAGCCACCAGAGCTGGATAAGTGGGCCTATGAGGGTGCCTACATCCTGTTGCATACCTGGGTTGCTGTCCTGAGACTGTTAATTCATAGTGAAAGAGCACTAGGCTGATCAGAACCACATGTGGACAACACACTTACTATGTACAAGTACCTCATGCAACCCCATTCACCGGAAACTGTCCCCTTAACTTTCTTTTCAGAGTTCTTGGAGGTCAAAGACTGTAATCAGGAAATGGACTATCACAGACTCTTTCCATGTTGTCTTTTTAGCTGAAAAACAAGATGAATACCAGCTAACATTTGGGGCTTTTATGTGGTTGTTAAAATGTTCTTGTATCTGACAATCTTTAACTGAAAACAGGTGGATTCACAATTAAACTGACACCATATGCCAGATAATGCATCCACTCATAATGTCATACACCTTCACCAGATCATACTGAGAACTGTTGCTGATCTATAAGAGGGATTTAATTCAGGCTGATTCAGAAACACAGAAGTAATACTTCTGCACTATAACATGATCACCAATAGAGCCAATTGATTTGATCTGTTTGGGTTTTCCACTCCCTGGTATAAGCTAAATAACCCAAATTGTTATAACAATGAGTTCCAAATAGCCAAAATAAATTTAACAAGGTTTTTCAGAGTTGCTGATTACACTTGAATGAGCAGTGTATAAGACCTCTTTAACTGTCCCCAGTGTCTCGATGAGCATTACTCAAAATAAACCTACCAATAGTCTTTTGTGTGTATGAATATATGCCTCAAATGTGCATTAATAAATAAGGTTACAAAATCATGGGAAGTGGCAGTGCCCTATTAAGGCTTCTCAGTGCCAAAATGTGCTTCCACAGTTCTCATGCAAAGTTGATGTAATTCTATCTGTAAGCTCTGAATTTCCCTCCTTCTGAGTACCAAAAAAATATGTTCAAAAACTACAGCGCCTGTCACTCTGCCTTCTCTCCCATTTTTTTGTCAGGTGACTTTTTCCTTTCCGCTTCTTGTTTTTCTCCGAGCAGATAATAACTTACTTTCACCACTCATCTATGTCTGATCGTCTCTTATAAGCATCTAATCCTCTTTGAAGCAGATCAAACTTCGATCTGTAAACAGACAGAGCAGGTTGAATGAAGTGAAGGCACACTCTGGGTATGTTTGCTCACAGCTTTTGACATCAAACAGACCAAAGAAACAGAAACCTGCAGGCTGTGCTTCCTGCAGACTTCCAAGTGGTTCAAATTAGCCAGATCTCCTGTTGTGTTGAAAACAAACACATCCCAGCTCTCCTGATTGATCTGTGTCTATTGTGGGAATGTGGACTCCTTGTGCCAGCTCATGCTGAAATGCTGTTGAGTATTCTCTCTGTCGCTGTCACTGAATATGGGTTTCTTTTTCTTCTGGTGACAACAGCTAAGTGTTAACAGCAGGCGTGATGAGCAACATATTTCTAAAACAGCACAATGGCAGTAATAAGCGCCATACTCTTTGGCTCAGCCTGTGTGTCCATCAGTCACCCTGAGGTGTCTGTCAGCTTGTGGATCCAGCTGAGACTCGTCTTTGATGATTCGTGCAGCTTGTCCTGCAGGGAAGTAAGTCGTGAGGTGAGGTGTGTGCTGCAGCAGCACATTGAGACGGAAACAGAAGGGAGCTTCCTTTTACAGGCTGTTTTATCTGCGAAACCTGCTAAAACACTGCAGGAAAATTGACTTGAAGTGAGAGGAAAAAAAGGACTGAAATGAAGAAATAATTTACTGATGTTTAACAGCTAAATGTTCAGAGGTAGTAATAGGTTGTCAAGTTGAGGAGGAGATAAATGTGTCACAGAGCTCAGGGAATGCCTGCTTCTTGTGAACAATCGCATACTGACTCTTTGTGATGATGACATGCTTATGCCGTATTTCTCTTCAACTAGAAACTCTTTAAGTCATTTAAATCTGATGTTATCTAGTAGCTGAAGTTGCACATTCAGCGGACGACTATCTTTCAGGTTTGTAGTAGCCCCAAAGTTCAAGCTACATTTACTTCAAAGTCAAATCCTTCATAGAAGTTTGCTTCAGTTGTTATGTTTCAATTCTTCCTCCTCTGCTTGGATATCAGCAGGTAGTGTGTGGGCTACACAACAATATGATTAAACTTGCATTAATTTTTGAAAGTTCGGCCAGCTTGACAAAATATTGTGTATTAACATTCTTTTTTTTTTTTTTACCTGAGTGGTGGAATTATAGAGTAAAAAGAGCTGAGTCATTTTGGACACTTGACACCTGCAGGGACAAAACTTAATGTCCTCCTGGTTCTGGAAGTATTGTAGTTACAAAAAAAAACCCTTCAGACCATTGCTCCTCCCTGTGAATGTCAAGTTACTAATGTATAAAAAGACATGGTGGTGCCAGAGCTCTGTTTAACCCTAGAACACTCTCGCGGGTGATTTTCACCCAACCAAACATGTTTACGTGATTTTCATTATGTTGTGTTTGTCTGAGTATCATGGGTCCCTCGGTAGCTTCAGCGTTGCCTTTGACATCTTTGAGGGTATATTTGTTTCCCGGATCCAAAACCTGCTTTTTCTTACAGGCAAGTGTTTTGGGTTATTTTCACAGTGAAGTAGGTTTAGGTGGATTTGACAGCTGCATGTAGGGAATAAGGTCAGTCAAAAGTGGGCCTGGAATTTGCGTGCTCTTTATTTAGCGCAGTGGTTATGAATAACTATCACAAAGAAGTGATTTTCAAGGAAATTCATACGGTGATAAGAAATATTTTAGTCAGCTGATCATTTTTACTCACTCAAAATAGGACATATTTTGGTTCTCTCTCCTGCAGATGTTATTGTGCCAAGGACCCTGAGTCTTCACCAGGGAAGACTCAGATGCCCAGGAATGGGTGGCGAAGAAACAAAGTTTACAGTTCCTATATAATTTTTTTTAAGGAATTTTTTGTTGATGAATGCCTAATTTCAGTTATTTTGTTGCATTTTTACAGACATTGCACAGTTAAAAATTGAAGAAAATTACTTTAGTTTGTCATTTGTTGTCCTATTTTGATATACAGTATTTTGATGGCAAGTACTTTTTCTTGGGTATATTATTTCAGGTAAGAATCACCCGGCAATAGTGATGGTGTTACTAATTTTAGTGATAGTGTTCTAGAGTGAAGCAACACAATGAGATGGAATCTCAATGTAAAAAGTCTTTGTTTACAACCCCACTTTACTCATATGAACTAACCACAATAAATCTGAATAAATCAGTATTGGTCATGCATATCGTTTGCAGTCGTTCTTGTTTCTCACCATCTCTCCGGTTCAGCTTAGCGAAGCCCGGGCCATGACTGCCAGACAGCTGTGAAGAGCTTCTGAAGGAGGACGGCAGTAGACCGTGTACCAGCGGATTGTGACATACCTCTGTAAAAAAAAGACGAAAATAGAGAAATGAAGACATAATATAACAGATGAAACAAGGTGGAGCTGTGGGCCCTCTGTATGTTTACAACAACCACGCTCACTTTAATCAAGTCTTCCATACCGTCTCTTATACCAGGGAAAATGTGAAAACTGTAGATAATCCTCTTTTCATTACAGGCTTTTTTTTTTAATTATTGACGAACATCATCTTTCATTAGTGTTGTTTGATATAGCTCTTTGAGCAAACAGATTTCCTCTTGAATAAAACACAGAACAGCTTGAGCTGGAGGATAGGGAAAACTTCATCCTCTGATGAACAATACAGGAACATGCTGAAGCAAACTTTCATGGTCAAGTCATACTTATAGGCTACGAGTATTCATTCAAGCCTCATCTTATTAAGAAAGTTAGAGTTTGATTTAAAGTTATAAGGAGCACTATGAAGGCCATATGTCTCGGAGAGCTGATTCATCTCGTAGTGAGATTATATTAATTAAGGATCTTAAGCTGTCTTTACTTTCTTTGGCTGAGATTTAATCAGACTTGGCCTTGATACTTTGTTATTGGATTTCTGCCTGTTAAAGAAACCTACTCTGAGAGTTTGACTTTGGTCTCTCTTTCATGGGACTTTGGTTTTATCTGGCTTCTGTCCATTGGTGTGTGTGGTGTGCATATCTCTATAGACATTAGTTAGCGGCAAAGTAACTCAGCCAAAAATGCTTAAATGAAGTCGCTAATGAGTAAAAAACCTAGACTATAAATAAGAAGACAGTATAGTAGGTTGACCATATTATGAGTCATCAAAAAGAGGACACGACTACGCAGGGGCCTATTCATGGAGTCGCACAAAGTTAATGTTGAGAGTTTTTCGAGTTGGCTCGAGTGTCTTTTACCCGCTTCTGACTCAGTAAGTTCACGTGACACAAACTTGAAACTTCCATCCAAAACCCTGGACATTTGAAGGATTTCATAAACTTCCCCAGACAAGCCCAGACAGCCCCCCAAAAGGGGACATGTTCAGGTTCAAAAGGACGTATCGTCACCCTGAAGTGAAGCCGATTTACTTATTTTGGTACTGTCTGTGTCATGAAAAATACATAAAGATGAAGACCCAAAAATGCAGACAAAACTAAAAGAAAGTTACTGAGCAAAAGGCAACAAAAAACAAACAAAACTTACATGAACAAAGTCCAAAAATCCATCAGAAAAACCACAGAGATAGAACATAAAGACTATATACACTCTTGAAAATGAGCAACAGGTGGGACACAAGACAAGTAAAACTAATGACAGTAATTAGGGAACATAAAGAAAGAATGATGAAAAATATACATATACGAGGAGAACAGGGACATAATGGTAAAATACACAGGAAACGACACTTAAAATAGAAAACATAATCATACTAAAATAAGTTAAAACAAAGCTATGAAACAAAAAGCCCTCTAACAGATAAATTAAAAAATGACAATTCTCTGATTAGTTTGCAGCCAAACAGAACTTAGCTTATTCTGATTGGATGAAAACCCTGAATCTGTCTTGAATGACTTATGACCACAGCTTTGGTGTTTTTTTTTTTTTTTAACATTTTACTCTTAACGCTACAAAGCTTATAAAACTGAATCATTGAATGTTAGTTTGAGTGGAGAGATGCGGTTCAGAGACTCAAGTAATGGTGTCATAATTTATGTTTGTACACTCTTCTCAAATTTAGAGCAAAATCAACATCTGTGCACTTTATGTCCCAATGGCAGAACAGTTGATAGTTGTGCGAATATTTTATGATGAAACTTTGATTCTTATAAAGGTTTCCTTATCCCTCTATTGCATCTGATAACCTGACACATACTCTGTAAGTGACCAGAGAGAGAGAGAAATCTGGTTCTTAGGTATATACATTCTGTTACTGCAGTGATTAACAAGCCTCCATCATACACAGATTGGCTGGTGTAATTATACAGGAACTTAAGTGCAATGAATATTGAGTGAAAACATTTCATGCATCAGGTATCACTTCACTGTGTATTTTGAACTCAGAACAGTTATTTTCTGTGCATGCAAATGGTACAGCTTTATCAACAACACTGACTTAAAGCTGTGACCCTACAAACCATGGCCACTGCAGCAAAGACGATATGACTAAGAGGAAAAAACAGGGGGAAAAAAAATAAGGGAGCGGCAAACAATTATCTCACAAGAACAGAAGATCACTATCATCGCATAAACCATAAATTATATTCTGACCCAGAAATAATTTGACCTTCTTCTGGCCTACTGGATTCAGACACATTTGTTATTCAGGCAAAAAAGAGATAGTGGCAGTTCACAAAAACACCAAATAATTTTCTTTGCTCATGTTTGGATCACTGGCTGGAATCAGCAGAGCACAAAAAACTTCAGAAATATCAGCAAGAGAGGGTGATAAATGTAAGGTACCAAATAAAAGAGCAAAACACTGACCCTGAAAATTTGAAAAAACAACGCTCCTCTGAAAATTTAATATAATGGATGTTTTTATCCTGTTTAAAGAGAAAAAAAGTGTTATGAGATAAAACACAAGAGGTAGTTTTACGAAATAAAAGACAGCTGGCTCTGTACAACTAGGATAATTTAAGGGTCACAGCAACAATTGATGTTTAGAGCTGAAGGTTCACAATCCAAAATAAGTTCACCAGCTGATATATGTTCAGACTCTATAAGGACTTTTACTTTGTGTCCTGGTCAGTATGAGGACTTTCAGTATTTGTATGACACTTTTTAGAGGATGTCTGTCAGCATCGTCTTAATGATATGAAGAGACCTGTGTGAAGTTTACCACATACACTATTTGTGAAACCCTTTTATAATAAATATGTTTTGTGTTTATAGCCAGTGGCAGTACTGTAGTCAGGTCACCAAACCCTGAGTCCAAGTTAATTTTGGAGTCTCTCCTAAATCTGAGTTTAGGCATCCTGGCAGAAACTGTTTCTAAACAAGATAGCATTTGGACCTGCATGTATGTGAACACACGTGTCAGCCATTATTGAAACTTGATAAATTGTAGGGTCTTACACAAAAAATACTGTCAGTGCTTGACCCCCTAATAGTCAGAGTTCAAGTCCAAATGGTCAGACTCAAGTCAGTCTTAAAAATGAGAGTTACAACAGTAATTTAAGAGAAACAGCAAATGACACAAGTAACAATGTCCATTAGGAGAAACACACTCCTATTTGAAGCCCGGTCATCCTGGATATGCGACTTGTTGCGATATATGTATTGCCAAGGTTTTAACCAAACCACAATGTTAATCACAAGCTCTTCATGTGTCTCAAGTGTTGCTAAAATTAACAAATTATAAGTCAAGTGTGGGAGTTCTGAAAAAAAAAAACATAAAGGGGTCTTAATAGATCAGTGAGGCTTATGAATAAACTTCTATAAATCTAAGATAAAATCATCTCAGATATATGTAGCCTCAGCACAAAACTGGTACCCACATTCACCTTCATATAAGTTTCGAGTCAGTTTGCTCTACTGTGCTTTCTACCCCTTTGAAAAACTCTGTTGTTAATGATTGCAAAATAAGCTGCATTTTTCCAAAGCTTTAGCATAAGATTTGCATCCCCCAAAGCTTAAATGTCACTGACTATAACAGCTGCAACCAGGCAAACAGCCCTCATAACTTCTGCATTGACCAACATAGAACCGAGGTCTGCTATAAGACTTGTAATGTTTGCTCCATTTAACATTTTTCTACCTATTAAAGTACTTTTGATCTTGCTCAACATAGTGAATCCTCACAGTCGTCCAGTTTAAGCCCACTTTTTCAAAGTATAGAGACTTTTCAGCGAAACACAGGACTGAGTGTTAAAGCAAAAGGAGCTGGATAGCCCTCAGCCCAAACAGAGATCCTGTGAATTATTAGTCTCTCCTCTTTGTCAGTGCTCACATTCAAAGCTCTTTGAGTTTTAGAGCACTATTATTTGAAAACCTCTCAAGACTCTTGATGCACTACACGTCCATGACATGTGTGCAATCATTATTTATCCGGCCCAGTGAGCTTGAACAGTACATTGTGCTATAACCCATGTATCTCTTCATCTAAATGGCATCACCTTATATTGTTGTTGAAATAGCGACAATATTTGTGATTAAATTAAGCTAATATGAATTTGGACTTTGAAGAATTTTCAGGTTCAAAAATTTCGGGGGGCCTCGAGCACTTACGGTTCACTGCTGTTCGATGTGCATCTGTTAGAGAGATGTTACCATTCAGCCACGCATCTCCGAGCACAGTGAGAATACAAAGCATACATGTCCTCTCAAATCGTCTCCAATTCATCTTGGAGAAATCCTGCACATTCTCAATCCCCGGTTTGAATCGGTTGCACGCTCTTCCTTCCAATTAAACATCCTTTTTTTGTCTTCCACAAACGTATACATTTTCTACTTTTAAACCTGGGACATATATATTTAACAAGCACATGCACTTCCTCAGCCATATGCAGCCATTAAAGTTTAAACAGTCAAGAGAGAAAGAGAGCAGCATGAATACTGCATGCAATGTACATTTACATGACATATTACATTTTTGGTTCTTTACTGTAACTTTTATCCGGAGTGACACTCAGGGCGCCTGCGAGCGCTCCGAGCTTCTCCTCCTCTATATGCAGAGAGTGCTGGGGAATACTTCAGTCAACTATTGAAAGAGTAACTGTAATAACAATAATACAAGGAAGTTTAATTAAGATAATGAAAGCTGCGTGGGTGCTTCGAGGATGGAAAAACAATACCTGATATAATTAAGCAGTGAACATTTCCTCCCACTCCTCAAGACTCTTTGTAATCCCAGGATAATGCTTACTTATTGCGATGTGATGTTTGATTTTCAGCAAAACTTTATTGCCTCAGGGTTTTTTTTTTAGATAGAGGGTTAACAAAGCAGAGAGATGTTATCAGCCTAAATTGGGAGAAGTAATCATTTAATTTAGGGTTGATGAAGAGAGAACACTCAAAACAAAGTACAGAAAACTTTCCTGCACCACTTTGAGTGGAGATTTTTGAGATTTCAGAGGACTGACAAGCACGAGGCGCTTATTTGATATGTGGAGCTGTTGCATCTTACGGGCCTTGTTCTCTGGTGTCACCTGTCTGCCCCACTCCCAGCACGCATTTCTGCCTGGAGAAAGGAGACTGTCTGTCAAACAGCAACAGAGCTGTGAGGATCAGAACACCGTCTGCGCTGGATGCTGAAAAACAACATTTCTAAACCTTCATCTGCCAGTCGTAAACACCGCAAACAGCCTGGCCCCTGTTGTGACTTTATGGCTTATCTAGCATGAAAATGTCATTTAATCAATAGAATATATACCGTTTGTGTAAAATACTCTGTGTGCAGCTACTGTTCCCTAAGATATATATTTAGCTATGGCAGTTAAAAGTCTTAAGAGTTTTTTCTGACCTCAATGTGCTTCAGCCTATTCAGTCAGAAAATGTCATTCAGTTGCTCAATCTACAATCTGTACAAAACTACCTGCCTGCACAAGGTGTTCCCTAAGCTTTATATTTCTGAATCTTATAAATGTGTAACCATAGCCACGTGTGCCATAGAAAAGATGCAGAACAATTGGCAAGGTCAGGTATATAATTCAGGATATTGTACGGCGCAAAGAAAAAGAGCCATTTTGTACGCTCATAACTGACTTATTATTGCCATTTTTTTTCTTCTGTTCATTGAATTGGGTTCCTTTTTACTTTTTATGCTGAATGTCAAAGGGATCACACAATACCTGTACTATTTGCTGTGGCATTAAAATGAACCTGGGTAAAGGGGCCTGGGTAAACATTCATTTCTAATAGGCTGATCATCCCGTGAACTCCTGAATAACTAACAACACTAACAAATCCTTCGTCAGAACCCCACGTTACAATTTTACTGATTAAATACAAATATACAAGTATAATCTTAAACATTTATTCTAACCTGTTTGGAAATATGATAATTGTTGTGACTGGGATGCTGCCAATGATTGAAAACTAGGAGATGAAGAAGAAAACTTTTGTATGCAACATTTATTTCTGTCATTATGTGCTTCATAGTTTCAACACCACAAGGTTTGAATGCGGAAATACAAGCCAATAAAAGCCAACAAAACCATACATATATTGATTTTTTTTTTTTGATATTCTTGAAGTGGATTTGGGAACAATGACACAGCTAGTTATCTTGCTTGTCTTGTTGTGTAACATACTGCCAAAAAAGAAGTACTTACAGTCAAAGGTATTTACAGCGGACTTTGAGATATGATCTTAATCCAACGTAGAAATGCAAACACAGACTTTCTGTGGTGAGCTGGTAAGTAAAATAATGCTTGCAGTCTCAGATCTTTGATTCATGAGCAGCTTTTGTGCAGCACAACATTGTTGACAACCACAGTAGAAAGACTGGTCACTATCTACAACAGCATCTATGCTTACAATGTCAACTTAGTCAATTCAATTCACATCCTATAACACGCTGAATTTGCCATAAATGTGCACAACTTAGATCATATGTATTCTGTCGATAATGCCTATGTCTTAACACATGTAAAACAAGTATGTCGATAAACACACTTTTCAGTATCAGTATGTATTTATTCATGTAAGTCCCATGAGGATTTGCTCTCTTTCCACGAAGCAACAATACACTGCAAAAACCACGGTAATCAGAGACCACACAGAGAAACCAAAGAGCAGGAGTTAAAAAAAAATACAAGCTCCTCATCACAGATTAATGATCCCCTGGCCTTCAGCTTTTGAGCAGAATCTGTTTGTAGTCTGCTCTCCTGGAGGGAGGGCCTGACCCGACGTGTGGTGGAGAATCTTAAGTTGTAAAAATGTCTGTTCTTCATGCAGGATGCCGGCGACAGCAGAGTAAGACGTTTTTCCTTCAGGGGCTGTTTTTGTGTTCACTGGTGCATGTCTTAAGTGTACCCACTGCTTCACCCCCCTATAATTTGGGACAAGGGCACTGAAAAACTTACAGTATGAAACACTGCGGGGGGGCGTGAGGGATTTCTCTTCAAACCCCTGATTATAAAGTCAGAAAGTTTGCGACGGCATGTCAAGAGTTTTGTTACGACAACCTCACTCTCTCTGCTTTTCTGTCGTAGCAAAAAAAGTTTTTGCGAACACAAAGCTTCAAAACATAACCTCTAATTCCTGCTGTCATACTCGAAACCTGCTATTCTCTGAAATCAGCACTTCACAGGTTATTCAAGTCTTTTGATCTCTAAATGAGCCGTACTCTGCTGCAAATTATTCTACTCCCAGTGTGTAAGGTTTCACTTTAATCACATAAAAACAGGTAAAAACTAAGACCAAGGCAACTCCAGGTTTAGGAAAGATACAAAATCTGACACTCTTATTGTGCACATGCTGTAATATTGTTTTAAAAGGAGGGAACGCGAAATAACGGGACGACACAGACAACTGAATGTTGAGTTCAACATGTTATTCTGTGCAACGTTTCATGTCAGTTTTGTCAGTTTTAAAAGAGCATAGTCAGTTTTATGTTAAGTAAAATACATGTTCTGCTTCTTATATATTGTACATTATATATTTATTTGGGATTTTGCTATAGAATCCCAAGCAGAAAAAAAAAACACCACTAGTAAGAATGAATGAATGCACATGTGTTTGACAGTCCATTACAAAGCCATTTATCTCATTTACTTCTCTCTTGGCAAACGCATTGAAAAGGAACCAACATAGCAGCGTTAAATGGTAGGTCAACTCTTACATAGATAGCAATTCTGTATTGTACTGAAAGAAAAAAAAGAAACATGTTTTTGAAGAGAAAACTCAACGGCAGCACAGATAGGGCTGCTCTTCTTCATCCATGTTGTGAAGGCCAGCTGCTCTCTGTACCATACAGGTTTTGTGCAGTGCACATCATGTGCTCCCACTTAGCCTTCACCGCAATGATCTAAATTAAACATGAGATAGAAAGCGTTAGTGTGTGCATGTATGTCTGAGAATGCGGTGGTCATATTTTACTAACAACACTGTTGCTGCCGGTATAATTATCTGCGTCTCCATGTTTCTGACTGTGCCCAGAGGAAGACATAATCACCTGTTGAAAAGTTCTGCTCTGATAATCCACATCTCCTTTCTCTGTCTTACTCGATCGATTTCTGAGGCTGTATATTACGCAGGTATAGATCAGGGCCCAGACTGAGCTGATCAGCATTTCTGGGGTTGGCAGCGTTCAGTGTCACACAAGCAGATTTTATAAGGAGGTCTTCTTACACAAAGGACTAACCCAGACTTTCTGTTTGAGACTACGTTTACACGTGCACGGCTATTTTCATAAACCAACATTTAACCCTCTGTTGACAAAAGAAAAAAAAAAAAACTGTGTGCACATCACTACATTTTCAGAAAAGTTTTCCTTTACACTAACTCGTGTATATATGTCATCAAGAGAAGAAGCTCAAGCCCACAATAGCCAATCAGAATCCCACATAGCAGCAACACAATCCTGTCCACAATCTGACGTCGGCTACTTAAATGTCTGTTTTTCTCCGTTTTTATGCAAACATGCAAATGGAGATTTCCAAAATCTCCACTCTAGCCAGAGTTTTAAAAAGTATCGTTTCAGGGGTGAATTCTCCGTTTGCGTCTGAACAAAGGGTGCAAACAATGGTTAATGTCTCCGTTTTTAAAAATTAAACAGGTATGTCTAAACAGGGCTTGGGAGGCAGGCTCCTAAAATGTCCCCTGGCACCTTCAGGTAACATCGGGAGTCCAAAGTCCTTCAAGACATGAAAAAAAGAACAAAAATCTGGATAATTCAAGTCAGCTTAAGTGATGTACAGTTCTTAACCACAGGTCCAGTCTGGTTTCAGATAAAATCTCTTCTTGAGCTTAGTAATAAATCTAGATTTAAATTCACTTTTCATTTAAATCCTGTGATACCAGATTGTAGATACTCAGTTTATTACTTCACTTGCAGCCAGTTTGACAGAGTCCAGCACCAATACAAGTCTTCTGAGGTGATGACAGGCCCATGTGATGAATGAGAGTGTGTTTAAAGAGTGGGAGCTCCAGTGGGATTGGCCTTCGGCAAATATCAATGCATCACAAACTTAGATGGATGGACTGCCGGCCTCAGTTTTATCACTTAACCACTTGTCGTACGGTTAATAAATCTAGATTCTGGATTGACAGACACAAGTTTACCCCGATGGCCGTCGGTGCCGTAATAGAGCCTTGAATTCATCAGCTCACATTCATGGCTCCCTTTTCTGAACACACATTTTCATAAATGACACTAAGGAAGAAATATGAGTCGAGCTTCCTATCACTTCTTACATCTCTGCTGTCACAAAGTCCAATGTCTCATTAATCAGAAAGGACAGTGAAGGCTTGTGAGAAGTACACCACAATCATACTGTTCATTGAAAACATGACTTTGTTATAACCTATTTGAAACCAATCCACCTTCTTATATTTTTCCGGGTGTAAAATCACAGCAAAAGTCTGAGGGTAGAGAATGGCAGGGAGAAACTTTCTGGGCAAAAACTCTGAGTAAAGCCAGACTTATAAATTAACAACCATCTGCCTGCAAGACAGAGACAGAAAATCTCACAGTATCTAAACTAAGTAGACATTTTCATCACGGTGGTAACAATAACAGTAAAAGCTCCTGTTCTCCTCCTCTCCATAAATTCTTAATTTAATACACAGCCATCTGCCAGGTGTTTTAACCAAATGGGACTCCCAAAAGCTATCAGTACTCTTGTTCCTAGCATAGACCAGGGGTCAGCAACTAGGAGGCTACAAGCTGAAGCTGGCCCACCAGCAGTTATCTCAGGCCTGCAAGACCATTTGACAGTTCCCTCAGAAGATGACAGACTGACACAAATATTCAGGTCAAAGAAAAGAGCACGAGATGCACTGCAGACACTGAACAGCGAGACTTTTTGCGTCTCTCTCTAGTTGGAAAGGAACATTTGATTTTGTCCAGGCCTACCCTCTAGTGGCTTAAAAAATACTCCCCAGGCCAAACTTACTTTACAACCTGAGGAGTAGACTCTACAAAAACATGGATGTAGTCTCAGTGATGTCAGAGGCTGATTTTCTAAAGTGCAGTTTTAAAGCTTGATGATGGTTGACATGTTAGAAATGCCAACTCTACCTAACTTTTAGTCAACCTAGAGGCAAAAAGGTGAATTTTAGGTGGATCAATAGCTGCAGAGTGCCTGCCTGTGAGTGGTCATCCATGCTCTTCCTTGTGCACAACCCAAAACATTGATATCTTTTGAAACTATTTTGACAAAGAACATTTTGGCTCCCGATAAGTTTACTTTTGCTGTTAAGATTGTCTTTTTGAATTGGGTGTGTATATGAAAGGCTTAAAAACCCTGTAAGCCACATACAATGTTTTAATGTGGCTCTAAAAAGCCAGCCTCAAGAGGACAAGGCTACAAGGAAGGGCAGTTTTTAGACTTATGCATTGGTTTCAATAGCTGCGTTTACATGGGCACAACTACTCGGAATAAAAGCCCGATCGGAATAAAAATGTGTCATGTAAACGTAACGATCGGAAGATTATGATCCAATTCTACACAATCGGAAAGAAATTGTATTCAGATCAAGCAAGGTGGTTTTTGCCGATCGTTATTCAGAAACGCATCCATGTAAACACTTATTCCAATTGTGACTCTTACCTGACTCAGTCTTCACTCTTTAGCCTTTGGCTTATTTCCTGAGGCCAGTACAGGAAGTTTCATTATTAAAACTTGCATAAAACACAACCCCAGGTGCTGTGTCTGCTCCACCGGTAACATAACAAGACGTACAAACAGTGTAATGATGTCACATCTGCACGCACAGTTCAACCTTTAACAGAACAGTAAAATAAGTAGGCAAGGGCGCCATCTAGTGACAACATTTAACAGGGGGAAAACTCCTGTACTGGATGGAGTGAGTCACGACTGTGTTTGTTGGTTTGTTGACAGCACAGTCGTAAATACTACTCTTCTTCTGCAGTTGTTTTAGCGAAATCAGACAACTTTGCACATGTCCAAATACTTCTAATCTGAATAAAGCTTGGTGCATGTCTACACACGTCATGATCGGATTATTTGATTCTGCACTCATATGAACAGTGGATTCAGATAATCAGATCCCTCAAATTTTTAATCAGATCAAGAAATTTTGCACATGTAAACATGACTATTGTCTGACATTGGATGTTGCCATTTGATCTATCAGAGAAGGCAAGTCTCAAATATCAAACAAATTTCAACAAGATATAGAGACAGTGTTGAGAGAAGAAAACAGAATTAAGACCATTGAGAGCAAGATGATGTTCTGCATGGAGTAAAACTGGCCCTCATATTTGGAGAACTACTCTCCATGAGCAAATAAATTGTAGATGAATTGAACAAAGTCAGGAGCTATCTCATTATCCTTTAATTATCGCATACTCACAAACTTCCCCCTGAGCCTCGACATCTTATGCAAGCTAACTCCTACAAGACTGCATGCTCTAGTTAATAAAAATAAAATGGTGATGATGATGCTATAATAATTAATTCACCCTCTCTTTCACCGCGGGCAGACCACACAGCTGGAGGACAGCTCTGCTGGAGCTGAAGGGGATTCAAAGGTATGCTCACACAAGCCATAACTCTCAATCCTACCACTCATACATAAGAGATCTGCAGGGTTTCTGTCAAGGTGGTCTTGATCCGACCTCTAACTCATGTTGATGAAATGATATGAAATGTGAGTATGAGGTCTTGAAACACTTTTTGCTCAGTGAAAAGCATGTGTAACATATTCCCCGATTATGACGGTCTTACAGAAGTTTAACTCCTGCAATCAATATTGATCCAGCTGTGATCTCATGCTGTAGAATGAGCATGTCTGTGAAATTGATTTGACACAGGACACCGACAACTTTCTCTGTTTTTTTGTCTGACCCATCCATCAAACTTAGCACAGATGAAAAATTTTACCAATATCAAAATGTCTGGTTGTTGCATGGCTGGTTCTCAGAATCAGTAGTTCAAATGTTGCACAGAATTCTGACAGGATCACGTCCGATCTGAGGAACCAGCTGCATCTGTGGCGAAACGGTACAAAATGTTTGGACATGTCTGCATGTATTCAACCTCAGCTCAATCAGGTTTCGACTGTTATCAATGAAACTGCTGACACTGTTAAAATCACTGCTATGCACCCATCATCAGCCTGCCCCTCAGCTGACTATAACCTAAGAGGAGACCAACAACACTTCCTCTGTCTCCTCTTCTTGAATACATCAACCACTGACATATTAACTTTAACTTTAGTTCCTCTCCTCTGAGATCGGTGACTGTGAATGGTGAGTCATTTGTTATCAGAGCACAACATGTGCGCACACACACATACACCCACGCACACACACACACCTAGGCACACACACTATCTTCGTTTGTTGGCATTTACGAAACACAAATACACACACAGACAACCACAGTGCTGCTGAGTATTCCTTTGCTCTCCTTACAAAATGTTCACTTGCAGTTATTCAGCTCCTATCTCAGCATGCACACTCACACACAGACAGACAGACACATGTGCACAGACACACAAGTTTAGAGAGCAGCAGAATTATCTGTCATTAGAGCACACACTCTGACTCCAAATCAGCTCAGAGAAGAGATAACAATCCTGTGGAGGACTTGTGCAACCTTGCAGGAGACACACTGAGAGAGGGAAGAAGAAAAGCCTCTTGAGCCTCCTTTGTGTGTCAAAAGTTGTAAATGAATTTTCCCTGACAGCAACTTCGAAGTACACTTTTCCTCTTCAGACACTCTCTGAATGTTTGGAACGAGGAGAGTTTCTCCCGACTTCATGTGCTTTTGAGGGAGCATTGTGCAGATAATTAAAAGGAGGTGTGTAATCACAGCTGTACTTACCAAATTTTCAAAACGTGTTATTGCCAAATTTGTGAAGAAAATGGAGTGCCTTCAAAAAGCAGGTGAGAACAGCATGGATATGAAAAGAGGGGATTTAAGATGGGAGGGAGAAATTTGCATGTCTCACCAAAATCACATAATTTTTTTAAGCAGCGCTATGGTTATAGTTTGATAAGGTGATTTAGCCTGATTAATTTATCATCAAAAGTACATCAACCTTGGTCGATGTGGATTTAGCTGATTTTACTTGATTTTGTTTGATATTGATGTATATTTTATTGTATATTGTTGTATGTTTTATTGCTCTTGCTTTTAGTCATGTACAGCGTCTTTGAGTTCATGAAAAGCGCTTTACAAATAAAATGTATTATTATTATTATTATAACCCCACTATGCAAGGTGGTCTCTTATGTTGTGGTATTATGTACCACCCAACTTTTTTCTATGTGTCTATGCTGTTCAGTTCCCAGTGCAAACTGTAGAAACAGCCCAAAATGCATAAGCTAGTTTAAATCCAAGTTAGGTGTAAACATGAAAGTGTAAATTGTATAATTCAAGTATATTAATCAGGCTATGACAAATTCAATTGAACACAACTTTAGTTAAACAGACTTCCCACTGAGCAATAGATGGCTGTTAGACGTCTAGTTCTTTTATAGGTCTAATTTCAACCATCTAGACATCTAGAATTTAGACGTTGCACTTTAACCCATTATTCGATAAGTATTTATTTCAAAAAGCAACTGCAAAATGTATAACTGATCTCCAAGTACTTAACCAAAATAATTATGATAGTCATTGAGCAATATACAGTTAGACCTCTATTAGCTGGCTAGTCTAAACTTGGTCTAAATTAGAACGTCTAAAAATAACATTCATTTTTAGACCTGTGGAAGCCTGGTGTTAGACCAGTCATCTAGGCCAGTGGTTCTCAAGTCCAGTCCTCGAGGCCCATTGTCCTGCATGTTTTGTATGTTTCCCCGCTCCAACACACCTGATTCAAATGATCAGCTCGTTATCAAGCTCTGCAATGGCTTAATAACGAGCTGATCATTTGAATCAGGTGTGTTAGAGCAGGGAAACATCCAAAACATGCAGGACAGTGGGCCTCGAGGACTGGACTGGAGAACCACTGATCTAGGCTACATTCAGACGTCTATTAGACCTCTTTTAGACCAAAAAATGCTCAGTGGGTTTTCAGTCCCACTAACGTAATAAACTGAACCAACTAGTAAACATACTGAATGAAAATAGATAGCTATGCTAATACAGCAAACAACCTGGGGAAGCTAATGGGATGAATGAAAAGGTCACAGTTTAATGTTGATACATGTTGACGATACTGTTTCTCATCTTTTTTTTTTAAACACAAAATAAGACTAATTAGTGGTGCACTAAATACACTTCCTCATGAGTATCAAACCAAATGCTGCAACAAAAGCTCCACTGAGCTCTTATTTTCAACCCAGCAACCCTCTGTTATCCCTGGGACTCACATTTTCATACCAGGCTGTTATACCAAAGGTTTTTCATGCTCGTCTGTCATGTACCAAATTAAAATGCCAAATTAAACTTTTAGTATCTATGACAAGGCCTTCTGTGTCATCAACTCTCTGTTCGAGCCTTTCCGAGCACAGTATGCTTCATAAAATGGTTGTAGTTTGGTTCATCGAGACAAAGATGTAAACAGCTTTTATATTATGAAAATAAAAACAGCTCACAGAAGTTCCAAGCTTAATGGGACACAACAGAGGACTCCATAATCCCATTCCACCAAAAATAATCCAATGTAAACTATAAGAATTGTGAATGTTGACAAAATCTTTCAAATGTTGATTTGCATAATAGTTTTAGCTGAGTGACTACATGTTAATCAAACTGGGGTTACGTTTTAAAGGCAGATTAAGAATGACAAATATTACTCACAACCATCACTAGTTACCAACATCGTGTTTGATAAGATGTTTCTATTGTGCACAAGGGTGTGTTTACTACAGTGTTCTGTAGTGTGACGTTAGCCTCCTGAACAAACATCTCCCCCATCTGCTCTGCTACAGGGTTTTTTAATCAGTCCTGCTGAGCTCTCTCTCCACCTCGTCTCACAGTCATAACCTTTATGAGGAGAAGTTTTACAAATTATATTATTTTTTTCCCAGAGTTAGATGATCTCATACAAAAGCTCATCACCTAAACACTTCTACATTCACAGACTGCACCTTCAGGCAGTTGACTGAGCAGAGCAGATGCTTTGGTGCATGAGGAGCCACAAAGATTGCAAACACATATTGTGTGAAATTGTGTTTTCATGCGGTTATTTTTGTCCACAGAGATGCATATCAACAAAGAGAAAACAGTTATGTTTAGCATAACTACCTGCCAGTAATAATAAAGCAAACTGTATGTCTGTACAATAATGCACAGTTAAATAAAGGAATAAGATACAACAGCGGAGGTGGCAATGTACCTGCATTAAAACCAATGTCAAACTGTCTCTGATCACTAAGATGGGTTCATTTCTCTACTGAGATTCATTTTCTACTTTTGTTTCTACCTTCAGCTAAAGATTAGACATTTCCATTTACACTCTGTTAGCCTCCGAGCTTTGTGACCCTTTTGCCCTCCAAGCCTGTTTGTTTTACAGAAACCGTCCATGAACTTTCGCTGAGGACTGAATCGCTGTCAGTCAGCATTGATGGCTTATGATGGCTTTGTAAAGTGATGAAATTTCTGTCTTGAGACACAAGTTCATCACCTTTTGAAATGTCATGATGCTGTCAGTCCTCGGCCCTTCCCTCAGCTGCATTATTAATGTTACACAACTTTGCTTTGTGATATACTGTCTCCTATACAGATGTTTCTGTTAAATGTCAGCTTATACAGCCTCAGCCTCTTTTTTCCATAAAGAGGAGTTTGGTTTCAGTTGCTGTTCTTTTTTCCACCACAAAAAAAAATGTTTTATGTTGAAAAAAAGACCCAGAGACTTAAAGCTACTCTAGAGAGTTTTTGATCAGCCATGAAACAACTGAAATAAATGCTGATGTGTCTCTGATGTATAAAAGCAAATGAGACCATCAACAACAAGATTAACAGTTTCAATATTTAAATTTTCAACGCCTGTAAGTGCTGTGAGGGGTAGGTATGCTCAAGAAACTGCATTGTTTTTTAATTCAACAGGAGTGAAGAATTTTACACCAAAAAGACAAAAGAGCTTTTTTGTGTGTGTCATTCAACACAACTTTTACATGAATATGACCCAATCAGTGACAGTCAAAGGTTTGTCCAGAATCAATACGGACATGATAGTTCCTCAGAGGAGCTTTAAGTTATGCATACTTAGTCACGAAAAGTTACGAAAAATAAGAGACACTTGAGAAATTTAGTCACTATGTTGAATTTACTGACTCTGCTCCTGCCACCACAATTGCTCACTTAGATGCCACAACTGTGCTGTCCCATGGTATTGCTGAGGTGGCTATCTACTCCCTGCTGTCGACCCCCTGGACTCCACCTCCCTCATCATGGACCCCAACATCTCTACAGGCACCTTCTCCAATAGAAAGAAGTTGCCTGTAGATCTGAGATGTACTCACTCAACATGTTAAGATTCAACTTAAAAACATGTGCCTTAAAATGAGCTCTGCAACCTGCACTTTATTTTAATAGTGCTTTAGGGTTGCTGATGTTACTATCTGTGCTGTATAAATAAGTTTTCCATGTGCCTATGGGCAAAGGCTGCTTAAGTGTATTATTTTTATAACTTGCATGCCAAAAGAGCAAAATGCCAAGCTTGTGGCTTCAGACTAGCGATAGCTCGTACTCTCTCTAAAATACCTGACTCTAACTTTGGCACTGTATGCTTGTTGGTGGATTTTCCAACAATGAGGTCTGAGAGGACCCATGTTAAAAGCACTTCAAGTTGTGATGGCTAATTAAATAAGATGACAAGTCAGTGATAATCAGACTTCTGCAGGGCCAGTTCTAGAACATTTCAGTAATGGTGTCCACAAACCAGAATGTTTGATGTGTTTAGTCTGATTAAATTTTTGATATTTCTCTTTGTACCAAACCAGTACATTTGGAAGATTATACAGACTCTCTAATTAGCTCTGTGTCTCTGGATACAGTGCTCAGCATTAATGAGAACACCCTTTCAGAGTTGTCAGGAAACCTTTAGTTTCCTTTCAAAATCGACATTGTCTATGTCAAACTATACAACAAAATACTCCCCAAAATGTAGGCCACTGATTGAAAACAAGATTTTTTAAGATGCATACAATTTTTTTTTTTTTTCAATTTAAAAGCAGGATTCAAAAATGAGTACACCCCAATCAAAGTTCTGGGAGCAAAGCTAAATTTGAGTTACCATATCACCCTTTTTTTCATCTCATGGTAAGAAAATGTTACGTTAAACATTATGTTAAATTGTACTTTTGCTCATCTAGATATTAGGTAATACATTATTTTTGACAGGGTGTGTACTGACTTACACTGGGCACTGTATAACATTGAAAACAATAATCAAATATGAGTTTGTACTCGACATTTGCTGCCTCTTTTCATCTTGAGGATTCATGCTAAATAAATACAAAGCTGCTCATATCAAGCCTTCAGCCATCAAACAGCTCAATCATCTTGTCACATCCTGGTCCCTCTGGTTACTTCCATGCCTAAATAAGCCTCTCGCTGTATTAGCAATGAGAAGGGTCACTGTGACCGGCCACAGAGTCCGCAACATCTGCCCGCACACGACAGTTTTACCTCCTTTGTTCATTCTGACAAATAGCTGGAGTCAGACCTTGCCTGTGGCTCCAGTTCAGCACTAACACACGAACACAAAGTCAAATAAAAGTAAGGAGGGGTTATTAAGTGGGTGATGTACTGTATGTTTGCTCTCTACAGGAGGGCAAAATAGGCTTTACAGCACATATTGATTTGAAAGAGATGGCTGCATTTTTTTCCTTTGGGCTAAGGTTTCTGATAAGCACTGAGCTGAGTCCAAAGACTTTTCTTCAACATAAAGAAATCTCTTTATCGCCTCTGTTTTACTCTCTTCAAGTCCATAATGCCTGTGGCTCTCTCTCCAGCAGCTATTTTCTGACAGAAATATAACCCTGACTGACGTGGTTCTGCCTACACTGAGTCCTTTGTGGCATTTAATTATGTCAGACATTAATTGAATCTTATTTGTTCCGGCATGTTGACTCAGGATACATTTCTGATAAACATCAGCCCTCAGATACTTACTTCATCTCCCGGTTTCCTCATTAATTTGAAGCTGTTTTGCTCGACTAAGAGCTCACTTTTAACATTATCCTTTTAAGAGAGTGTGTCAGCAGGAGCTGTAACAGTTTAATTTAAATTAAATGAAATAAATAACATTTTGGGCTTCTGTGGTTAAGGATTTTTTTGTGATTACCACACGTTAATGAGCTGCTATTTTAGATTTCAGACTACACCTTGCATCTCATGCTGTGCATAATATCGAGTAATGAAATATGCACAGAACTTTTTAATGAGAAATAAAATACATATTAAAACCTGCATGAATGCAAATTGCATAAAAGCAATGAAGTTACAGGGAGTTAATGAAACGCCAAAGGAGAAGTGAGGAGAATATTAGACAAAATGAGAAAAAGCACTGCCTGAAATGTACTGATGACTCAATCTATGTAACCTGTTGTGTTGTAGGAGATAGTTCTCGACATGAACTACAGTATATTAATATTGCTCTCGGTGACCAATTAGCATCATCATTAAAATCTGTGAGAGGAAACAAACTCTCGACCATTCAGGAAAGCAGAATGCAGACTTCTCCCAAGGCCAAGACTCTAGTCATTCAGGGCATGCAAATCATGTAAATCAATCACAGATCCTGCTGCATTTGTTTCTGCAGTAATCTCTGAGGTGCCTTGGATGTTCTGTGGCAAGTTAAGTTACTATTCATTCATTTGGGTACGATTTAATTTGCTTTTCTATACTGCATCTAATTCAAAATGTAAAAAAAGGTTTTCCCTGGTCCAAACACAGCTGAGTAAAAGCTGAACATGAAATCTTAATGCAGTCCAGACAGACAAACTAACAGCACAGACAGCATCATTTGCTGCTCTATAATCAAACTTGGAGTGCAAACCACAGCTTTTAGCAGCTTGTGCAGCTGGAGCAAGTTTGGATTTTGTGCCGAGCAAAAGGACAACTTTTCAGTATCCGGAGTTCAAGGACAGTTTTTCATGCTTCCTTCACAGACAAAGACCAGACCAGACTGCTCCAGTGTAATGTTTTTTGTTTGGACATCTGTGCATGAAATCTCTGTTATTTAAAGATTTGGCATGCCTTCCTAAAAGACTTTCTACGCAAAGTTTCTGATTCAAAATACAAGTTAAAAGCACTTCATCCGAGAGAAGTGTCACCCAAAGTATTCAAAACATCTGAGCCAAATTAGTGACCACCTGCAGATCCACAACCTCACAACTGTCCTCCACAGTATCCCAAAATATAAATCTCCTCACTCACCTTCCCATGTTGCCCCAAATGAGCTGAAAAGTATCAGGGCGACCTGTGTAATAATCCCCCTGACTTTTTTACTCCAGAGATCCATGATGAATTGGAAAGGACGCCGCAGAAAAGCAGCTAAGTGAAGGATAGTGACGGTGTGCTTCTCCTCTCCTCTTCCTCCACACGCTCACACTCTCCCTGATGAATATTGCACTTGCGCGTCCGCAGCGCTCTCCAACATTTGCCTGGTTCCACGGGGATGACGGCAGAGGCAGGAGGCTAGTTTCTTTCAGCTGCACTCTGCAGAGTGAGGGGAAGGGAAAGAGGGAGGCAGAGAGGCATGGGGAGAGAGAGAGAGAGAGAGACATGAGGAGAGAGAGAGGGGGGGGGGGGGGGGGGTTCGCTGTTGTCAGAGCTCCAGTTAAAGGTACTTAAGTCATTGAGGGACCTGAAGACCTTGTGTTGTACTAAAGTTCCTCAGCAGAAAACCCTCTGCAGCCCTGACTATGGTGCTCCAACAATGTTTGAGAAAGAGCTTTCTCAGATCTCATCAGGCTCCAGGCTCACGGTCTGTTTGTCTTCATGTAATGCAGCAGTTCAGGTCCAGTGGTTCTAAAAGGGATCTGAGTCACTGCAAATCAATTTAAAGCCTATCATTGAAATTAAAATGACTATTGGAAATTTAATTTTCATCAAAAACTGGGTTAACTTCTGACAGACAGAGCTAAATATACTTGTGACACTGACTCTAATAGGAACAGAAAGCATACCAAATTGAAAGAATAGACTATGGCAGTAGATATGCATAAAAATAAAGTTAGGATGAGTATAAAAGTCTTTCAAATTTCTCATCAATCAAAGTAACAAAATAACCTTTTTCCAGAGTACTTTTGACTATCTTTTTTCTAGTTTGACATAAATAATTTCCACTGAAAAGTTCTGGTTCTCGTACTTACATTCGCTTTGTTTTTGCTGGTAGTCAATAATTTAACATTTTATCTTGCTACTGTGATGCAGGAATGTACTCTAAACCCAGTGATGTCAATGGTTTTCCTACCAGGAATTCAACATTTCAACAACTTCACTAAAATGATATTTACTCATGTCAAAGATATGAGTAAATGTTGTTGCTGAATGTTGTTCTCATTCACACTTCGTATAAAAACTGAACCAGTATAATTTGTATGTAACCCACACAACAGTGAGCCAATCTGGAGCCCCCTGCTGGGTTATTAGATACTTGGAGCAAGTGGTCAAGACACCCAGCATGTGGAGTCCAAATTGAAAACAAAACAAACAAATAATGTTTAGTTAGCTGGAGGGGGTAGTACCTTGTCCCAGGTACACGAGGTTCAACTCTTGTCTGTATTTAAGAGTCAATGTGACCTTCGCTTAAGTGTGCGTACCTAACCAAACCAAGTTGTTTCATGTGCTGGAACAAACTAAAAAGACCTCTCCAGGTTCATTAATTGTTGAAAAGACGGGAAACAGATGAAAGAGACGTCAGATCAGAAAACCTTTGATCTGTTGTCCTCAAAGGCATTGACTAATGACCAAATGTTTGCCAAGTAAAGCAAGTTCTCAGATTAAACGCCAAAACCGGTGTCCAGTAGGATCAACCATGAGCCAACAGAACATTCTATGTAAAAGTTTTAGCTTGAAATCTCTTAACAAATAAAATTCAGCGGTCCTAATAGAGAAAACTGGATCTCATGACGCTCCCTTGCTCACCCCTCACATTGGTGGAGTGATGGTGGCCTGTGAGGACAAGAAGCTTCTGCGATGTATGATAGGTACGATCCTCCATTTGTTAAGCTTTTACCAAAGTCAAAAACTTCAATCAGCACAAGTTATTTTGTGCACAACAACAACAACCACACTCTTCTTCATCCACCAAGTGGAATATTTTGCAGAGCCACTCACTAAATACGAAAAGCCGTAGTCACGAGTTTGTCTGTTCTGTTATACTGTCAAAACAAAACAGGAGAAGATGATACCTCTGTGAAAAGGGGCCCACTGCTATGTAAGTCGAATAAAGGATTTTCATATTTCAGTAATTTGAATATACTAAAGGGATATTCCCACGTAAAATTAATTTAGGGTCAAACGCATCGTAACACCTCGTTCAATACCCCCTGGAGAGATTAATGTCGCTGACCGCTTGCTTAAATACCATCTTTAGTAACGACCGCATGATAGCAATACACAGCGGTCACACGAACTTCAACCAAAACGCCACTCTGTAGCCACAAATAATGCTCAGAACAGCACCTAACTTCATCAACAGTACATAAAGGGTCCCAGCCACAGCACTAGCCACCAAACATCTTTTTAACTTTGCCTGATTTCTTTCGCAAAGAGACTAAACACAACTCACCTACTCTCTTCCAGTAGCCGCTTGTTTGTACAGAGACCTCAGGCCAGTCCATTATGGACTACTGCGGGGGGACACAGCTCAAGGAGGATCATTTCTTTGACCCTAAATTAATTTTACACCAGAATATCCCTTTAAAATCTATTGCGTACCAAGTCTATGCTCCAAAATGCCACTAAAACCACCTACAGTACCTTTAAATCTACAACTTAAGACAAAGACATTATAGATAATAAATATTCAAAGTTAAAAACTCTGAAAGCTTTTTGCACCACCTTCAACCTTTGAGATGACACACCAAAACATGACATGAGAACTGATGCTATGTCTCCTATAAAAAGGACCAATATTTTTTAAGTGCATCTGATACAATCATCATATCAGATGTACGAATCCCACAGTCATCTGAAAACCACTCCACAATATGAAGGTGCAACATGTAATTTCTCGGTCTCAATTGGCTTTTCACACATAACACTGTGCAAATGTCTCAGTCTGACTGAGAAGCAGATCTGTCTGCCGTCTTTATCAGTTTGATCACAGTTAGTATTACTTTTCCTGGATCACAGAGCGGTGCTTGTTTTATCTGACATGATGACTTACTATACAACACGTTTGAGATGCTGTTCAGGAGTGCTGAGACGGGCAGCATTTGAATTAGGCAGGCTGGTGTGTGTAAGATGAGGAGCAATACTGACAAGGCTTGGTTCGCATAAACACCAGATCACCTTTTGGTCCAATTGAAACTAACCCTGGTCCATCTCCATGGATAGGCTGGTAGTTTTGGGGTGGTGTGGCATTACACTTTTAAGCTTGAAAACAGGTTCTTTGGTACTTCATTTGAGCAGTAAAAGCAAAGTAGACCAGCTCAAAACCCAACCCTGGAAGTGCATTGTGGGTCAATGTTTGTGTTCCATTTTCTGTTCTGGCCAAAAGATGAGCCATCTTCTTATTTGTCCTTTTCTTCTTCGTTTTATGTGTCTTTTCTTCCTCTTCTTTTGAATGTACTTGAGGTAACCTTCCCAAAAGGATAAATAAAGTTGTATCTAATCTAATCTAATCTAATCTAATCTAATCTAATCACTATTTGTTAGGACAGTCACATAGCAAATGAGCAGTTGCATTGGTGTCCAGCCAGTTTGGTTTAATTGACAAAGTGCAGTATGAAATGTATGTCAATATCACAAAAAGACTTTGCTGGAAGTCTGAGTCAGTCTCCTAAAAGCATAAAGTCGAGAGCACAATCTCTCAGAAGTTTGGCATGTCAAATTTAACTGGACTGTACAGAAACAGCTTGCTTTGGTTTTCTTGAGTTGGTTTTGAATTAGGATTGCTGACACTTGAGACAACCTCATTTAGCTTCCTTAAAGGGTGACAAACTGGCTTTACTTTGACATTGTTTTTTGAGGGTAAATCAGTGTTTTTTGCTTTGTCAATTTGCTCTGCAGCTGTATTTTAGCCCCTCCACAGCCTCATGCCAGGCCCTGTTTGAACTCATTTTTATTTTGCATGCCAAATGAGACCAGCCAATGACTGATGCACTCCCACTCTACTTTATATTCACAACACCTGCTACAGGCTGTGCACGGATTTTGGCTTTGGCCAGCGAACTGGTGGGGCAAAACAGGACAGACTCTTTGAGTTTAAGAGGGATGATCTCCATTTATTTTACTTTTTAAAACAACAACAAAAAGAAGGTCACTGGGAATAAATTGAGCAAAATATGTAAAGAGTGAGTCAACATGACTGAGATTAAGTCCTGCTGTGCTATTGTTTGCTGTAACACTGTTCTCTAATATAAAAGTGGCACTCTGTTATCTGGTTGTGGGAGGAACAGGGAGAATTTATTCATAATTTTCTATACAGAAAAAATGATCAGATGATCATTGGAGCGCAATAAACAAACAAAAAAGTCTTGAACACTGTTACATAAAACATAAACAATTCCCACCATAATTCCAAAATAATTGGAACCCTGAATAAATTATTAATTAAGAAAGAATTTGATGGTTTTTAAGTCCTTTAAACCAAAACACAGTTTATCAGATGGTGAAGCGGAAAAAAAAGTATTGTTTTATGAAAAATGTATTCACTTTATGGTGCCAGCAGCATGGTTCAAAAATGTTGTGACATGGACACCAAAAACACAGGAAAATCTGAATTATTTTAAATAAAATCTTGAGAAACATCTTGCTATTCATGAGATAAATTTGCAACAGGATAGAGACATTAGTGTGAATAAAAAGAACACTCCAGAGAGGCTGAGTCTCTCACAAAGATGGAAAGAGGTTCTAATTTTTTGTGAGGAACTGTGCAAACAAACAGTTCAAGATTTTAGAGTTACTTTGTTGGATATCATCCTACTGTAATCACACTTCGGCTAATCAGGGCTGAAAGTACGCAGTGGTGCTCCGGACCGGGAAGACATAAACAGCCGTTTACAGCCGGTACGCAGCGGTACGCAAACTTTCATCCCTGCAATGTACGTAGGCTACATTTGCTTACCGTGTTGCCGCACGTCAGTCTGAACTCTGCATTGTAACCGTAGTAATCCAATGGGGCCATGCTGCTTGCGAGTGAGTCGTATTTGCTTTCGCAGACAAACGAACAAACTCCGTAGCGCTCATTGCGCACTTTTGATTGGACGCTGGTTGCCTTGGCGCTGGGGACCACCCCCCCGCCTTTTGCGGAAGGAGGGAACTTTTAAAGAGACAGCTGCTTCAATCTTAATGGAGAAATAAAACAAAGTGCAGAGAAAACTTGATTTTATGTTCAAGAGAAAGAGATGCAGCAGATGATGATACTGTGGCATCAGAGTCGACGCCTCGTTCAACCTGGGTGTGCTCCTCTTGTACAAAGCCTACAAGTACAGAACCTGCAAGAACCTGATCCCACTTTCACCCCAGAGGCTAATTCTACATGCCCATGACATGGCTAGTTAACCCATCTATGAAGATTAATGCTGAGCAGTATATCCAGGTTTTGGAAAAGAATATGGTGCAATTCAGTCAATGTCTTTTCAGGTATCAAACTACATTTTGCCTGTGTTACAACAGCATGGCTCTGAAGCTGGGGCTGCCTGCAGTACCAACTTATCCAATGAAACATCCGATCATGAGACCCCAAATGACTGATACGTTGTCTGTGCAGTATTTTCAATTACATGTTGGGTTTCATGGATTCTGTCTTCAACATTTAAGCATTATCCTGTTTTGTTTTTTTTTAATTGGGGCTGTGTATTAGAACATATCCTTTTACAATGAACTCAAATACATTCAGGGGTCTGTATTCTTTAGACTGGTTCCCATACAACCCAAAAGGACTAGACCAATCACAACCATTTATCTAATCTGGGCCAGTTTTGATAAGACTTACTTTACAGAAATACATTTCTCAGGGAAACCCATAAACGACCAAGTTGGCCTCCAATACTGGAATATCATAGATATTCTATTTCCATCGTTTGGCAAATACTAAACAACCTTGACAATAATTCACAACAATATTGATGATATCTTACAAAAGTTTGGTTATATGAAGAAGTCTGGATTCAATCAGGTCTGTTTGGTAAAAAGTTTAAACCTCTTTATCCGAGGCAAATTACAGTACACCCTATTTGAACTTGAGCCATGTTTTTAAACTTGTTTTGTGCTACTATTTTTTACAGTAATGTACTAACTTTTTGCAAAATGCTAACACTTTATCCTCAGTCACCTTGAATAAGAATGAAACATGATACTGCAGCATGCAGACTGACTTATTTACGACAGGTGTCTGCACAATTCAGGCTTGTCCTATTTATTAGGCTGCCCGGGAACTTACCAGGAAGCAAAACAAATCTTTATTATTCAATAAATTACACAACTCCCTCTGAAACAGTATGACAAACAACAGAGTTCACGAAAATAAAGACTTCAGCTCTCCCTGCTGCTGCTTGTCTCACACACAGCTTTGTTTCCATTATTGATTGAGTTTGTTTTCCATTATTGACCACAAGAAATGTTTGTTTTCTTTGTGCCACAGCTGACCTCCAAACGGCTACCTTGGATACAATCTCCTCATGAATAATGTTAAGAAACATCGATGAAAGGGAGTGATCAGCCTTTGAAAGATCCATGCTGGAAAATTCTGAGCATTGTTACTCCAAGAATCATCAATTGTGTATGATCAAGATCTCCCCTCAGGCTGTCCTGGAAGGTAGAGGGAAAAGAGATGGCCTCTAAGAATTTCCGGTCCTGAGAACAGACAGCAGCGGTATAATGGGATGAGTACAGTTGATCAAAATAAAACTGTATGAGTTGATGGATTTCTAGGGAAGATCCCTGGAGATGTGGCCGCATTGCATTAATATCCACTGCAGCGGCAGCCAGTGGAGAAATCTTTTCTCTGAATCTCTTTGTGAATTAAATGACCCTGCTCAGAACATAATGCTTAATGTTATTGTTTGCCTTATTGACTGTTTGATTCACCTTTATATCAGTGAGACTGAGCTGCTAATCATTCATTTCTATTGTCAATCCACTCTGCTGCGCATGTCGCAGCAGGGAGCAGCAGAAAAGTTGCAGAGCAACAGAAAGAGAGCAGCAGGAGCTGCGGTCATGTCTTTTTGTGCTGTTGGTTGCACAAACCGTTTCGATAAGAACTAAAAATAACGCAAGTTTTATGGAATACCATCAACTCGCACACTGTCAAGGCTAACAAAAGAGGTATGTGGTTGCAGAGAATGTTATAATTGTCTAATGGTATGGCCCGAACATGATTGTGTGTTACATAGCTGTAAAGGCATCTTGTGTCTCATAGGATTTCAGTCTCTCCCGGTATTAGAGACTTGGTGTCTCGGTCAGGTAAGAACGAGTGTCCCGACACTCCATGTGGGCTGTATGGTACCTTCTATCAAGCCATTACACAAATGTTATCTTACAACAGATTTGACCAGAAATCAGAGGTCTTTGGTTGCTTAGTTAAGACGGGAATTCTACGTCTGTTCGTGAAGTTGGCAGATCGGAAACATCCAGAAGGGCCGTGGACAGTGTGAACTGTGAACTAATAACTAGGTGAAGATCAGATTGGAACACATTTTCTTTTGTATTGTCCTCTACATGATGAGATAAAAACTCCCCTGAATAATAAAATAATAAAATAATAAAATAAAATGCACTGATGATGAAAAGGTGGAATGGCTAATTCCCTGACATACTGGACAGTTGGCCTCTTTTGTTTCCAAAGCTTTAAAACATCAGAACAGTTTATTTCCATAGGAAATTTTTGGTAACTTACACGTCTACTTTGGTCTTTGTGTGTGAATAACGGTGTCTAGTTAGCCATTTGAGCTGGGCATATTGCATATGCATGACACAATAATAAAATCAATCAAAGCAATCTTGTGGGCAAAGTTTAAAAGGCCATCCTCAACTCCCAGCAGGCCGTTTAGTGAGAGCAAAGACTTTGTTAAATTAAATGGTAAGACTGGTCACCAAAAGATTTAAGGTTCCCCGCACACTGAGTGGCAGCAGTATCGGTCATAAACTCCGCCTCCCTCATGTTAACAGATGCGAGATGGGTTGGAAACACCCATGCACTTTAGCACAGCTCCTCCCTTCTGCTGTTCCCAGAGGAAGAATGAGTCACCCAACCAGATTTGATCTGCATCGTCCTGCTTCTGAGAAAATTTTCGACTCTTTTTGATGAACAACTCAGTTTTTGTTTTTCTTCTGTCTAAATATTTGCTTGTGTTGTATTCACTCTCACATGTACGTCGCATTTGGCTAAAGAGTGTCTGCGAAATAAAACTGTAACATTGCAAACTATTCATGCAAATATTCCAATTTACCATGAGCACTGTTGTTGTTAGGGTGATCCAAGTATGTCTAATAATTAAGTAAAGAGATGTTGAATGGAGTGAGCTCACCAGTGAGCATTAAATGAGATTTCAACTTTGATATGTGTTTGTGAAATCAGGTCAACAGGGTAAAGGAGTATGGATATCACTTTCTGGTTCATTTTTGGATAACACTTTCTTTTAGTCATCATTGTTTATTTAGGCATAAAAGACAGACAGAAAGGGATGAGAGTGAAAGACTTTCTTCAAAGTAATTATCCAGCTGTTTAATTCCCATCTCCTCTGAGAGCTCAGCCAGCTCTTCATTACCACTTCACGTAGTCCAACTTCCAGTCGGTACTTTACAAACCTGTCAATTAACTCACAAGACTTTTCAGAGCTTTTACTTGCAAACACAGTGTTTCACTTTTAAAATCTGTTGTCTTCTACTATTGTAAGTAGCTAATTTCACTTCAGTGATGGCTAGACAATTTGACAGCAGCACACAAAAACAGAGAAGAAGAAACCTGAAAGCACCAGCAGGTGAAACACAACAGCACAGTCACCAGCTTGACTCTCTCCAGGAGGACTTGCTGACTCAGCTGTCGGATGAAATGCTCTTCTTAGAGAGCAACTTCTAGATGCCCAACATATGCAGCACTTGAATTACTGTCAGCATGTTGCAGCAGAAAGAAAAGCAGCAGAGCTGAGGACACAGCTTGATAAGACTGAATTTGCTCAATGCACAAAACAAAGTCACTGCTAATGAACTTAAACTGGATATGGCAGGGTAGAGACTCATGCAGAGAAGCAACACTGCCCTAGAGAGCTCAACAGCTGAACAGTGCACACAGACGGAAGAAAGAGACACTTCAGAGCTGACTCAGGAGCTGCAGAATTGCATTGTAAAACTTCAGTCCAAACCAGGTGAAAGAGGCTGAACAGGAGCGCAAAGAGAAGGTTCAGGCTCTAAAAACAGGCATCCTCAACCTCAGAGTGAAACTGGAGTAAAAACAAGCTGCTCGGCTGAGAAAATCCACCATGATTGTTCCTTGCACCACTGAAAAGAGGAGCCAGTCTGCCCAAACTGAAGAGATGGAGGAAATCAACTTCCACCTGCAGAAGCTCCAGCTAGATCCCCTAAACCAAGCTCTGAGCTTGAAGACTGCTGTCAAAGAGAGAAAAACTAACAAATACCCGTGGGTTAGGATTTACTGCGACAAAGAACAGCAGACAGAAGTTTTTTAAGGCTTTTTTGTCCACAGTCTAACTTCTTCAGATGCTTTTATTCTTTTCAAAATGATGAAGTTTCAACAAAGCTTCTGAACAAAACACTAAATAATCTATTTTCTGTAAAGAGGTGCAGCGGCCTAGATGTCTGCTGGTTGCTGGGTTTTCATGACATCAGACATCTACATGAAAATTGTGTGCATATTTTGGCACCTTTCATCTGTGTTTGACCAATACACAAAACTACACCCACTGAGCATTTTTTGGTCTAAAAGAAGTCTAAAAGATGTCTAAATGTAGCCTAGACAACTGGTCTAAAATCAGGCCACCACAGGTCTAAAAATGAAAGTTTTTTTAGACATCTAAATTTAGACCAAGTTTAGACTAAATCTAAATATGGGCTATATCTATACTACACTGTATATTGCTCAATGGCTAGCATAATTATTTTGGTTCCGTACTTTGAGATCAGTTATGCAACTCACAGTTGCTTTTTGAAATAAATAGTTATCGAATAATGGGTTAAAGTGCAACGTCTAAATCCTGTCTAAAAGCATACAGAATATAGATGGTTGAAATTTGGTCTAAAAAAAACTAGACGTCTAATAGCCGTCTATTGCTCTGTGGGAATTGAACACTGTAACAATAAAAAACTGTATTTTATGTTACATCATGCGCTTTTTTTGAGCTAGTGACACAAAAACCATCTGCCATTTTGTTTATGATAGGCTGACTGTTGCATACAGCGCCGACTAATGGCTGAAGTGGTTCACTGGTAGACTAGTCAAGTAGTTGTTGAAACCTCCACTATGCATTTACTTTACGAGCGAGCTGAATTATTGACCAGTGATTATTTTGTGAAAATGATCACTGTCACAATTAACAGAGGTAACTAGAGTAAACTCATGAGAAATTTTGGGTTTGATTTGTCAGGACCCGGTTCTCTGGTTAACTGACTGCACAATTAGCTAACACACTGTCTGACTGTCTGACTGACTGGCTGACCGACTGCTCCTGCATTTCCTTGCAGACAGAGGACAGCTGATTCCCTCTCGGTGGCTTTGACCTCTGTGAACAGTGAGGTGGATGAATGTGTCCCTTTGGTGTTCAGGGAGCATTTAGGCTGAGCTGGGCCTTTTTCGCACTGCTGCAGGGGTATTGATGGGGTTGTGAAGCGTGATATTAAGTGCAGGTTTGCAGGCCAGGATGTCTAAACGGTCTCAGTGCATTGCTGACCTGTTGGCAAATGCTGGTTTGATGTGCTGCTTTTGGACAGACAACAGAGGGAGTGTCAGAGGGTAAATCTGCCATTCATATTTCATGGGGCATAAAGCCAATACACAAATAAGCACACAGTGGCAATTTGCTGCAAAAATAAGTGACGCAAGATGAGTCAGCCTGAATATTCAGAGAGGGTTCAGCATCACATAATGAGTAAAAATGAAGTTTGAATATAGTCAAAATGATTTTCTCAGGTAGATTTCTTCATGGATGGTAATTTGTGACTCATACAATTTGGCAGAACAAAAACTCAAGTGAGCCAAATTCACCTTTGATTCGATGTGTTATTACTGAGGCAGGTGTGATGCTGAGATACAATGCTGGCAAGAATCACTCTGGTTTGATGTTTAAGCTGTATTTTGATTTTATGATTTAAAAGAGAATAAAACCTAACTTTAGTTCAATATCTATCCCTTTTTTAATCCTTATCCAGGGCCGGACCACGAATTTTGGTGGCCTAGAACATGGCCCCCAGCTTAGCCATCAAATCACACATATACACCACAATAAAAAAAACAGTCATGGTTGTGCTGCAGCTGTACAGGATAAAATAAAATATTCAATATTTGTGGATGATGTGGGAGGCTGTGGTGCATCAGTTCTGACCTCTGAAGCTGCATTCCTGTCAAAGTAGGAGGCAAAGTAGGATCCTTGTATGTTTCACTCTTAAAGGAAAAAGCTTGTGATTATTTTAGTCATTTTCACCCTTCATAGTGGTAATCTATTAATAATGAATGAAAACTCAAACACAGAACTTCCCTACAAGGCAGTGCTGCTGGGCTGATCTGCTCTGTGTGCATACCTGCCAACACTATCCCGTTCACCCGGGAATCTCCCATAGTTTGCATGCTGCACGTTCATTCACGAATTGGATGGCTATATTTTTCCAAAGTTTTCAGGTTTCCTGACAACTGAAGATCGTCCTGTGTTTCTGCTGAGCCTCACAGACACTGGATTGATACTTTTACTTTACAATTTGTGATGATTCAGGTTGATTTAAGCTGTAAACTATATTCAAGCAATGTTTGTTGCAAAATGAACACTTCAATGAAAGAGAAACAAACGTGAGATATAATATTTACGTTGATAGTCTTGCACTGCATTGGAGTGATGCGTTCAGGGCAGCCTCAGATAAAAGAGTGCTGTATTGCACACATAGATGTTCAGAGAGCCTCATAGCATGTAAAACACATGAGGACTTCAACACCAGTATTAGTGAACTAAATAAGTTCAAGGCATATTGTATCTATTATTTTTATTACCATTTGTTATTGTGAAAATAAAACAAAAAACTGTGCAGCTTCACTTTTACTTATTTGGATGAGCAATTTAATTACAAATACTCTCATAATTATCTCATATCCACCATACAAGGTCACCCCAAAACTGTCCGGCATGCTCCACAAAAATCTCCAGGATAATAACCCAAATGTTGGCAGGTATGTCTGTGTATTACACATAGAAAACAGTAGTAATACAGAGATAGTATCTCTACTTGAAGTCAAGTAGCTCAACATTATCTTGCGAACAACTGTGGCTATAAATATTTTCTTGGACCCAAAATAAAAGTGTACTGAAGTGCCATATGTGTCTCCATAATGACAAGGAGTGTATTTGACTTTTATGATGGTACTAAGCGATGGTCCATTATGTAAATGTTGTACCGAATCCTGCTTAGGAGACATCATTAAGACACATCACAGATAACTATGCATCTATATGCTGATAGCTAACTATAGTAGAGAAACTGTAGACCTATAACAATAAATAAGCAATCTGCCACACCAAACTTAGTTACAGATAAAAATTAATTCTTCCAGATCTTGGAGCCTCTGCTTCCTCCTAATTCTATCTCAGACAGCTCAAACACTGTCCAGAAATGTGCAAATGTATAAGAGCCAGGTAGACGTCAGTATCACACTGATGGAGTCTGGAGTGACAGAAAAATCCCAAATGATTCTTTTACGGAGATTTTTGTACATATTTAATGAATCTCAATGCATATACATTTTGATTGTTTAAAACTAAAAATCTAAAGCCTCAAAGTCTAGCTATTTAGTAAAACAGCAGTCCAACATCTCATCAAGAACAACATTAGGCTGATTGAACCAGCAAGCGTTTATTCTCACCACCCCTGGTCAGTGTCACAGCCTTGTTAACGTCTTACAATATACATGTCAAACTGAAGTGATCACTTTCTGCAAATGCAAACAGCATGCTGTTCAGTGAAATTGGTTTAAAGATTTATCTCCTTCGTCTGAGCTATATCTCTGCTAACAGCATTACATTCAGTCAGCAAATCAGTCACCATGCTGACCTCTGACCCCTGCAGTGGGTTTGTTCAGTGTGTGCGATCATTCGACGGATCAGACCCAACAGATTTCTTTTCCTTTCTCTCTTATTGTCTGATGGCACTGATCTATAAATATCCCACATCTCTGGCTGTTATTTCATTTCACAGCGACTGCTGCTCTAAATTTATGAAGGCAGTAAAGATCCCTCTGCAGTCGGCCTGCAGATTCCTCTGAGCAGCACGTATCTCTGCCGCCCGGCTCAGGATGCTGTGATCAGGAACAGACAAAATTTATAACTAACACAAAGATAACCTCTGCTCCCCAACCCACTCACCATCCATTTCCAGGCTCACAATTCTCTCCCTGTTTGCCTCAGTGCTTTTCTGTCCCTGTCTTTGTGTCTCTTTGTTTTCTCCTCGTCCTTTTTGTCCATCACTGTCAACACTTGTTTCCTCTCAGCCAATCTCCTGCAGACAAGAGTCTGACCAAATTAATCTGAGCAAACTGTTATCTCCTGGAAAGAAAGGAAAGGATATAGGAACCTCTGTAGCCGTCCTCCTTCTTTCGTGATGATTACCTGTTATTGCCTGACAAGTATGAATAAGTTTGTAGCACACAAAGCGAATATTAAAGCTAAGTTCAGGTTATGTTAGGTTACAAAAGTAAAGAGACCCTTGTGTTACCTTAAAAGGCATTTTTAACAGAGATGCACTAAAGGGTCTTTTTTTGAAGCTAATGCTGATCAACAATAATTAATTATTACCTGCTACTTATGGATGATTACAATAAACTAGCAATATTTTTTATTTGAAGTGTGCAGTTTAATGGACAAGAATGCATCTATATTAATGATATGCTATTTTAAATGGAAAAAAAAGTTTTTTCTATCATATAAAAAATAACAGTTTGAACTCTTCAATTGCCATGTGTTTCATTTTCAAAGCACTCCTACATGTGCGATAATGCCTCCTAATGTCGACCTTTTCATCCAGCCACTAGTTTGTTTGACGTTTACCCTCTGGATTAATGCTGGTGATCCATCAGTTAAACAAAAAGTTACTCTGTTTACGATCTAAACTTTGATAACAGTCAATCAGTTCAAAATCAGCACAATTTAAGATAAAAATTAAAGTTCAAACCTGCTGAAAGTCAGACGGTCCGCCCGTATTCCTGCTCCAGTGAAAAGGGTTCCCACAGTCCAAGTCCAGTGAAAGATTTAATTAAGATTTTGACACTCAGATTTGAAGCCTCAGTGGTATAATCCTGTGTATTCACATCCCATTGCAGAGGAACATATGTCATTCAGAAATCTTCAATTTCTCATTCTTTCAAATTACATTCCCACATGAAAGGGCATTTCCGTGTAAGCGTATCACTTTGAAGCTCAGCTGTATTTTTCAAATGAGGCACAAAACTCGATTGAGGATGTCAAATTGCTTCCTCTCAGTCAACAAATTCCCAGCTCTCACTGGTTAATTTGGCATTTTGAACTTTTGAAAGCAGCGCAGCCTCTTGAATTTCACGCCTCTGAACTCGGCGTTCTGCTGATCTGAATATGTCCTTTGCAGAGCGATCCATCTCACTGACTGAAGATTTGCACATTTAATCACTGAGCTGTTTGAAATGCCAGTTTATTGTGGTAAACCAGCAGAGTATGGAGGTGACAAATTAATAGAGAGCATAGAGACTCTATGGGATGGTAATGGAGCTCTTTGTGCAAGAGTGGCTTCAGGTTCACGGGGTTAATGGGGTATTGCTCGTCCAAAACCATGATGCCAAGTGCTCTGCTATAGAGAGCTGTGTAGAAAGGAGAGAGCGGTGAACGGAGAGTGAGAGGAGAAGATTGAAGAAGAGAAGAGCTGAACAGGCAGCAGTTTGCTGATATGAACTACAAATTAGAGAGGAAGTGAACCACAGAGTCTAACAAATCGAGTCATTGCACATTGATTTCTGTTTCCTTATTACTCCTTTTCTATATGTATATTTTTTCCATTTTTTATTCCTCTGTCCATCTTCCTCCTGCCCACTTTTATGTTTGTGAATCTCAGTGACGTTATTCACTTTAACATTTAAATTATCTGTATCTGTTTGACAAACAGTCAGTTATTGTGCAAAATGGGCTTCTCCTCTAGAGATACAGGCAGACAGTTTCTGTCTATCTGTAAAGAATAGCATGGACACTCTGAGACATTATTATGGATGTATTTTTCAGATCAATACTCCGACAAAAAGTGTTGGATGATAAATCTGAATGTATTTTTCTGTTAATTGTGAAAATATGAAAAATGAAAAAAAAAAAGAGTTGTTAAGCAGTAAGGGTGATGATATTACACACTATATTACACGGAAAAACAACAAAACAAAACACTTGGTCCATCCTACCCCATATGTGTAACACTGCAAAACCAGAGCTGTCTTCTTCAGCTGCAAGGCCCACATCTACCCCCTCGCACGAGTTTCTGGCATTAAAAACTGAACTTATAACATCATCGGTCTTGTTGCTGATGGTCTTATTTGCTTTTGCGTATCATGAAAAGGCATCAGTATGAATTTCAGACAATTGCGTAACCATGGAAAAAGTCCTTATTGGAGCTTTAAAGAGAATTGACATCTTTAACCAAGTAGTTGACCTGTATGGTTTCAGTAATTACACACATGCACGCACGCACACACTTAAATAAAATCTGAAATATGCCATAGGCAAAGTGTGCCTGGATCTGTAAATTTTCAGGTAAAATCATGGTTGTCCGAAGTGTTTTTATCCATCCGCTCATACTACTAGGGCAGTGTTTGGAAATTTCTGAGTCAGTGTGCAAACATGACTGACACACCAAAATGATCACATTTCTTTTTAATGTACAATAATTTTGGACAAAATTACTGATTCAGAGTGCAAAGATCTCAAATGTCTGTAGTACATATTACCATAGTTTATAGTACTTTTGACCCTGTCCATTCTGAAGCTCTGAACAGCTTTGCCAAACAAGAACTGTGCTGAACTACTGTAGGTGGTACACTTACTTTTGGTAAGTACGTCAAACAATTGTAAACAGTCTCTTAAAGTGACTCACCAGCCACATCAAAATCCGTTTAACACATGATGTCTCACTCTTAAAATTCTGATGTTTATTTGGATGAAGGCAATCAGTGCAAATTTTTCCCACATTTACTGTGAAAACTTTGAGACACTGCCTTAGTAAGATCTCTGACTTGAAGGAGGAAGAGTGTACAGCTCAAATCTCTCTCAAGCTGTTTCATAAATCCTGTCAGATTACTGCTGAGCGGCGTCAATTTACACTGCTGATTGTAATGCAGTTCTTTTTGTCTTTTTGTTGTGTTTCTGCTTAGTATTGCTTTGAAGGTCGCAGCTTGGGGGCATTTTTTCCTCTGTGCTGAAATTAATTTTACCTGACTGCCTCTATCTCCATCTCTCTGAGTCTGTTTGGTGGAAGAGAGCGATAAATCAGATAACTTAGCTTTCCCTTTTGTCTGCCGGGGCAAAGAGGTGAACACAAACAAGAGAAAATAAAAACTTTATTTTTGCTGAGGTGAGATTGTCACACTTTTTACTTGGGGGGGGGGATACTGACCTATAAACTTAAGTTTGAGTGAATTTGTCCATGTGTGTGTGTGTGTGTGTGTGAGTGTGTGTGAGTGTGTGTGTGTGTGTGTGTGTGTGTGTGTGTGTGAGTGTGTGTGAGTGTGTTCCTTATTTAGCTCTTGAACTTTTGTGGAACTTTTTCCACTCTCTCAGTTCTGAAAAAACAATTGTACTTGTCAGAGAAAACACAAATACCTGGAAAATTGGCCCAGAAAAGTGTCAACTTTAGCTTCAACTGTCAACTAAATCATTAAACAGAAAATGATTACAAATGACTTCCCCACACTGTGAGCTAGGGGGCAAAACCTTCAGCACTGCATTGGCATCTGACACAGATGATGGTCTGAGATATCATTTTTCCTCACAGATAATCCGGTCCTTTGATTCTTTTTGCATTTGCAGGAGATAAATAAGAAGACGACAACAATGACAGGGGTTGTAGTGCATTAAAAAGCTTGTTTGAGAATGACCCAACACTGAAAAAGAATGTTTCAGTGTTGGCTCTGATCAGCGGAAATTCTTTACACTTTATTTGACGCCTATCTCTATCACACATTATAAATATATGTATAATTTGTTATAATCATGTTATAGCACTGTCTAACCATCGTTATAAACACTCATAAATGATCATAATGCTTTATAGCAATAATCATAACACATTATAAAGCATTTTATCATGACTTACAAGGTCAGGTATTATAATGTGTTATGCTTATTGTTATAAAGCCTTATGATAATTAATGAGTGTTTATAATTATCGTTATACAAGTTTATAAGCAAATATAACACATCATAAATGTATTATCTATGTGGGCATTGTCGGTGAGTTGTTGACAGTTATAACACATTATAATACCTGACCTTGTAAGTCATGATAAAATGCTTTATAATATGTTATGATTGTTGTTATAAAGCATTATGATCATTTATGGGTGTTTAAAACTATGGTTACACAGTGCTATAAAATGATTATAAAGCATTATACATATATTTATAACGCGTTATAGAGATAGGCGTCAAGTAAAGTGTTATCAATGTTCCAAATTCCACCAACTGTACCTTTAACCAATCAGTAAAAGATCACATTAACATGTAATGTTACATAACAAGAGTCACACACAAGTTCAACTCTCTAAAAGCATGCCAGTTGTAAGGTGAAATTGATCAGCAGTCATGAAAAGGCATACCGCTATGAGACTTATCAGTCAGTATTCAAAGGAGGTAAAGTCTTCTTTCAAGAAACCTTGTGGCTGTTCTCTCAGTAACAGGCATTTGAAAAGAGTTTCAAGGACTTTACTTTCAATTTTTAGCAAAGTAAAAAAAAAACTCTAAATGTTCTTCGAGGCCTTTATACTTTCAAAGTGCAGCTCCTCCATGCTGCCTCAAAGTATTCTGTTCACAACCATGGAAGTAGAAATGAAGATCTTTGATTACATTTTATAAACATAAATCACAGTTTTTGTCAAGCCAGTGCAAGAGTCACAAATAAGCCTTGTTTGTTTGTTTAAAAGAAACTCTAATTGGGGAGTTTACTTGTCATTAGCTCCCCACACTGTTACACACCTGCACAAACAGAGACGTTAACACAGTCACACACACCTCAGAACCGATCCGATGTGGGAGCAGCTGCCGCATGGCTCTATTAGTAGACTATGAAATGAAAGTTAACAGATTTGAACCATGAAATATGGCCAGCAAAGGCCAGCTATGATTACACTGTGCTGCATCACAATTCTGCCAAAACTACTTACTCTGACTGAACTATGGGAAAAGTTTACCTGACTTGCACTCATACGTGCTCTGAGTCAGCACTCGTTTTCTCCAGCCTGCTCTACGTAATTCAGACGCTGATAAAGAAAATTAGAATTTTTTTTACAGCACACCTATGAACCAGCTGCAAGAAGGCTTTAGAGCTAAACTGAGGAACTGCTTTACATAAGATAATAAATAATGTAAAATTAATTGCATGGTCTGCACTCATTTGTGAGCTGGAAAAAATAACATCACTGAATGATGTCCTGTCATTATTTGCAGCTATTTTTGTTCCTGTGCTACAGACAGCGTAATGCTTTACTACTAGGTTCCCCCTTAGTGTTTCAAATCATTCATGTCTCTAAAAAACACCGCTACAAACTGATCTCCACAGCTAAAAATCTTCAGCTCTATTGGCGGGTTTCCAGAGTTGTGTCACTTGACTTGAGGCCTGATGTTGTTCAAGGCAGACAGCTCGTCAAGATGACTGACAGCAGGGTTTTTAAGCCGCTGAGGTCAAGTACAAGCGGATTCATGTATTCTGTCGTTCAAGGCAAAGTGTTGCATAAAGTGGCTTTAATCATACGGGGGAAATTCTCTTTACTCTTGTCCTCGCGCAGGGATTTTTTTAGGTCATGGTCAATAACAGCACCAAGAGACTCAAAGTATGCGGTCATGCAGACAATGCAGTTTGAAGAAAACCTTGCACAATGCTGCAAGAAGATTCCAAATTACATTTTGCACATATAACAACAGCATGGCTCTGTAGTAGAAGAGTCCAGGTGCTGAGGTGGCCTGCCTGCAGTTCAGATTTGTGATCTATTGAAAATATTTTGGCACATCATGACACAAAAATTACAACACAAGAGACAAAAACTCCACTACAGTTTCCAACATA